GGTCGAGTTACCTTTTCAACTATTCCGACGTGGCTGGACTGGAGATAGCGGATTTTCGGGGTCGGCAAACCGGATGGTGTGGCGACCTAGGCCGTGGTCACGAGATGTTGCAGCAAAGCACTCTCTCACGGCTCGAGCTGAACTCCGTGTGTTGACAAGTTCGTGATCCTCCGTGGGCGTACCGTGGCCAGAGCATTCCTCGGGTGAAATGGCGCACCTTCTGTTCGTAGCGAAGCCGGGAAAAAAGCGTGATGTCAAAATTTCCGAATGCCGTGGTGACGCGACGTTGCACTGCGGGCAAGGGCCCGGGTCGCTAAGTGGGCCTCGGGGAGGACCGTGTCCAATCACCACTAGGCGTCGTCGGCTGAGCGTTTTGGTCGTGACAGCCTCACCTCAGGGGCTGTCTTTATTTTCTTTCCCGTGGACTGCTGTGCTCAGCAGACGCTACCTATCAAGCAGACTGCGAAGATTTTCTCGCTATTTTACTCATTCAATGCTGTCCGCATGGTTGGCAATTGCGCTCTTGAAACTGCCATTCCGTCATTGATTTGACTGCCACCATGACCATGATGTGACTCAACAATCGACACGTCGTCTCTTCAACTAGAGCATGTTTCCGCGGATTGGCTTGATCGCAAGCGCATAATTTGTCTGAGGCGGGTTGTCGGAGTTGGTCCAGGACAAGAGAGGCAACCAAGTATTTGCATCATCGAGACAAAGCTTGGTGAATGCCGCCGACCTGCTCGAATGTACTCTGGCTGCCACTACCGAGGCTTTGAATGAACTTCGGATCCCAGCGACTGGAAAGCTGCCCTCAAATGAGCCTTTCCCTTGGTCCCATGATCCCAAATTGCAGGTACAGTTGCGACTCAGGTTGATGAGTTGCCCACATGACTCGTTCCTTCCCAATAGAAACGGAACCTTGACGGCATTCACTCAATCAAGGTGCCTTCGAAATTCAAGCTGAATTGCTGCAAGTGCTCACGCCAAGGCAATTGGCTACGGTAGCAGACTTCAACCTCTAACAATTGCGCTTCGCCTGATCTGAAGTCGGCCGGCATCGGCTAGCCCCCTTCCTCAGACTTTCGTGCCGTACGCAACAAGCTACCTGACTCGATCTTCAGAAACTCAACCGATACCGCTTTCTTTTGATCGCCTGGTCCTCGCCCACCTCTGCCACATGGGTCTCAAGGAGTGTGCTTCACATCACGAGGATCACTTCTACATCTCATGGGTGCGGCCTCGCGCTCTCTATCGTTTGCGCCAGTCTTCATGACAAGTAGGCATCGCTTTTCTGCCGGCATCTTCCTTCACCTACACGACACTCTCTTTAGCAACGTGATATCGCTCCTTGTTGAAAGAAGCTTGCCATGCTCAAGAAAACCATCTTCCGAGATGATGCCTCGCACAGGCCTTCGAAACGGACGTCTGAAGCGCAAACTCGATCCAAAGGTGCTTCAAAGTATTTGAGATCGAATTTCCGCCGCGCACTCAGCACCCGGCTGCGACTAGCTGGAGCTCCAGAAGCGAAGAGGGATAGCAGCCGCGGTCGAGTGCCGCCCTCTCCAGCAATCGATCCTTTTCGCATGCACCCGACCAACATGAAACCCTCGCATTCCTTTCTACCGACTACCAACTATCCCGAACCTGCGGCGCATGTGAACTTGAAAAGTGCGGAAGTTGTCTCTACCCGCAGCCAGGGTGTTGAGTATATCGACAACAAAATCAGCCCCATGTTAGCTGCCACCCAGGTGCTGGAGTCCGTTACGGAAGTAAGCCCCTCGCAAGGATTTAAAGTCTCTTGCATCGTCGACGGTATATCGCGTGCCATTAAGTTCGGAGCGAGATATGCCGAGGCCGGTAACGATGGTGAGTGATCCAGCCTCAACTTTCTCACTTGTTCCTTACACGCGTACAGTCTCGCTAGATCAACACCTTGCGGCGGCGTCGCTCACGAAGCCGATCGAAAACATGCATCTTGGTCATAAGGTAGATGCCCGCCGCGAAAGGGTTCCGCGTGTCGGAGGGAGCAAAAGCAATGCGGCGTTCGCGCCGATACTTATTAACCCATTCTCCACAGAGGCGGGCTTCGAGGATGATCTTGATTGCGGTGTTCTTTTCACACCTCCCGAGGGCTGCTCAACACCACGCCTCTTCAGCCGTGGCAGACCTGCACGTAGGTCAAGACATTCAGAGGACAGCGACGAAGTTCTTTCACTTTTCCTCCAATCGAGCGTGGGCCGCAGCGACATAGGCTAGAAGCCAGACTCTCCTCGGGTCGAGGGCAGCGGCAAGCGTGGGCAGCTGCCTGCAACTACACATCATCCCGCGGGTGCCGATACTCCCGGTGAATGTAAGCGAGTGAAGAAACACCCATCACCCGACAAGCTGTTCCTGAAGAGCCTCGAACAAGCACTCGAAAAATACCATAAGATGAAGGTGGACGGTGCAGCCAAGGACGACCTGGACGAGCTGGCCAGCAATTTCAACTCGCCCACCCGACCACTAACCGTACGAAACGCCAATCGACTTTTACATTCAGGGGCTAGACCGAGCAAACAATCACGCAACGAAGACAAGCAAGGTCTTCCTAGGAAGCCACGAGGAGTTCTCCAGCCACATGAACACGACAAACCGCAACATGACAAAAGACCAATCTACCTTTTCCGACCGAATGATGCTCAAGCAGACGAGATGGACGAGCTATTTTGATTTTCACCCCTCGGGCGTTTTTCCAAACGCAACTCACGATACCCCTCTAGCCACATCACGGTTCCACTGAACAGAACATGGCATGGCAGGTGGGTCAAGACGATGGAATAATCATTATTAATTCGCTATATGGTACAAACGTATTGGAAGTTATCCAAAGGAGTATCGGTGCAACGAAAACAAAACGCGCGGTATCTGAACAAGGTGGGAATGGGTATATAAGTCCAGCGCAGAACAAGAGCATCATCCATAAAGTCGTACGTAACCTTCGTCCTCTTGAAATGTCCATCCGGCAGTGATGTGACACGCGCCTTAGAGGAAGCGGCGACGGCGGGCGCCGCGGCCGTCCGTACCGTGCATGCGGCGGGTACCAGCAGCCTTCTGGCCAGGACGGTGGGTGAGGCTGCCCTTGAGCTTGAGCATGGCACCACTGATCTTGTCTTTCATGGTAGGGTGACGCTTGTGGTGGGAGACGGGTGCACCACCGCCAAGGTGGTTGTGGTGGTGATGGTGGTGGTGGTGGACCTCCGTCTTGCGGCTGCGGTGACGGGTGGAGGTTGTGGTGGGCGTCGCAGCGCGGCGACGGCGGGAGAAGAGGCCGCGGCGACGGGTTGTAGTCGCGGGGGCGGGAGCGGGAGCGACACGGCGGCGGCGGGTGGTGAAAGGCATGATGAATTTTGTTGTTGTCTTCGCAAGTGGATATTTGTAAGGTGTTGTTGTTGGATGGTGGTAGCTGAAGTCTTTTCTAAAACTCGTGCTCTGCAAGGTAGATGTGAAAGTGTGTTGATTTGTAATACTGTATTAGAGAGACAAGTATTCTATCTCGGAGGAAGACAGTCTACATATACTCTTCTACGGTCCTGCTTCCTGGCTCGAAACCTGGAGTAGGAAACCTGATGACGAGGCCAGGCTGTGTTTTGGTATGATGCCATTGTCAAGGGTCCAAGGGTCCAATCTCAGTTAATTACAGCTGTCGATCATTCAGAGATCAGAGATGCGGTGCGTGTGTCAGGCGCTGCGCAATGCGGCAGCGGAGTATGGAGGTCGTTGGGAAGCAAAACTTGGCAAAGGGGTTCAAGGGTCCAGCCATCGGACGTCATAGGCCAGGGTCAGGGTAGCGGGAGTTGACAGGCGTGACGAGCGAAAACGGACTAGCGCGGAGCTCAGCAGCGGCCAGAATCGCAGACTGAGAGGCTCGCGATCGGTGATGTCATCGTAGGACACCTGTCACTTCACGCGACAATCGCCGCGGGTGACAGCCATGACGGAAATAGACACACTTTATCCAAGACGGAGGCGTCGCGCCCGGCTGATCCTTCCAAGCCCTTCGAAGGTTCACTCGTGTCAAGGACCCAAACAAGTTCCGAAATGAATGCCTGGGAAGCGCTGCGCTGGCCAGCCATGTCACTGCTTGCTCCTATCGAAGTTGCCGTGTCGTCACCACAGAGGGGTCAGCGCGACGTTGACTCCTCTCCCGGACCGTGGCAGGCTTGTTGTAATGAGGGCTCAACGGGATCCAGTCCATCAAGTCAACTCACTCCCACCAAGTCACGAAGCTGCCGCACAATTCGCCGGTAGTAGTCATCTTGGCAAACTCGCCTGATCAAGTCGAGCATCAGTTTGCCAAACCATTTGTCGCCTCTGACTTGATGGCAAACTGGCCAATTTGGTGGCTGACTGGCGTGAATCGTAGGTGAAGTACTATGAGGCTCTTAGCATATTCAGACGTGCGTCCCATCTGCCAGCCACCACGCAAGCACGAGACTTAGCCGCAGGATACCAGCTCAGAGTACCGCTCATTCTTTCCCCCAAGGAACCAGTCTTTTTAACATAGAATCGTGTCTTTAAATGCGTGGGGTAGCGAATTGCAAGGTCCGTGTTCCAGCAGTCTACTTCTCCCACGCCATCCAGTCTTGGCGTTTAGATGCCCGGAGGTCGCGTCCGACAACGACAACGCTCAACGCCGCACTCATTGGGCGTCCAAATCATCTTGAACCACATTACCGGAAGCTAAATTGAAAAAAATGGAACACTTGTTGCCTTTGCCGATGCCATTTCGGGGGCTTGCTAAGTGAGGTGCTCTTGCTAATCGACTAGATCGAACAACTGCACCATTATGAGATCATAGGGCCTCCATCGCGATCTCAAGGTAAACAAGGTACAAAACCCTTTGCTGGCCATTTGACCTCTGCTCAACTCATACCTTCGCCTTCAACACCCTGAGCTACTGATCCTCGCATTTCTCACTACTCACCAAACACCACACAACCACTCACACTCTTCTCAACATGTCTGGCCAACTCCCCGACAAGGACATCATCCAGGACCGTGCTGTCCACGGCCTTCCCGTCACCACCGACGAGGTCTCCCACATTGCCTCTACCGAGTCCGAGCTCACCGGCACTGGTCCCATCAAGGGCGGCAAAGCAGCCACCGCCCAGAGCGTGCACGACAAGCAGCAGAACTTCCTCGACAAGGCGGGCGATGTTGCTCGCAAGCCAGCGGAGCAGATCACCAAGGAGGATGCCGCCGAGGTGCAGAAGGCTGAGGTGAGTTCGCGTCATGAGATGATTGACAAGACACAAAGCTTACAAAGAACAGGCTCGTCTGATCGGAGGCCAGCCTGAGAAGGGCTCCATGTCGGCCAACCTGCAGTCCGCTGCGGACAAGAACCAGCAGTAAGAGAGAAAGAGCACTAAAGAAGGAGCATGTTTGGGACGAATCATGATATGGATGCATAGCGCTGCTTACAACTCTAAATTCAATCTCATTGCTGACGCACACTCTCCTACGATCGTAGATTCTTCTTGATTGTGTCCAAGTCCTCTGCAGAGAACCCAAGGCCTTTGGTGACATAACCATCCCAGCTTCCATACTCCTCTTGCAGCGCTGTGTGGAACGCCAGCCAATACTCTGCGCGCAAGTCGACAATGTTCGCAAAGCCTGGGGTCTCAATGTCGTCGATACCCAGGTTGATCATGGCGATCTTGACCAGCTTATCGCGTACAGGCTCCGTGCCCAGTCGCGAGAGGAGGTAATCGTAGACGATGTCTTCCTGCGCAGTGCCAGCCAGCTGGTTCAACAGACCAGCCACAAGGCCCGTTCTATCACGACCAGCTAGTCCTGTTAGCAACTCGATGGCCGTACCTCGATCAGTGTCGCCTTACCGGTGCAGTGGAACAGGAATGGTTCCTGGGGATGATCCCGTACGTGCCTCAGAAGCTCACGTATCACAGGCTTGTAGCTGGACGCTACAATCATGAGCTGGTCCGCCCATGCCTCGGCCCCATCGGCGGCGGCGAAGGCCGTCAGATCAGGAGCTGGGTTCTTCCCTTCGGTCGCGTACCAGACATTCTCCACGCCTTGCAGCTCCGGATCTGGCGCCGCCTCCCGCTCAGAACCCCTTCTCAGGTCAAAGATCTTCTTGACATTGGCCTGCAGCCAGGTGAGAGCCTCGGGGTCTTGCGCGGCTTGGGCGAGGGCACCCGTGCGAAAGACACGTCCTGCAGGGATCGCGGAGCCGGGCACCGCGCCGACATCTCGAAGGTTGAAGAGAGATTTGGAGGGGATGAAGGGACTGGTCGTGATCAGTGGAAGGAGAGTCTCCTGGGGAATTGCATTGCGGACGTCGCTGGTGGCGAGCGCGAGGATCTCTTCACGGGATGGTGCCATTGTGGGGACTGGAACTGGGCGCCTCAATGGGACGAGAGGAATAGGTTTCGGACAATTGAGACTACATATACGCGCGAAGGAGCCGGTATTTACATGGGGCAAAGGGGTGGGCAGCTACCTCGGTCACCGCGTTGTTCGGGCCCTGGGGTCAGATCACGTCTGCTTCATGCGCACCCCTCCTCATCCCCGCTCTGCGAACGTGCGAATCCGCCCACATGTCGGCATGTCAGCATGCACACTTTTGATGATGAATTTGGTCACCTCGTTCCTGGCTCCAGTGCTGTAATGCCGGCAGAGGGGGCCGTCGGGGGCGGGATATGTTGAAACATCCGGTTCGCTTGCAAGCGCGGATGCCTGTCACTGTAGTTAACTAGACGGAATTGACTGTTCTGGGTATCCTGTACGCTCATGAAGGCTGCCTTTTGATCAAGCACAGAAATGCGTTGAAGTTACTAGGAAATCACGTAGGAGTAATCACACTCTCATCTCATCAACTAATGTCTTTTTGCGTGTTGATAATGAGATAAGTTGACTCATCAGGTACCTTCCAAGCTGTCGCCCAAAAGCTGCTACGAATGGTTGATGACCACATTTCAAAACAGTGTTGGACCAAGATGCCCAGCGATCGCAATGATCTTCGAGAAGATTCTTCATGACAGGATCGTGATGATGGATGTGAGTTTAATCAACCCCTTTATCCGCCCAGATTGGCACCCCAGATCCTCACTAGCTCTGATCTACCGCTTTTCTGCGTTATCGGCCCACAGCATCGGTACCACTCTAGTCTGTATCACGTCTAGCCCTCGTTCCTGGGCGTTGACTTTCCGATAACCTGACTCTCACCTTTACCTACCTCAACACCATCTGATTGGCTTGGCATTGCGGTCAGGACATCGCTGGGCCATGATATGTTCAAGACGGGGCTGGGCCGCCGCTGCACTCGCCCTCGCCCTCGCCCTCGCCCTCGCCCTCGCCCTCACCGCCTGCCAGACATACGCCCAAGAGGCCGGCACAGAAGACGCTGTCTACGCCTACGACAACGTGCTGCCTCATATCGAATACCCATGGGAGGCACAGCAAGGCACTGGCCAGGCCGCGCAGCCACACTGCTACAGAAAAGTCTACACCTTGGATCCTGATCTTGGTGAGGCCGAGTGCTTCACTGTTGATCCAGATACTGGAATTTTTCTTGATGTCGGCTCGCAGGGTGAGCCCTTCGACCACATACAGAGAGTCAATGCTGTTGCCGTGCCGGGCTTGTGGGATGGACATGGCCACCTCGCGCAGTACGGCGAGTTCCTACACACGGTGGACCTGTTTGATGTCGACTCGCCGCGGGACCTCCGCAACAGGGTGAAAAAATACGTCCGAGAACACGGGAGCAAGATTGGCACGGCGGAGAAATGGATCAGGGGCGTCGGCTGGGACCAAGGTGTCATTGGACGTATGCCCATGGCTGTAAGTTGGCATTACCCTCCTCGTACGCCTCTTGTGACCTGGCACTGATAGTGGGAAGGACGACTTTGAGCAAGATCCTGAGCTGCAGGGTCTCTACATCATGCTCGACCGCTCAGACGTCCACTGCGCCCTCGTGTCAAACGCTGTGCTCAAACTCCTACCCCCGGACCTACCCGATGAGATCGAGGGTGGCCTCATCGTCACCGACCCCGGTCGAGGCGTCTTCTGCGACAAGGCCATGGACATCATCACGCCTCTCCGCCCAAAGCCCACACGAACAGACCTGGTCGCAGAGGTAAAGACCGCCATCCAGGCCCTTCACAGGGTGGGCATCGTGGGCATGCACGACGCAGGGGCCCGCCCCAACACCATCCAGCTCTACGAAGAGTTGGCATCAGCAGATCCAGACTGGACGCTCAAGGTGTACGCCATGATTGAGTGCGTGGAGCGCAACACCTTCTGCGCGGAGCAGGTGCCCCAGTTCACGAGGCCGGACGGGAAGCTCAGCGTCCGTTCCGTCAAGCTTTTTGCCGATGGCGCCCTCGGCTCATGGGGCAGCGCCATGCTCGAACCCTACACCGACAGCCCCAACACCAACGGCAGTCTGCTCCTCCCGCCCGAGGACCTCCGAGACGTCGCTCTCCAGTGGGCGCAGGCGGGCTACCAGGTCAACATCCACGCCATCGGCGACTACGCCAACCGCCTCGCCATTGACGCCTTGGAGAATGCCCTCAGACACACCTGTCCCGAGACGGAGACGAAAGCACAGCTGCGAGAGTGTCAGATGAACTTGAAGCGCCACCGCATCGAGCACGCTCAAATCATACACCCAGATGACCAGGTGCGCATGAGAGACCTGGGTATCATCCCGTCGCTGCAGCCTTCCCACGCAGTAGCCGATGCTCCCATTGCCGAGGAGCGCCTCGGAAAGGAGCGTTATGAGAAATACGGCTACCGTCATGGTTCCCTCCGCGCAAACCTTCCCATCATCGGCTCAGATTTTCCCGTGACACCCCCCAGTCCGTTGCGCGATATCCTCGCGGCGGCGAGCTATAATCGTGACCACAACGATGCGGACGGCGAGCGACCGTTCAAGAAGGAGGCAGTGACGCAGATGCAAGCACTGGCTGGCATCACGGTGCATCCCGCGGCTGGCTCGTTTCTAGAGCACAAGGCGGGTCGGATCAGGCCTGGGAACTGGGGGGATTGGGTGGTCATCGACAAGGATGCCTTCACCCAGCATCTCATTGACGATCCAGAGGCGGTCATGGACCAGTTTGATGACAGACATATCCTTGAGACGTGGGTAAATGGCAAGATGGTATACCAACGGCCCAACCCGGAAGCGGTTGTGGAGGAAGACAGAAAGATGCCAGAGACATCCGTCTCGGGGGTATGAGCAAGGGCGAGCTTATCGTTTTGCAGTATTACAGAATAATTGTATGATAGTAGCTCCCCCCACCTGGCAGATGGAGAGGTGCCAGCCACCTCAAATGCCTTGTCGCTCTGATGAAAATGACTGTCCATGGCCGTTCATCGTACGTGGGGAGCAAGTGCCGTCGAAGAGAACGGCAGGAACAAATAGCCCCTGAACCTCAAGCAACTCCAGAGAATCCCTCTTACGCTCATTACTTGTTCATCAACTTGATGTCTCAGGAGTCCGCCGGCAGTTATCTGGACAAAGGTGGCTTCCATCTGCTGGTCCCAGGAGTACTGGTTCATGTATGTGGAGGCTTGCCATTTCCTTCTTCCCTCCGACTGACTACCTGGTAGCTAGATGTCAACCTGGCATCATGGCAGGTACAGCGATGCCACCGAGGGCTCTTCTCTTTCGAGCTCGATTTGCTTTCCCAGCGTGAGGTTGTCCAACTCAGTACGCGCCGAGAATTGATCGGCAGTGAGCATCTCACCTGTTGGCGACCAGGAATGATACCATTGTAGGGTGAGCAGACAAAGCCATGCTTCCACAAGGCCCAGCCCAGCGTTGCCATGGATGTGCAGAAGCCTTGCTCAAGTAATCGCTATCTTCAACTCTCGCCTTTGGATGAGGAATACGGTGGCTGCCGCGGGGGATTCAAGGCGAGGCATATGACGACTGGTGCGGTCTCACATCACAGGATACAGCCACATAGGTGCGGTCTCTGGTCGAGTAACCAGCCTTGCGCAGATTTCAAAAAGGATAAGCGGTTCCTTAGCATAAGAGTTCGCTTGGAAGACTCAAGATCTGCATTGTCAGAAGCGCCTGAAAGCCCAGAGCATGCCTTGCTGACATGTGCGCCTACTACAAAATGCATCGCAGTGGTGCACTTGAGAAGACGATCCGAAGACGATCCGAATGCGATCCTGTCTTGCCCAGCGACCAGAAGAGTGCTGCATTGTGGGACCATTGCAGTCGCTGCTCGGACGTGAAATGTGTTGATTGTATTGCGTTGTAAATCAGTAGGTATCATGATGCTGAAGACCAACACCGCTTTTCTATCGAAAATGAGTGGCGTGTAAAATCCAAAGACGTGCTTCGTAATCCGTATCAATCGTGCTCGACTCTTTCCTTTGCTGCCCAGTGACACCAAACGCCGTCCCATGCTTCCAAATTTGATAACGTGCAACCTTGCCTCAGTGCTCGAGCCAGTCCAAGAACTGGGGGGTAAAGTAACTGACGACAATGGTCGCGCCAGCACGCAGGATACCCTCTGTCGACTCGAACGCCATCGTCTTCAGGTCAAAAACGCCCGCCTTGGCACCCGCGTGGATCATGGCAAATTCGCCGCTGACCTGGTACGCCGCGACAGGCAGATCCTTGCCAATGTCCTTGGCGTCACTGATGATGTCGAGATACTGGCTCGCCGGCTTGACCATGATGATATCGGCACCCTCGCCAATGTCGCGATGAATGGCACGGCGGGCGAGCCCGCGACCACCGGGAGGCAGCTGGTAGCACTTGCGGTCGCCGAACGAAGGCACAGAGCCAGCCGCGTCGCGGAAGGGACCGTAGAGACATCCGGAGAACTTGGCCGAGTACGACATGAGAACGGTCTTGTGCGCGATGCCCTCCTCGATCAGCTTGAGCTTGATGGCACGGATGCGCCCGTCATTCATGTCGGAGGGGGCAACGCAGTGTGCGCCGGCCTTGGCATAGGCCACCGCCACGTCGGAGATGCGGTCGACGGAGAGCTGGTTGTTTAAGCTGCCGTCGTCGCGCAGGATGCCGCAGTGGCCGTGGGAGGTGTACTCGCAGAGGCAGACGTCGGTGCAGATGAAGATCTGGGGGAAGCGACGGCGAATGAGGCGGATGGCGCGGACGACGGGGCCCTCGGGGTCGTCGGCGGCGCTGCCGAGGGCATCCTTGGTGCCAGGCTTCATGGGCACGCCAAAGAGCATGACGGAGCGGAGGCCCTTGCGGACGAGGGGTTCGAGGAAGGGCACGAGCTTGTTGACGCTGAGCTGGTGCTGGCCGGGCAGGGAGGGGACGAGGATCATGTCGTCGTCGCCGTCGGTGACGAAGAGGGGGTAGATGAGCATGGACTGGTCAGGTTAGCCATTGCAGCTTTTTGACTACTGTTCTGTGTGTCGCTCCGTACCTTTGTGAGCTGGCGCTCGGCTTGCCACGAGCGAGCCAGGGGGTGGAAGTAGCCACCGTGGAGCTGGCTGGAGATGTCGCCCGAGATGCTCACGCTCGTGGCGGAGGTGCTGGCGTAGGACATGGCGCGCGAGATGTGCGATGTGCGATCGTCGATGGTGGAGGCGACTGAAGGAGCACCAGGACGACGGGGGGCAGGGCCATTACCACCACCATCGCGGTCGCGGAGGCTCAGGTCTTGGACGAGGCTGGAGAATGACATGTTGGATGGCGGCAGCGAGGGAGGTTGAAATGACCGGAGGGAAGATGGCGGCCTGTCTGTTCGAGTGTGATTTGAGTGGCGGGAGGGTGGCTTGTCCTGAGACACCAATATCGGTCCCGTCGGTTTCAACTTTCACAGCCGCAGTGGGAAGAAGCGTTGAATGCCGGTATTCGAGAGGATGGGCCGGAGGCGCAATGCGTGGAGGATGGCAGATAGAGGATGGAGGATGGAGGATGGAGGATGGGAATTCGCGCCTGTCGAGAAAAACGTTCATAATTGTGCCACCACCAACGAAGGCCGGTCGGCTTCGCCATCCCTCGGGCCATTTTGCTATACTCGGGGCGGCTTCGGAGTCAACCGCGCCGTACGAATTCTTCGTTATCCAATCAAATTCACCGATTTGGTCATTGTTGCATATCCTCGGATTCGTCACCACCTCAAACGTTGGGGTATCTTCCTCAGGTATTGATGGACGCGCCTTGAATTGGGAGCCCAAGCGAGATCTGAAGCTGGTACATGCTCCCAGATAAGGTATGCTTTTCGACTGTCATCGCGGGGTCTTGATAACAGTGAGCGCATGTCGTGCGTACATGTACATTGATTGATCTATGCCCTGATACAAAGGGAACCATGCCGTTCACTGCTACATTCTAATATGAACCCCCCAACCACTCAAACGCCCCTGAGCACCGTATTGTCCCTCTCGCTCAGTGCAATGTACCTCTCGCTCAACGCCTCCGAGACCGTCTTGTTCACCTTGGCCTCTGGTCGCAAGTACCGCTCATGCAGCGCCTTTTCCACGGCTGTGGTCCCAGGCACGATCTTGCCGTCAGCTGTAGGCTCCATCTTGTCCTCGGCGGCACCGACGGCTGCCTTTGCCTTGTCAGCAAGCTCCGTGGCCTTGTCCTTGCCGCTCTCCCACGCCGATGCCAACGCGCCCCGGGCCTCGACAGCCTTGTCCTCGGCCGCCCACTCGACCTTGGTCGCCGTCTTGTCAAACCTAAGTCGCGCCTCGAGCGCCTTGTTCTCCGCCGCCTCTTCCACGCTCAGCCCCTTGGCCTTGGCATTGCTGTATGCCGCTCTCGCCGCATCGGCCACGCCGCCCGTGACATCGGCCGCCTTGACCTTGGCCGTCTCCTTGACCCATTCGACCTCCTCAGCCGGCGTCTCCCCCGTCAGCTTGGTCCATAACCTCGTAGATTCCTTCTCGATGCGCTCCCTCACGCCGTCCCAGTCTGTGTTCTGCGCCCAGTGCACTGCGTTCTCGATCTCGTGATTCCAGCGATCCTTGGCGACCTCGACCGTGTGCGCGCGCTGCTCCGCGGCCACCTCTGACCTCGTCGGCGGCAGCGGTTGGGGGATTGGGTCCACGAGAGACTGGAGGGCCAACGCTTGCGCACGGAGGGCGGCACCTTGCTGTTCGCGGTTGCGCTGGTGCGTCAGGACGGAGAGGTAGGCCACCGAGAGGGTAAGGGCGACACCGCCGGTCTGCGTGCATGTTAGCTACCGTTATTTGGCCTGGATACCCTGGGCACAGGGCGAAACTTACAAAACCCGTGGTGAAGCCCATGGTGACCGAAAAGTTAGTTGGCAGGGAGCGATGCGATGAGGTAATTGTGTGCGGTTCGACGCGGTCTGAGGAAGATTGCAACACGCTCGCAATCGAAATACTCCTTTGGGTATTTCGGTTCGTTCCAGCTCTCAATTGGCCTGCTGGAGTCTGTGCCTGGGCGTTGTAGCAACGGTAGAAAGGTTGGGCGGCTGTTCACGGATTGACGTAAGGTAGCCAGCTTTCGGTGGACGAAAAGTTCCGGAAGCTTGGGCCGGTGGCCTACCCGGTATCATCTCTCATGCCGCTTGCTTTGTCCCAGTAGCAGTACGTAGATCGTTCAAGTTGACAGTCGCTTTAGATTAAAGTACATGTATACTTGATGAAAATTGGAGTTCTAGCACTTTTTGGCGCCGTGCTGATGTGCATTTGGCCAACATAACATATGAAGTGACATTATACAAAGAGAAAAGGAGGTTGACCAGGACATAGTTACACAGTGCTATTGACTTTTATCCAGCCTTCCCACTCTTGGAGCCACACAATAAGACAGCACGTCAAGGCATGATTTAGATACCAAGAGCGCATCTTAAACCTGAACATAATCATGTCAGTCATTGCATGCCTATCAAGATTCAGGATTAGGCGCGATCGTCAAGGTGGTGGGCGGGCGATGCTACAGGGTAAGGTAGCTTCAGAGATTCAGGTAGATACGCTAGTCCAAATATGCACTAGTGGAGCTCGTCGCGAACAAATTCAACCTCTACAATAGTCCACGACCCCTTCATCACGAACCCGCATCCCTCCCCATCCTCCGATCGAAGAAACCGCCGGACCATTCAGCACAATGGCGGGTGGCACAGTCAAATACAGACACCTCAGTCGAAACTCGTCCGCGCGACAGGCCCTGCTGCGCGGTCTCGTCACACAGCTCGTCCACCATGAGCACCTCCAGACCACATACGCCAAGGCCAAGGAGGCCCAGCGCGTGGCCGAGAAGCTTATCACCTTGAGCAAAAAGGACAATTCGACGAGCCGGAAATCCGTCGAGGCCATGCTCTACGTGCGTACCAAGGAGATAGACGGATACTAGCGGCCAGGTCTGACGAAGAACAGGAACCACACTCATACATGTCCAAAGTCTTTGGCGAGCTACGAAGCCGATATCTCACCCGCGAAGGAGGCTACACCCGTGTCGTGCGCACCGAGCCGATCAAGAAGAAGGACGATCAAGCCGAGGCGGCCATTCTCGAATTCGTCGACGGACCCAAAGACTCGCGCTTCATGATGACGGCCAAGACCGTCGCGCGCGACCGCCTCCTCCGCCGCGCCCCGACGTCCGTCACCGCCCTCAACGTCAAAAAGGTCACCCAGTTCCGCGGCACGCAGCCCTTTGAGGACATGGTGCAGCGCTTCCTCCAGAGGCACACCGAGGGCAAGACCAGCCTCGTCGACAAGATCCTGCACCAGACACAGTCCGCCAACCGGTCCGTGACGCCCAGGCCCCCCGCCTTCAAGATCCCGGACACACAAGAGTACGTCTCCCGGGCGACGCTGCGGGCGCAGAAGCCCGTCACCCCCCTCGACGGCGAAGGGACGAACTTGGAGGCCGAGGGCGCGCAGGTGGCTGCCGAGGAGAAGCGGAGAACGGCGGCGTGGGCGGAGCAAATCGTGCCCAAATCATTCAGGAAAGGCAAGGGGTCCATGGCGTGAGCATGTCGGGTAAGGAAATGTATCAATAGATGAAAGGGCGAGGCAATGGCCCCATGTACAAAATTATGTACCCGATACAACGAGTTAGTCTTTGGGTGTCAGGACAGGCCCAATGCAATCGCAGCTGTACATGTCGAGCAATATTCAATGTCGCTGTCTCAACAAATGCTGATAAGCCCAGCTACCTAGACAAAGTCAAACGTATCGCCACGGTCTTGTATCATCTTTCCGACCCTCTTGGAACCCACGGTCCGCTCCAACTTCATTACATCGTACTTGGAGAACATGACCCTGACGCTGCCCTGGCCCGGCTCGATCCTCATATCTTCCTCGCTCTTCCCGAGGTAGCCCCCGGCAATCTCCTTGTAGAAGATGGGGTTGTCGGGTAGGCCGTAGAAGATGACCCGGTGGACACCACGCAGCTGGTACCGGCGGAAGTGATGGGCTCTCTCCGTGTAGAGGAGCACACGATGCCTGCCGTTGAGGAAGTGTGACCTGGCGCGCGATGCCTCGGGAACGTCCGAGTACTCGGAAATGGCGCCAAAGCTCAGGCTCAGGACCTCCTGCGCATTCGCAAAGTAGTTGCGCACGCGCACAAAGTCCAGGTAGGATGGGATGTAGATCAGCGTCCCCGTCGCGTCCTTGGCCCGCTTGACGAGGCCCGGCACGATTGCGCTCGTAAAGTACTTGAACCGGGCATCGGGGTCCTTGTCTGGCGACGGAGCCTGGAACCGCGAAAATGTCTGCTTGGCCTTGACGCCGAGTTGCTGCAGGTTCCCCGCGTACTCCAGCTGCAGGCGCGCCTTGCCCTGCCAGTTCTGGCAGCGGGTTCGGAACAGCTCGGTGAGTTCAGGGGTGTTGAATGCCGACAGGATGACGGTCTGGCGGAAGTACTTGGCCCAGTCTTCCAGGTACCAGCTCCGGACACGACTAAAATCACAGTCGTGTGCGTCCTTGGGCTGCAGGTTCAGGTGCTCGAAAATGAATTCAATGTGCTCCCAGTTTTGCATCAGGAGGGCGTCGGACTGATCCATAACCACCATCTCGATCGAGCTCAGAAAGTCGTAGTCGACCTTTTTCTTCTCCTCTTCGGAACCAATGGCCATCCGTAGTCCCAGGGGACTCGCAAAGAGTATGTCGGAATTGTAGAACTGCGCAAAGTACTTCATCGTCTTGCGCGTAAACTTGACGCCCAGGCGGAACATGTCGTCGTCGTTGCCTTCGAACAAGTCTCTAAAGTCAATGGGCCGATCCTGGCCGAACGTGTTCTGCTTGTCAATGTAGGACTCGTCGAACCGCTTCCTGTTCTCCTGCTGATCAGGCTCGCACAGATCGCGCAGCACGTTGATCATACGAGCACACGAATTCCTAGTGGGCAGCAAAAACAGAACTTTCGGGCGTGTGAAGCCTTGGTCGCGGAGGTCGAGCTCCGCATTGTCGCTCTCTTTTGCGAGCTTGTAATTGTTTTTGATGACCTTGTCTCTTGTTCTTCGATTGTCAGCAACTAGGATAATACGCAGGGGAAAAGAGCAACTCACTTGAAGACATGATTTAACGCGTGCAAGCAAACCATGCGCCGCAGCGCTTGTGAATCCTTGACTGTGCGATCGCAATGCAGGATATCCCGATAGCCAAAAAGCATCGGTGCAATCCCCTGCTCGACCTCGCTCAGGTTTGTCAGATGTTTCGCGGCGGTTTCCTTGAGTTTCTTCTTCAAGCCATACGGCTCCAGACTCGTTGTATGCGATGGTATCTCCATGTTGGCGTCCGTCCCCGGCTGTTGAAACGTGGCCCTCCAGGGCTTGAACAGAGCCCGCTTTGTTGTCCACTCGCCAGATTTCGCAGCCTTGACAGACATTGCACTCTTCTCCTCGTCAGGGCGAGCAAAGTGGATGTCGAATGGGTCCGTCGCCTCCTCCTCGCCATCAGAAGAGTCATCTTCCAGTGGTTGTTCGTCCATCTCCGGCCCGGCATCTTCTGGCTCATCGACGGCATCTGCATCTTGGGTCTTGCCCTCATCTTCGCTCTCGTCATCATTCCCGTCCTCCGGCGCTTCCATGTCGATGTTTGCCGCCTTCGAGGATGAGTGGTCGAGCTTGCGACGCTTTGCGTTTGGAGCATTATCATCCGTGAACCCTTGAAGAAGAGCCACGTACGGTCGCACTGGCGCAGCCTCTTCATCGTCATCATCTTCCAACATGTCCTCGTCCACAGACCCAGCAGCGTCTTCATTATCCTCAGACCCAGAAGTTCCGTCTCTTTTCAGAGTTAGCAATTCCATCCAGCGTATGCCTGCAGTGAGTTCAACTTACTCGTCTTGTACTTCTAGACGAGCCCCGTCAAAACGGCTGTTCGGGCCCCATCGGCTTGTGACTTTTCCCCGGCCTCTGCCTGCACCACGCCCTCGACCTCCCCGTCCACGCGAACCACGAGCTCGGAAGCCACCGCCTCTACCTCGAGGTCCCATGATGTTTTGGCTTGGCTGGGTATACTTGATGACCTGCCGTATCTGAATCAGAAGCCAAAAAAAAAAAAAAAGTAGAAGCGATTGCTGTACAAAGTTCAATGAGTTCTGGGTCTCTCATCAAGCTCACAGAAAAGTTCACAGGATCCCTGCTCAGGCTAAGGATGTACAGAGTAGTCCAGCCACATTCTGTGGGGCTGCCTCGACTTTTCCTGCGCCACAGCTCTTATCTTATCTTAGCGCGCACAACCCCCGGGTAGACTTTGCAGGCGCGACGTCGGCACACAAATTTGCCAACAAGTTGCTTGGGAACAGTCGTAACTTGCCGTCGTCGCGAAAAACTGTGGGCCCCAGGCTCCTGGAACGCCCAGACAGGCCCCTCCATCGCAACAAAAGAAGATCCTCTCCATACCGCAAAAACGTCCTCCACACCACTCGACATCACCACCTAAAATCCTCCCTCACAGCCAGCGACTACCACGCTATTGCCCAGCATGGCCGCTGTCACGGAGAGATTCATGCATCTCTCGCGCCCCCTGGGTCCTCAACAGGCCGGGCTTCAGTCGAGCATTGCCCCGCTTGGTGTCAGCATCCAGCCTCAGGTACATTATACTCTCGAGTCGATGCTGTGCCGTTCTTCTCTGACCACATTGCCCAGGCCATCCTCTCGATCCTCGACCACGCTACCCGACGAGACGTCCGTGATGCGTCCCAGCCCAGCCGCGTCATCGGCGCCCTCGTGGGCACCCGATCCGAGGACGGCACCGAAGTCGAAGTCCGGTCTTGCTTTGGCATCCCGCACACCGAGGAGGAGGACCAGGTTGAGGTGGACGTCGAATACCAGAAGAACATGCTCGCCCTAACCCTCAAGGCCAACCCGCGTGAGGCCCTGCTCGGCTGGTACACCACCTCGCTTGAGCTCAACAGTTTCAGCGCCCTCATCCAGAACTTCTTCGGCAGCCCAGACACCGGCACTTTCCCCCACCCCGCGATTCACCTGACTGTCTCGACCGACCCCAGCACCGCCATCGAGACCCGATGCTACATCTCCGCCCCCGTGGCCGTCAACTCGGAGCGCGCGGCCGAGAGCTGCCTGTTCATGCAGGTCCCCCACAAAATGCTCTACGGCGACGCGGAGCGCTCTGCCCTGGGCGCCATCTCGGCCGCCAAGGACAATGAGAACCGGAACGCCCCTCTCGTTTCGGACATTGAGGCCCTCGGCGCATCCATCGAGCAAACCATCGGCCTCCTCGACCGTGTCAGCGAATGGGTCAACGGCGTGCTGGACGAGGACGAGGAGCCCAACGCTGCGCTGGCTCAGTTCCTCATGAGCACCCTGTCCCTGGCGCCCAAGGTGGACCCTGAGCAGATTGAGCACGACTTCAACAACCACATCCAGGACGTCCTCATGGTCGGCTACCTGGCCAACACCATCCGCACGCAGATCGATCTCGCGCAGAGGTTAGCCACGGCGAATATCCAGATTGGCGAGAAGGAGGGCGACAACAAGAACGAGGGTGACAAGGACGGTCAGCGCGGCGGTGGCAAGCGTGGCGGCCGAGGAGGCCGCGGTGGAGGCAGGGGAGGTGGTCAACAGCGTGAGCCCCGGGAGCCACGTGAGCCTGCGGAATAGGGCGTTAGCTTTGACGATAGAACGACAAATGGCGGGTTCAGGCATTCAATTGGCATAGTGTTCCTATACTGCTTACTTAGGCGTTGCGGAAGGTCAAAAAGAGAAAATTCTTTGACCGCTGGGATTTATAGCCAAAAAAATTGAAAAAGAAAGATTGTCAAAAAATAAAAATACGCGAGACTCGTCATTCATGGAATGATGATTTCATTCTGTAAACCCCTCGAGCCGATGATGTGTGTACCTGCTCTGTGGAATACATTTGCCATACGGCGTTCCTTATTCTCAGAATTCGTCTTTTCTTTTCCACACCCGCACCGCCCTGATAACGCCAAAATGCTAAAATGCTTCATGAAAAGCCCTGTACGCGGCTCATGATAAGTGCCCCAACACCGTCTGATGCTTTCTAGAATCCATTGGCCGGCTTTTGTGGAAGGCTTGCCGGGTTGCCGTATGTTGGCAGGTGGTTGAAGTTTGGAGGGGGAGGGTGGTGTGCCGGCTGCTGTGAGGCATGCGGTCGTGAGGTATGAGGGAATTGGTTTGAGGATACGTGCTGCAAGGGCATCTGCTGAAGGCCGGGCTGCGTAGGCTGCTGATATTGGCCATACATAGGGGGCATTTGGGCTGTCTGATAGCCGGGGGCCGAGGTGTTTGAAGCCTGCCGTACCATGCCATATCCCCCGTTGTAGGGTTGTGGAGGCCCTGCCTGGTATGGGAACGCAGGCGCCGTGGACCCTATCTGGGGACTTCCATGGTGCGATGTAGGCGCCGTGAACGGTGGCTGCGGCCCTGGCCCTGGAGGCATCCCTACGCTCCCCGGCACGAAAGACTGGGTTTTGGGGTTGAAGCTGTGGTTCCGGTTGTAGCTTCCGGGAATAGGATGCTGCGACTTGGGGTCATGAGGATTCATGTGCGCAGGGAGCTGGCCAAAAGCATACGGAATGCTGGGACTGCCTCCTTTTGGCTGGTAGCCCGCAGGTGATGAGGGCGCGGGACCCCAGCCTTGCTGCTGCTGCTGCTGCTGAGGCGTTCCCGGTGTTGATGGGACGTACGGACTGCCACTGCTCGGAAACCTCTGGGGTTGCGCATGCGGCGGGTACTGTGCCTGCGCCACGGGATAGGTGGGATACCCTTGACCGGCGGGCGCCCCTTGGGGCGTACTAGGTGCCATACCAGGTACTGCCCCTGGCATGTTGGGATGTCCCGCAACATTGAGCGCATAGCCTGGTGCCATGCCTGAGTTGTACAGTTGCTGCATGCTGGCGTGTGATGGCAAACCCTGACCATAGCCAGTGCCCCAGGCTGCCTGCTGCGGAGACCAGTACGGCGTGTAGTTGTTTCGGGAGTCGAAACCATCAGAGTCGTCACGCCGATGCCTTGCACCGCGACGAGCCTTGCCTTGGGCTGTTTTATTGTTGCTGGCCGAGACCGAGCTGGTCCTTGAGACACCATTGTCCTTGTCTGCATCTGGATGGTGTCAATAAGGTACAGGGTCAAAGACCGAGAATAGGACTCACCCTGGGCACTGTCCTCGGCGGATCCGAAGATACGCTCACGCGCTAATTTGTAAATCTCTTCGCGTTCTTCGCGAGTCAGTCTACTATATTAGTATCCTGGCATAGTTTACTGTGACAGCTTTCCACTCACTTTTGGCCGGACTGGGACTTTTCTTTGCCCTCTTTCGAATCTGTGCCTGATTCCGAAGCTGGCTTGGACGGTGCCGCGCTGCCTGTGCCTGTCTCATCCTCCTGGCCTCTGCGCATGATCTTCTTGGGTAGAATCATCGGGGGCGACTCTTCCTTCTCTTCCGCCTTGGGCTCAGGGTTCCAGTTGGCGAGTGAAGTCGGAACTCGACAAAAAGGGGTCCGGAAGATGCGCACAGCGTCTTTGCTGGGCTCGTAAGAATGCGTCATGTGGTAGTAGTCGGCCAACTTGTGTGCCAACATTCTGTAGAAGGAATTGCCAGCTACCACGTCTTCAAACGGTTTACTGCGAAAATAGTCAGTAGATGGTCGCGGGCAGAGGTGGACCCAACATACTTGGAGTTTTCCACGAAATTGATCAGAAGAGCCTCGACCCTGAGCAGGTAAAGTCTGTCCTTTTGGTCTCTCATGGCGTCAATCAATTTGTCGTCAGGCGCTTGGCGATAGATGACATCAAGTGCGTCAGGAGGCGCCGAAGAACCTGTCAATGGAGGCAGTACGCCGCGCGCCTGCTGCTCAGAAGCGTTGCTGTGAGGTGTGAGAACACCAGGACCCGAGCTGGCTGGCGTGGCCTGCATGAGCCGGCGATCGGGCATGTCGCCTAACTGAATACCCCTGGCGCGAGCCGCAAGATCCGATCCCATACGTGAACCGGCGAAGATCGACCCCCGGACAGAAAAGACCTCATCGTCGTCACCTGCTGCCATCACACTGGCGCTGTCGTCAGGCCGCAGTGACTCCTTCTCGTCCAGAGCAAAGGTGGTCCCGGAGGTGATACTTTTCCCGTCAAGACTAGGCGGCTTTGTGCCAAGTTCGGAACTAGAATCGGCACGCTGCGAACAGTCTGAAAGAGCGCTCTCCCGACTCACGATCGCTGGCCTGCTCAAATGCATGTTGCCTGCCCCTTCGTCAACCGACTCCTTGCATCCTTGGAGGTGCGTGTTGAGTTGGACACCGCCCAGAGACTCTGCTACATTGTCCACGGTCAAAGGCCGTTGCTCAATAGGTCTACTACTCGCGTCCCGACCTCTGGTGCCACTCACGACCACAGGAACGCTGTGCGAGTCAACCGTCTGGCCGGTGGGAGGTTGTGTTGACATTGGGGGCCGGTTCTCCTTGCCGTCCCCGCCGATCTGAGGTGTCGAAGTCGAAGGGGGTTCCGCCATTGTTTTAGCTGCTGCCACCTGCTTGTGAATTAGAAACGCATGGTCGGAAAGGAAGACAGAGTTCATACCCGGGCGAATGACGGCTTGTTAGCTTTCGCAGACATTGGCAAGCTAAGTCTGATCGACAACCAAATAATATCCAAGCGCACCAAGGAGCCCGTGTGAGTGTCGTGTCCACACGGCAAAAATCAGTGACTGGTTCTGGGAATTTATCGAGACAAACAATCTCAGGGGAGCGTGTTACGAAAGCCTTTCGGACGAGAATGAAGGATGGAAAGGCGTGATCAAATTAGTAGGCGAAAGGAGTTGAAACAGGGCGGAACAACGAAGTCGTGAGCGCGTGGTTCATCGTCGAGACAAATGCTGAATATTATAGGTCGTCATTGAGTCTTCGCAAGTCGTTATGTCGATTATGCTGTGGACATTGTCAGTGGGATGATGCGAAAGGACAAATCGAAGCACAATGGTATATGTCGTTGCCCAGACTAGGCTACGAGCCTCAGGAGGGGGTAGCGCTTCTGGAAGGGGCACCAAGACTTTGATGGAAAGCATACCTTTTTCAAGCGCCCATGTCTCAGCCCTGATCGACGACTGCGCACAAAGATGTTGCGGGATGCGAGGTCGACGTGGATAGTCGATGGTGGGGAGGCGTTCCAGCGCAAGGCGTCCGACAATATGCAAGGAGCTGAAGGTCAATCAATTAGCGGGCCATCGGGCCAGCTCGGATGTGAGACCACAGAGAGATGGACTGTTTCCGGTACCGAGTAGAGGTCGACTTGTAGGGGATGGTACTGAAGCGAGTCCCAACCCAGTTGCTTTTCAGAGTGGGAGAGTTTGGTGTCGGGAACATTCACGGAATTCAAAAGGTGGTGAATCTAGCGCCGGCAGAACCCACCATCAGCCTCAGTTCCAGCCCGTCGCCTTGCTGCTGCTTGCGAGCTTAGTAATCACACCAGAAACAAGCTTTTGAGCAGTGACTGTTAATGAGGACCAACAATTCATTCTGATCGACTAATGAATCACTGGATTGCAGTGCAAGACCGCCCAGGCTGGCTGAACCTGCACCAAGGATCAAGGCGCTCTAGCCTTTCCAACCGAAAGGTAACACTGATCACGTGATGAAGATTATGCTGCTACGTACCACGTTCTCGGGACGACTCAGACCTGGGATCAGTTTGACGGCATTTACATCGACGTCTGCCTCACTTCATCTCGAACTGACTTGTCTTCCCAAGAATAACAAACTACGCGATCTCTGGAAAGAGCCATCAGCACATTATTCGCCATGTTCGGCTACACGGGACGCGGGGGACCTTCGAGAGGTACGCCCGCCAGCGTTCAGTGTCAAAAATGTCTAAAACGAGATATGTTCATGATCCGTCCAATCCGTCCATCTACAAGTACACACAGCCTGACATGACCAACGCCACTACTCGTACGAGTGCAAGGCATCGGCGCAGGAAAGACCTTACGTTTCGCGGCCATCTCGCTCACAGCAGTTGCGAAACCCCAAGCTAGCACCGAAGCTTGAGAGTGACAAGCTTGAAGTTTTGGAGAAAAAGTCGGTCTTGTTGATTGGGCTACAGGCGTAGTTTGGCTCGCTAACGGTGTTACAGAAAAGGAATCGCGGATGAAGAGATTGCAAAGCTGGAGGCTGAAAGGGCAAGAAAGCGTGAGTTGGAGGACAGCGACGATGACATGCTGCGCTCTGCACCGAAGAGGCAACGCTCGCGCTCGGCATCTTCAGAATCTGTCGCGACTATATCAACCAGGAGCTCAAGGAGCACGCGCCGCAGAAGTCCATCAGACTCGCAATCCAGATCACCGTCTCCGCGCCGTGGTGAAGTGGTGGAGCACCGGCCCAATCGCAGCATGTCTCCCGTCCCTGGGCGACAGAGACCATCCTCGAGGAATAGCAGGTCTCCGCCACGGCAGCCCGTCGAGAACTATCGCTCCCGAGATGACTCGCCTCCTCGAAGATATGACGGCAATAGGACCACGCGCCGGGAACGAAGGTTCTCTTCCGTGTCCAAAGGATCCAGAGATTCGCGGCCCCGTCACAGAGATACATCAAGGTCGCCAGATGCCAACAGGCCGCGCTATCGCGAGGACAAGCGCGAGTCTGAGCCGCAGAGAGATAATCGGGCTGGCCTCGAGGGCCCAGGACAGCAGCGGGAGCGTAGCCTGAGCCCCTTCAGCAAACGTGTAGCATTGACCCGGTCCAGGGCTCCTTGAGGGTAGAGATCGTGCCGGTATAAGCCGTGGGACGGTGGGACGGTGCGCGGTGGTGCCTTTGTACGATATGCGCGGGCAATAGTAATTTGGCAAACATGAGTGCTCAAGCCGCGTTCTCCGCTTCGGCCTCGGCCTTTTCTCGTCGTTCCTCCTCCTCCTCCTCCTTCTCTCTCATACGTAGTCCCTCTACCAGTGTGACGCCGTCCACCCCAGCCGCTTCCCCGTCCATCTTTTCCTTCTCCAGACCATTGGTTTTCTTTTTTGCCTGCTGGGCGGCTGCGATTCTCTCTCGTACCAAGCGAGCAATGGCGTTGTCTGTCCGTACATTGAGGATTTCCATCTTCTTCTCGAGATCGCGTTTTAAATCCCAGTTCGGCTTCCTGGGCTGTAGCTTGAAGAGATCAATCCCCTTGTCGTCCCGTGTCGCTTCTTCTGCGCGCAGACGCGCCTCCTGTTCCAGTTGTGCTGCTTGCTCCTCGAGCGTAGCCTTGTCCTCGGCCAATGTTGGCGGTGCCTCGAACCCGAGTTTGGGCCCTCTGGTTTCTGGGTCATAGTTGCGCCCGGATAGGTGCAGCGACGACAGGTCTTTCTCGGGAGCTGGCGGCGATGGCGAGCGAGTCGACTCGGGGGCGACAATCTCGTCTGTGGGTTGTTTGCGCTTGAGATTGCGCAGGTTGGCCAGACGAGCCTTTCGATCGTCGGCAGCGGCGCTCAGATTCGATTGAGAAGACATTGTGGATGCAACAGCAAGCGGACACAATCCTGATATCGATAAAAAGGGCTTTGCAGATTGTCAAGGACGAATGTGAGACAATGGCAAGTGTCGCAAAGCGTGCTTCAGACTATGATCGCGAGAACAGTCTTGACTTTGGTGGTGTTTCGATGTTTGGAAAAAGAAGGTGGGTCATGATGTCCAGGACTCCCTCCAGATGCAGGTGTTTGGGCGCCCAGACGCTAATGGCCAGCGGCTCCACTTCAGGCGGACTGGACCTGAGAACTCAACCCCCGAAATCTTGTCGCGGAAGTTCATCAACCTACAGCGACTCCATCGTTGGCCCCCGTGCTTCCATTCATTCAATTCCAGATCATATGAGGATCTCACCTTGTGGATGCTTAACTTGAAGCAGTATGACTGCCTCTTTATGCCGCACCTGCGCGCGTCGGCTGCCGACACCATCGATCGTTGCTCGCCGTGCCCCTACGATCCTCAACCGCCAGTCCTCCTCGTCCAGCGCCACACACTCAAGCCGCTGGTCTGATGCGGAAGAATTCGTTGCCAAGCAAGAGGCGCTGCAGCGCGATACCGAGCAATATCGTATCGAGCATGTCCCTCCACAAGACGAAAGCTTCCTCGAAGAACCGGACGAGGGCGGATTGAAGCGAAACTGGCATCGATTCACTGCCTCCAACAAGAAAATTGAGGGGACCTGGCGCCAGTTCAGCCCGGATCTCGACCTTCTCCGGGACAACTGGGCAGCACTGAGCCATGACGAGCGTGAGGCGTACTGGACGCCCATGCTGGCGGAGACAGTCAGAGCCGATCCTGGCTCGATTGCCCATGTCCTCGACGCCACAATGAAGCGATGGCCTCCGCAGCAGGAGGTCGCACAGGCCCTCGACGTCTTTTCCGGCTATTTGTCCCGCTATCGCAAGCAGCTTGGAGGAGCAGATGCCACCTGGAAAGAGATGAGGGACAAGGGGTACAAGGTTTTGATGACAATCCTCGGAGACCTGCCTCCCGAGTTCCAAGCTCTTCCTCAGAGGGTTCTCGGCAAGTTGGCTCGCAACTTCACGCCGGAACAAGCTCTGCACTCCTGGGAGGCTCTCAAGAATGCCGGCGTACGGACGCACCCCAACACCGCTCTGCACTTTGCCAGCAGTCTCGCTCGACGCGGAGGTGGCGAGACCAGCGCGAAGGCGTTTTATATCCTCAAGGGGCTCGCACTGAAGAACGTCAAATTTGACCAGCCTCGGTACGCCAGTGTCATCACCGCTCTGCTCACCAATTCCATGAGCAAGGTTCAAACGCCCAGAGACGCGCCTACGCCAGGCGACGAGTTTCTGCCTTCAAAAGCCGTCGAGTTCTTTGTACAAAGGGGCTACAAGCCGAATGTAATCACCCTGACGGCCTTCTTCCAGAACCTCATGAGCAGGCACGAGTACGACGAGGTCCTGGAGGTCGCCAAGGCATTTTCGCGAATTGGCGTCCGTTTCGACCGCGTCGCGCTGGGCGTTTTGCGTTTTGCCGCTCTCAAAACCAAGCACAGGGTGGAGAACGTACAGCACATTCTGGAGCTCGCCCGGCAGCACACCAAGGATGACTTGTATGTTACGCAGCAAACATTGAACGCGCTCTACTTCCTTGGGGAGGCTGAAGCCCGGGACGGCCACGTGGAGCACAATGCGTGGTCATCGGTGACATTCGATCTCATGCTCAACGTTTACGGCAAGACGTTTGCCATGCAGGAACTCCGTCGCTTCATACCTGATGACAGTCTACAGCAGAGACTGCACGATGCCGCCGAGAGGCAACGGCAGGGTATACCACAGGGCCACTCTGCCCATGCTCTGACGGGAATGGTAGAGACCCTCTTTGGATCGAAATCCAGAGCAGAAGACCAATACTCCCCACTCGACGTTGGGAGTCTGAGCTTCATGCTGAGGGGCTACCTAAAGTCCTTGCGCAAAGGCTCCGAGATCGCGCCATTCTACTACCACTTCAAGGGCAGTCTTCACGACCCCAGCAGCCTCGCCTTCAAAATGATCGCAGAGCACGGCCCTCTTGTACACAATGCTTTCCTTCAGGTCATGCTGTCTCATGACGTCTTGCTGCGGCCGGCGCTTCAGGTCCTCGCCGACATGCTCAAGACGCCAAGGGCGCTACCCAACGCGCACACGTACGCCATCCTCCTCGACGGGCTGCACAGGCTAGGGCGCGTGGATATTGCCGACAAGGTCAAGGCAGTGATGACGGAGGCCGGGGTCAAGCCCAATGCAGCCGTCTTCAACCTGCTGATCAAGCGCTATGCCACCAGCAAGGAGGACTCCAAGGCCATTGCCGCTCTCCGTGAGCTGGGAGAGGCTGGCCTGGTGCCGGACGCGCACACGGCCAAGGCCGTTACGCGCCTCGGTGGTGACGTGCACGTGAACCGGGCGGCGGACTTGGTGGAGCAGATTCGCCAGCAGAACGATGTCGCCGACGCGGAGGTGGCGCAGGGTCGGGATGAAGCAGAGAAGCTCGTTGAGACGAGAGAGATTCCGAAGCCGACCTTTGTGTAGACTAGACAGAGCCACAGACAGCAGTGGCCATGAACGCTGTGACTTGGTGTAGACACTACCAGCTACAAGCCCTGGCACAAGCATATTTCATGATACAATAGTGGCAGGACCAACAAGACCAATTAAGTAGCTCGAATTGAGATCTGCCACATTCTATGACCAGCAGCGTGATTGCGGCCCTCGTAGCGCATCATGTGTTCCACCGCGATGGCCAGAGTCGCACCGCGATGGCCAGCGACTCATGGTGCCGCCCCTCGACCTTCAACCTCTGCTTACTCCTGTCATCCTGCAAAATTGCGCAGCACGAGTTCCTCATGTCCCGAAGCGCTCCTGTGGCAGATTCCCAAATGTGAACGATAACATCTATCAAACATGCCGGACCCAGGTCTCTCGCAATTCACGACGGTCTTCCGCGCCTCCGAGCCGCGCCGGATCAAGCGCAACAGGCAGCCCGTGTCATGCACCGCCTGCCAGAAGCGCAAGTCGCGATGTGACCGCCGGCAGCCGTGCGCCGCGTGCGAGAAGAGAGGCGACGCACCAAGCTGTCATTTCGGCCCAACCGCCTCTGCCGCCGCCGCCAACCCAGGGCAAAACCGCACCGAGGTGCAGGACCGCCTGAGCAAGCTGGAAGCGCTGGTGAAGCAGCTCGCCGAGGAGCAGACGGGCGCCAGGCACGGCGTGCACGTCCAGGATGGCCATGTCGACGTGCATACCTCTCGGGCAGAGGACGCGGCGCGGTTGGAGTATCGAGGGCCGACGTCGTGGGCCTCTGTGGTCGACAATATCCACGACATACAAAGTGCGCTCGAGGCGGAAGATAGTGACCAAGGACCAGAGTCGGATGTCTTGGACGTGACAGACATTTTGTGCGGGTCATCCAGGACGACGATGGATGAGATCTTGCAGGTTCTCCCGTCGCGCACGGATGTCGACAAGCTCATCTCGGCGTACTTGAATGCCAAGTTCATGTCGATACCTTTTATCCATCCTGGGCAGTTCCGCCGCCAGTACGACAAGTTCTGGGCCGACCCAACCTCAATAAGCATGTGCTGGATCAGTATTCTATTCTCGATCATGAGTTGTGGAATCAAAATTACCCTTGTCAAGACTATATCGCTGTCCTCGGGCCCAGAGAGCCGGGATGCCTCATTGTACATGAACATGGCAGCCAAATGCCTCGTCACGGGCCAGTACCTCAAAGGAAGCCCGCACTCTGTGGAAGCCCTCATTGCTCACGTTCACTCGCGGCACATTCATGGACAGGACAGCGACGCCACCTTGTGGACCATGTTTGGCACCGTTGTCAGGATGGCGCAGCGCCATGGCTACCATCGAGAAGCACACAAGGTCTCTGCCAAGATAAGCCTCTTTGAAGCGGAAATGAGGCGCAGGGTGTGGTTCACCATCATGTCCTACGATCTGCTATGGTCCATCCAGCAGGGGATGCCACCCATGATCCACGAGGACACTTGTGACACTGCTCTCCCTTTGAACATGGCCGACGAAGACTTTGATGAGAACAGCATGAAGTTAGTGCCCCGGCCAGCGACGGAGCCACTGCCCATACTGGCCTACATTACAAAGTATCGACTGTTGCATATACTCCATCCCGTTGTACGACACGCACTTGGCATCAAACGCGGAACGGCAGCCGACGCGGCAGCGTTGGGCACAGCGCTGGACAAGTGGCACGAGAATGTCCCAGCGTGCCTCAAGTACAGGCCCATACGCGAGTCGTCCTTCACCGACGCCAGCCACACCATCTACCACAGGAACATGCTCGAGATGACGTACCACACCTCTCGATGTGTACTGATGAGGTCGTTCCTGTCGAGCCGGGGCCAGTCCGGCATCTACACGCATGCCCTTGCGATTTGCCGTGAGTCGGCGTTGCAGCTGATTGCGATGCAAGTGGACGTGTATAGCGAGACGCAGCCTGGCGGGCGTCTGTACGAGGACCGTTTCATGGTGTCCAGCCTTTCCCTGTTCAGCTTCCTGATAGCGGCCATGATCCTTGTTCTGGAACTGCACGACTACGACCAGATGCCGTACGTGTTCCCCTGCGCAAGCCCGGCTTGTGAGTGCTGCCAAAGGGCCAGTCAGGAAGAGAGGGCACATTGCACGCAAGTCCTGCGTTCCACGCAGAAGATGTGGGAGACCCGAAGCGACACCTCGGCCGATGCTGCGCATGTCAAGAGGATCTTGAAAGCCATGCTGCGCTGCGTAGATTCTCCAGGCTGGCAGTCGGAGTCGGACACGCTGTGTCGAACGACACATGCCCAGGAGGAGGAGCCTGAGAAGGCGTCCGAGAGGAATCCGTGGTCTGACGGTGTCCTGCCAACAGGTTCCCACGGGTTCCCGGAAGGCAGTGTCGGATTTGATGCAACGCTGCCAATGGAGAGCTTCTTCAACGATGTTGAAGGGCTGGACTGGGTAGGCCCCCATCCCCCCGGCGCTGAACCCATGAAGCTTCCTGAGATATTGACAATGACGGCAGAACTCTATAGATAGTTACCTACGATACGACCCGATGGAGATTCTGACCATGGGAGAGATATTTCCATAAACGGTACCATGGGCAAGAGAGTGTCCTCCCTAAACCCCGTGAGGTCGGACTTAGGCGTACATATATTACCCGATTGAGAAATACTCAACCCCGTCTCAGCCGCTCCGGATGGACTATCGTCATCAGACTCACGAGAAGTCGCGCGGTGTATTGGAACGACCCGGTCCAGTCCGCGAATACCGTGGCAATATATACAAGCAGGCTGCCAGAATAGACCGGCCCCAGGAAATATAAAAGGCCACTGCTACCTCGCCTAGGATCTCCTTCTCAACTCCTGAGGAAGCTCCCATCCACAAAGACGACAATTGACACACTCGCCACAAGACCAAACTGAGATAGTCTAGCAACCATGTCTTCGGCGCCCACCACTCGTCACGCCCTCGTCTTCGAGACTCCCGAGCAGCCACTCGTCCTCAAGTCGGAGCCCATCCAGACCCCTACCGCCCACGGCAGCGCCGTCGTCCGCATCCTCTCCACCACCACCCGCCCTCACAACAAGGCCAGCTTCGCCGGGAAGCGCGTCCTGCCTGTCACGGCCCCCTACGTCCCCGGAAACTCGGCCATAGCACGCGTCATCGACGTGGGCCCGGACGCCGTGTCCCTTGCAAAGGGACAGCTCGTCTATGTCAGCGGCTTCATCACCGCGCGAGACGACCACACCAACAGCCAGGTCCTCCTCGGCTTCTCCGACCTGGGCGCCTCCCAGTCCAAGAAACTCTTCAAGGCGTGGCCCGGTCTCTGGGCCGACGTCGCCACCGTGCCCCAGGAGAACTGCGTGCCCCTGAACGAGTCCCTCCTCTGCGGCACCATGGCCTACACCCTGGGCCAGCTCGAGTACATTGACCGCCTCGCTGTCGCCAACGGCGGCGTTTCATCCGCCGCCCTCCGCGCCGGCGAGACCGTCATCGTCTGTCCTGCCACGGGGCATTTCTCAGGCGCCGTCGTCGAGCTCGCCGCCCAGATCGGCTGCCACGTCGTCGCGCTCACCCGCTCCGCTGCCAAACTCGAGCCGCTCACCGCACGGCACGCCAGGATCAGACCCGTCGAGCTGACTGGCGATGTCGACGCGGATGCGAAGGCCATCCGTGCCGCGTGTCCACAGGGCATGGCTGACGCACTGATCGACGTCTCGCCGCATGAGGCCGCGGCCAGTCCGTCGCACCTACACGCTGGCCTGAAGGTGCTCTGTGGCCATGGCCGTGTCGTCTTCCTAGGTGCGATGGAAAACGTCAGCATCCCCTATATGAGCATCATGGCGCGCAACATCGCCATCAAGGGTCAGTTCATGTTCACGCGTGAGATGACGGCCGCGCTGGTCAAGATGATCGAGTCTGGCGTCGTGAAGCTCGGCAAGGAGGCCGGCCACAATGTACGGGCGTACAAGATGGAGGACTGGCAGCAGGCCATCGCGGAGGCGGAGACGGCAACGAATTGGGGCGAGCAGATTGTGCTCGAGCCTTGAGGGCGCGGAGATGGCCGCGGATATGGGCGTAGATGGGCGTAGATGGCTGGGCCCTTGGAGCTTGGGCATGTTGACAACGCGGGTGGTCTGGCTTTTGGGTCGCACGACCACGTGTGACAACAGTGAATATTCAATCAAGATTTCTGACTGGACAGTATCTGAAGGAATCTGCCACGCCGCATCGCGTCAAAGGCTTAACCTGCCCGCCTGCCCATGACCATCGCGATCTCTTGCTTGTTGTTATTGTTGTTGATGTTGTTGCCCACGCTAGATTTGTTTGCCTGGGTATCTTATGTAGCCTTGTCTATAGATGGCAGACCTTCGTCAGGTGTATGATAGCAGCTTCCAGAGCTCGCCTCGAAACGAAAGCCCAGCCCCTTTTCCCTCTTTCCAATAAATAACATTGCGCAGACATTCCTGACGTTACCCTGCGCTCCCAATCATGTGCTCATGAAACATAATGCCATACTCTAAACCTATCCCACAGTACATCCCGAATAGATGTGTCTAAACCGCCATGGCATCGCCGACCGCAACGTGTGCTGCCAAAGATGGTAATTATGCAGGTCAAGACGAAATGCCACGCAAAACCCGAGCCGGATTCCCGGCCACGACAGTGAAAGGGGGGACATCCTGCAGGAAAGAGGGTCAGCGCTGGGCCGCGAGGTGAAGCGCGGATGGCAATGAAAATAAACATACCTTGGTGACAACAGAACCGGCCCCCACGGTGCTGCCCTTCCCAACTGAGATGCCCGCGAGGATCGTCACACCGCCAGCAATCCAGCAGTTGTCGCCAATCGTCACGTTCTTGCCGGACTGAGGGCCCTGCCCTCCCTGGCGCCTCTTAGGATCCACTGGCAGAGTCGACGCGTAGATACTGACGTTCGGCGCGATGACGGTGTTGTCGCCAACCTTGACCTCTCCGACATCGTTGATCGTGCAGTTGCGCCCGATGGATACGTAGTTGCCAATGGTAATGTTATAGCCATAGTCGCAATTGAACGGGGTTTCGACTGTGACGGAGCGTCCCACGTGTCCGACGTGGGTGATCGGGGAAGCCTCTCCGGGGGAGAGTCGGATGGGATCGCGAGGTTGCAGAATCTCCAGAAAGAGACGCGCTCGTTCTTCGGGCGAAACTCCGTAACTTGGCGGTGTTGTCAGGTTGTTGAACCTCCAGCACGCCGCTGCGCAGCGCTCCCTCTCCAGGACAAGCTCCTTGTCGAAGGGGTAGAAGGGACGGCCGACGAGCATCTGCTCCTTTTGCGTGCGCTTCTGCGAGTACGCGGCCTGGGACAGGGCCAGTTGCGCGGCCATCTGAGAGCTTGACGGTGACTGTACTGCTGACGGAGGAGCAGGGCTGCTGTTGCGGTTCGGATGAAGCAGGTTAATCTGAGGTAACTGGCCTCGCTGGCGATCTGGATGGGGAGTCTCAGGCTCGTTCCTGCCCAGTTCGTGCAGCGAAGGTACGCGCTGCTGGTAATCCTTGGCCATCCTGTCGCTGAACGGCGGAGGTTGCGTGTTCGCGCTGATGGGTGTCGGGAAAGCGTTGGCGGGCGTGTAGGGCATGGCGGACAGCTTGTTATCAGGGCTCGTGACAGACGCGCTCGGGATTGTTGACGCTGTTGGCCGGTCATCATCCGTGACCAGAGGCCGGCCTTGGGGCGGGTCGATCCTGAGGGCCTGACCCCGATAGTGCGGGAGGGGCTCCCTTTTGACAGGTTGCTGCTGACTTGCATACGAGCCTTGCTGCGGCATACCGTACGCACCCGGAGGCACATAGGTAGGATCCTTCGACTCCAATGGTACAGTGGGCGACTTGTTTTCGGGTTTCTGCCAGCTCGAGCCCCTTTGGGGAGGATAGCCAGCACAGACAAACGCGCCCTTGACGCAGTTTTGACCTTGTTACTGATTAGCGATTGATCACCCGAGCGCGGCCCATGATCAACTCACATTCAGGCTTCGTCTCATCACACTTCTTCTTCCTCTTCCTACATGTCAAGCAGCCTGTTTTTGTCCGATTGCTGAAATTGCGCTTGCGTTTCTTGGGATCATGCTGCAGCATGGGATCTTGCCGGGAATCCTGACTATACTGTCCGCTGTAGTACGAGTGGGATGCCTCGTCCGCCTCAGGGCTCGTATTCGGGTAATCGCCCATCTCAGACTGTTCGTGTGTCCTTCGCAGCGCATCCCCAAGGTGGTCGTCGCCTTGTCTTGGTCCCGGCGACATGGTGCCAGGTTGTCGACTCTCGTATGACGGCCGTTGTTGGTGAGATGTCCGGTGTTCGCGGTCTTGGCTTTCTGATGGACCACGATATCCCTCTCGCTGGGGTGTGCCGAACGGATCACGATGAGCACCATGTGGCGGCATGGTCGCAGTATCAGGCGTACGCTCCTGCAATATGTGGTCCTGCCGACGCTCGACGGAGTCAGAGCGCTTCCTCTTGTGTGAGTCTTGCCTGTCCATCCCATGGCCGCTTGTCTGAATGGTAGGGCGATCTGAACTATCTCTCCTCCTCAACCCATCATCTGGGGCATGAAAAGGAGGCGATGCCTTGCTTGAAGGAGCCTCTGCCGCTGCCGAATTGTCAACTTTGATAGTCGGTGTTTCCGAGATGCTCGGCGAGCCGACGTTGAGGGCCCTGAAGCCAGACATGGTGGAGAAGACGCCAGAGGCAACTTTCGGCGCTCAGCGCCTGGCGGAATTGTCCAACTGAAGAAGCTGATGTACGGCGATCGGCGTAACCTTTGTGACGATTCTTCTGTGCGCCTGGGCTAGCCGCAATGATTGAGTAACGCAGATGGAGCGCAGTGGCAGCGATGGTCTTGCCGGCGGCCTAGGGGAGGGTCGAAACCGTGGTTATCGCCGCAAAGGTAGGTCACTGCAGAGGATTGCCCGGGCGTTGACCTGCAAGTGTGGGCTGCCACAATTTTCAAGGTCAATGTGTTCAGCCGATGGCGATGAGGCGCCTGTTATGATATTACGGCTCAGCAACCGAAACAGACTCCCAATCAAGTAAGTTTAGGCGGATGCGGGAGCTTGGGAGGCAACGTCCCAAACACAATTCACCAGGTGGGCGTCAAGTAGGTGGCGCGCGCTTAGGCCTGGTCAATGGTGACGCGCAATTACAGACTGCGGTACACTGTTACAGACGAATCGTCCAAGTTTGGGACGGGCCTGGTCTGCGTCTGCGTCGGCGTCTGCGTCGGCGTCAGACGTGCGTGAGAGGGCGATGTGATGCTGTGCTGAGTTCAGGCCAGCTGAAGCCAGTGTCGTGGGTGAGCTGACGAAGAGTGGTTGATGAGTGAGCGAATATGCGATGAACGAATGTGCCGACGACGACAAGGAGGAGTGAAAGCCTGAGCAAGGCACAAAAGAGGCTGGCTAGGGTTTGCGGACAGTTTTGGGTGGTGATGATACATTAAAGCGCGGTCCTCGCGGGCGTGGTGCTTCCTTGCTCTCGACCTGCGTTGCCGTGTGGGTGAGGTGTGATTAGCAGGGAGGGTTCGAATCGACCGTCTCCAGTGCAGTCCGGGTCTTTGATCGAGCTTTCAGTACCGTGATAAATTATGTCGGCGAGGCGGGCTGGGGCTAGTAGTGGCGGGTGTCACAGTTACAGCGCCTTGGGCCTTGTTTGAGCTTTGTGTCGTGTCTGGGTTGAGGCGGGCAGAACTGGAGTCGAGTCGCGCTCGAGGCTGGCGTCAAAGTTCCTTTCAAGCGGTCCCTCGGGGTTGTCTGGCTCAGGTTGCTGCTGGAGGGACCCTCGTGAGATTTGTTGTAGGCGGCAAGGCGCTTGGCTTGGCCGGCGCGGTGGTGGCTCGAGTTCTCAGGCGGGCAAGATTAAGAAAGACCCTTGCTCGTGCTTTCCGTTCCGCTAGTTGACATGAAGCTCCATCCGGCATCGACTGGAGCTCATGTCGGTTTTCTTCGCACGGAGCGGGGTACATGACAGGGCATCCGCGCGACGGTTAACAGGGCAGCTGCGCTTGTGCAGCTATGGAGTACTTGGGGGCTACCTGCCACTACATCGGCAGCGGCAGCGGTAGCGACAGTGCGGATGTAACTTGAAGTACGTACGGGGGCTCTCCAAGTACTGAGGAATTCACAAGGTGGTAATGAACGATGAAGCTGGAGCTGTTGACGAACAGATCAGTTGAAGCCTGTGCACTTCATTGATTGACAATGCCTTGGTCTTGCTTGCCTGGCTGCGTCGCTTCCGCGGCTGGCGCTTTCTGGCCTCAGTCAGGGAGGGGAATGTACATAAGACTTCAAATGGTAGTGCGTAAATAGGTCAGCCACCTGCAACTAAATATAAACTGGCCTTAATAGAATGCTAATAAGTAATAAGTCAGGTACATCGGCGAGTGACAACCGCTCCGGTCTCCAGTCGTTGCTGCGGTCTTCCGGGTTCCTCACGTCGATCACCAGGACTAGGACCAACACACCCGCCACCGGACGACGGTTATGGAGATCCAGCCGACATGTTCGACATTCAAAGTCTGCATGTCCCGTGATGCCTGGAGCCTCCAAAGTCTCTTGTCGCAAACCAGGGGGTCGGGCTAACGGCGGTGCCGGCGTTAAATGGCGACAAGGGGCGTCTCTGCAGCCAAAGTGCCGCCTCCAGTCCAGATACGTACGTACACGCAGATATCCCGTGTGTCCGCCCGCCCGCCTCTCTCGGCGGCGTTAGCGCAGCCATTTTGTTTTGTTCAACTTGCCTATGAATCGCACGTCACGACTCACCAGACTCCCAGGACCAGGAAGCTTATCACCAATTCCGGTGTAGCTTGGAGTCATGAGCGCAGTGGCCAACCAAGGCGACTGCGTATCCCTAGTTGCACTGGTCTTTCCCAGCGTTGCTGAACCAAGGGGGCCAAGTTACACTTCACTGCAGTACGTGGTGAGTAGCCATTCCGCCCACAGCCCATCAAAAAGAAGTTGCGAACTTGGGTCTGATCACTACCCAGGCCTTAAATGACGCGCTAATAAGGCCATAGCCTGGAGCCATGGACACAATGCTGAACGTTCGTTAACGGCGTACGTGGACGGTGATGCTCCGTTCAACAGTGCCATCGATTCAGCCACACGAATCCAAGAGGGGCCAATGGCAGGTCTCGGACAGGGGTGTTAATGCATTGCGTTGCCCTGGTCGCGTTTAAAGCACGAGCTGGCGCCATCCCTATCAAGCGTGCGGTCCGCGGCTAGGAGAGCCACACCCACAGTCCAACCTCCATCCCGAGCACCCAAATGATCACCGTAGTTTGTTCTTGGTACGGAGAGCCGAAGACTGCGTGAGCACAATTGTCAGTGTGCTCCTAGTACGTATAACAAACGATGCCGCAACTGCTGTCCAGTCATCAAGCGGCTACCTCACTGACAGGAGCCCTCAGCATTGCCAGGCAACGATACTAGCGGACTGCCGGGGACATACATGGAACTGTCAATATCATATCCCGCATCGGCCATTTTCCTGAGAACCGCTAACAAACGAACAAGATCAATGCAGGTTCATACCGACAGAGGTATGCGGTGAATCCAGCATCGGATGCTTCCCAGTCGGTAAGCAAGGCCATTGAAAGAGTGACGCGGGTTATTATTCCAAACTCCAAAGGAACGTTGGGTTTTTTTTTGTTTCAGTTTTTGCTCATGACCACAGCCTGGGACTCTTCGGACGGATCAGTCTAATCATGCCCAGCTGGGGCGGGCCGTCGCATTGTCGCGCCTGGGCTACGGTACATATACGGATACGGAGCTATTCATTGCAGGCCAAGAAGCTGACAATGTTGGCCCGTGGGCTGTGAAAGAGCTTGTTCAAGACGCCAGGTCACACAGCAGTGACAGGCTGACAGCATGGACATGTTAGCGCTGGCGCTGGCGTCTTAGCGTTGCCAGTTCTGGCTGCGGCACACCGCCTAGAGAGGTAGGCCGCCCCCAATCCTCGGGTTGAAGCTCGAAACAAGCTGGGGAGCGGTGTACTGCTGCTGTATGTTACACAGCAATAACAATGTGCTGTATATCGTGCAAAGGCCTTGGTTCACATTGCTTCGAATGGAGTAGTAGGCAGAGTGGAGATGCCCGGTCGGCGCGCAACGGCCAGCGCCCCCATTTTGCGGGCAGGTTTAACGCCGATGCCCTGGGTTTTTCCAGTTCGTCCACGGTGGGCAGCCTGCGCTAGCAGGGCACAGTCGTTGCTTGACGAGACCGCACGGTGCGTCGCTTGTCGTCGTCGACGTCCCGCGGCAATCTACCGGCGAGGTACTTGGGTGAGACGCGATCGGCCATGTGCGCTTTTGCCGCCGCCGCCGCGCGAGTACGTATACTATTTTCGTCCGCAATGCGTTGGGCCGTTTCATCTTCAGAAGCACGGATAGACATGACGAATTGACATGTCTTCGTCGAACGATAGAACTGCGAGGGAGGGCATGCAACCGACTCAACCAAGCAAGCAAGCCCGGCCAACGTCTCATCCGTGTGCTTGCTGGAGCGTGGCCCGCGTCGTCACACATGGCACCAATGCAGCATGCCTCGGCGCCGATCGCCCTTGCAACAACCCCTTCCCCCTTCCCCCTTCCTACGGCAGAATGCCGAAAGGATAAGGTAGGTAGGTCGCCTGTAGGGAGAAGAACGGGAGGTGCAGATGGCCATGTCTTTCGGAGCGCGTTGGACGGCATTTCCATGTCCGGTGGGCCCCATGCCCTCAACTGGTCATCGTGATCACGAGAATTGACTTGCTCGTGGCGGCGTGAACCACGTCATGTGGCATCTTTGACGCAAGCATTCCATCCATTCCATTGCCTTCCAACGCGCTACAACTGCGAAGATGCCAAAGTGCAGTGTTGTTCGGTTCGTCCTCCCCCAGCGAAAGAAAGGCACGCTGAGCCGCCGAGTCGCCGGGTTCACATGCGCGCGAAATCAGTTCACTCGGCGCCAAGCCTTGCCTACCTTGCCTGCAACAGCCGCGGTCGAGGACAACGTCGGTCTGTCAGAGCAAATTGACTACGTCCATGTCCCCAGGTTGGGAGTCTGAAACATATAACGAGCGCACTCTGTTCTTCCAGAAATAGATTTGCTGACGATTTCCCCAGGAGAGGACCAGGCCCGACCTGCGCCTGTGCATTGTCCAATGATGCTCTGCGGGTCGAATAGCCGCCCACTAAGCGCCTGGCGCTTTCAACACCAACGTCATCAATAACGGCAGCAACGAAGACAACAACACCTTCACCACCGCCAACCGCCGAGCAGAGACATTCACTTGAGTCTGTTTCAAGGAGATTAGTCGCCCTTGTCTCCCTGTACCTGGCTATTTTAAGAGTCTTTTGCGCGTCATGCGAGCACGGCGCCAAAATACGTCAGGATATCTCGGAAGACGTGTGAGATGTGCATATCTGCAAGGCACACCATGCGCTTCCACGAGCTCCACGCACGTCGGACGCATCTCGCGAGCTGGGCGGCAATGTCTCGAACCAGTGCTCAGGGTCGTCTAGCCGCGTACACCTCCCAAGGAGCGGGAGAAGGGGGGGGGCGACGCTGCGCTTGTCAAATCCGCATCGTCGTCTTGACGCCCTCGAAATCCATCAACGCCCCCTTCTCCCAGCATCTCGGGACTCTTGCAGTCTTCATCGGCGCTACCCAGGACCAAGTATTACACGCCATTGGTGGCTCTGCGCGCGCAGCCAACGAGCATGTACCCCAGTGTCGCCGTCGAGGAACCGCCAGGCTGGTCTCACGCCTTCCACCCAGGGAGGGCCCTTAACACTCCCTCCCCCTTTGACAACGATGCCAAACACATTATCCTAGACTCCCAGCCAGCAGCACACACACACGAGTCCTGCACACGCCCCTCCTCCAAGCGGCAAGTATTTTTAGTGACCCTGGCTATTTCCAGCAGCAGCCGGGGACCCAGCCGCCGATGAGCAGCAGCTTGCTTAAGTCAACGACATGCCTCTCCTGAATATTTATCAGCTGCCACTTTTTCACTACGACACCCCCCCAGAACAAATCTCGAAGCGCTTCCTTCTTATCTGGACGTGCAATGAGGCTTGGTAGGCGGTTACCGACTGCTTGCCTCCCGATGGACCTCCCCGTCCGCCCCTGGCCGCAATATAATCACCACGGGTGGCCCACGTCACCCGAGCGCCTATGGAAAGCGCCCGATGATATCACGCCTTGCGATATTGTTGCACACACACGGACATTGCCATGTGAACATGTTTCATGTTTCTCCTATTGCTACATCCCCACACGCTCGTGGCCCCTCCCCTGATCATGCAGTGTGCACAACGAGCGTTTCTGATATTAATAGCAACCGCTGCTGTCCGACGCATGAGCGGCAGCAACAACGCACTCTCGACACAGATCGGCTCACTTCTTCTGGCGCTTGGCACTTTTGTCGCTCGTCGTGCTCAAGACACTCGCACTCCGCTTGTGCGGTCCTCCGCTGCTCTCTTCAATGGCCGCTTCTTTGCCTTCCACTGGGTCCTGTGTACCAGGCTCCTCGCCGTGGGAATCAGCCGCCGGCTCCATCGTTTCCTGTGCCTCGCTCGTCGTGCCAGCCTCAGCGTTGCCCTCTTTGGACGCAGACTCGTCGCTCTTGGTGACTGTCATGTCAGGATCGGACTTGTCCTGGGCTGGGTCCTCCTCGGCCTGATTCGAAGATTCTTTGGCCTCTCGTTCCGCCTTCTTGGCATGCTCGAGCTTGAGCTCCGTATCCAACTTGTCTGCCACCTTGCGCGCATCCAGGAGCGCATTGACGGCCGCAAAGAGCTGTTCAAACTGCTGCGTGGTGGCAACCGTGGGCATGACGAGCTTGGGAGGAATGTCCAGCTCAAGCAGGACATTGTTAATCCTCTGTTGCTGCTGATTCGACTTGTGCGTGAACATCTTGTTGATCTTCTCGGACCTGAAGATAGGCCCTGAAGTGAGACGGTCGTGATGCGATACGCCATAGACCTGCTCTTCCTTCTCCGTGAGCTTGGGTCGCTCGGCTTGTTGATTGCCCTTCTTCTTGCCTCCTGTAGGCGTAGATGTCGCGCCCGTCGAGGCTACAGTGCTCTCACGCCGGCTGCTCTCCTGGGCTTGCGCTTGCGCTTGTGCCTGAGCTTGAGCCTGGGCTGCGGCGACAGCCGCCGCTGCGTTCGCCGGATGGGCACTGTCCGCGCCCATGAGTGACCTTCGCTTCTTGTTCTTGTCGGCTGCCATGAGCTGTTGCAGCAGGTTCTGCAAGCCCTGGGACGTTTTGATGCTGCTGATATCCTGCTCGGACTGAGGAAAGTCAAGGCGATTGTATAGCTCCCTACGCTCTTCGTTGAAACGTTCGCTACGCGCCAGTATGCGCTTGACCTCGAGCAGCAGCGACTCTTCCTCGCGCGCTTCTTCCCGTGATCTCTTCAGAGCGTTGAGGGCAAAGTCCTTGCGCGCCTTTTCTTGCTGCGCATTGAAATGCAGCATCATTTCGTGGAGCTCAAACTCGGCCTGTGACATGACGTGGATGGGTTTTTGGGCCGCCATCATCTTCGCCGTAATCTCGTAGTATCTCAATTTCAGGTCCTCCATCGAGCGAGCTTCCTGCTTCGGCACAACCGCCTTGCTCTCGTCGCCATCAGCATCCGCCACGCCGTTGGTGGCTGGTGGGTTCCACTCGTACCGGTCCCAGATAAGAGGCCATCGCACGTCATAATCGGTTACGAGCTCCATCAGGTAGTCCGTCTCCTCCTTTGACCAGTCGTCGCTCTTTAGGTGTGTCTTGTATTGCTCATCCGTGTAATGTGGTATGCTCGGTCGCACGTTGAACTTTGCAAACGCCGAGTCCTCAATCTCATCTGGCTTGGGCGTTTCCACAGACGGCACAACACTGTCGCCCTCCTGCTTTACCTGCGCTCCGTTCTGCTCCGTCGTCGGTTGCGCGCTTGCGTCTCCATTTGCGCCGTGTTGTTGTTGTTGCTGCTGCTGCTGCTGCTGTAGTCCATGCTGTCCGTCTCGCCTCCTCCAGTGCCGCAACACCAGACTCGGGTCGTCGCGCGCCGAGTTGCGGAACGGCGCAAGGTCCCATCGGGCAGCGGGCTTTCGATTCGCAAGCCGCCGCTTCTTGAAGCTGGAAACCTCTGGTACAATCGCAACCGGGTTGTCTCCGCCCAAGCTCTGCACCTCACGCGCTAGGCCCTTGAGGTTCGATCGCGGTGCGGATAGGCGCTGTTTCATGGATGGTCTGTGGCTGGCCCCTGGAGCGCCAGATACGGAGCTGCTGTCGGGTAGGTTGAGTACATCGCGTAGATCGTTCGAACTCATCGTGGCGGTCGCGCCCGCTCGGGCGAGGTGTGAAGTCTCGTCGCGATAACTGGAAAAGCTTGGGTATATCGTATCGGATGGTCCGTATGCATAGAACGACGAATATTGATGCGCAGCGGGGGGTCCGTTTCGTTGTTTAATCAATTCCGTACCAAAATCCTCATCCCCAACGCGGGTTGCAGTTTGGCGTTCGGAGGGTCACGTGCCGAGCGCCCCTTGACAGGTGGCAGCTTCAACCTGGCCCATAGCCCACCTGGGGTCGCGACACCACGATCCCCAAGTCACCGACGACGACGCCAATTGTTCTGGACTTGGGACATTCCATCATCAGCTACACCCTGGATTTGCTCCTCCAGACCCGACTGCCTCAAGATGAGGGTTCTCATCTCGCTCCTAATGCTGGCCTCCGCCGCCCACGCCTTGTACTTCTTCATCGACGCCGCGACCCCAAAGTGCTTCTTCGAGGATCTGCCCAAGGACACCCTCGTCGTGGGTCACTATGGAGCTGAAGAATGGGACGACAGGGCGAATTCGTGGCAGCAACATGCCGGCATTTCCATCTACATCTCTGTGGACGTGAGTTGATCTCTCTCCCTCGCGCCGACCCGGAAGCATGGGCTAATGAACTCGCCAACAGGAGGTCTTTGATAACGACCACCGCGTTGTTTCGCAAAAGGGCTCGTCGTCCGGCAAGTTCCACTTCACCGCCCATGAGGCCGGCAACCACAAGATCTGCTTCACCCCAAACTCCAGCTCCGGCCGCAGCGGCTGGCTAAGCACCAGCAACCCGAACGGGGGCATCAAGCTCCAGCTGGATCTTGTCATCGGCGAGACGAACGAGATTGAGAGCACCGACAAGAACAAGCTCCAGGACATTGCCTCGCGTGTCAAGGATCTGAACGCTCGGCTGAAGGACGTGAGGAGGGAGCAGGTCTTCCAGAGGGTAAGCAGCAGTACCACCAGTTACACGTCCGGCAGCAGCAGCAACATTGACACAGTTCCAGGAACGCGAAGCCGAGTTCAGAGATCAGTCCGAGTCGACCAACAGCCGTGTCATTCGCTGGATCCTGATCCAGCTTGTTGTGATGGGTATCACCTGCGTGTGGCAGCTGTCCAACTTGCGCTCCTTCTTCATCAAGCAAAAGCTCACGTAAAAGATGGCTGGATTGTTTTGGGAGTTCTGGTCGGTAAGCGTTGGGGTTCAAAGCATGGTACGGCATGCGCAACCACAGAGTTGGGCGGCTTTTCAATGTAGCAATCATCTGGGGCAAAAATGGGCTCGCCGGTTGGGTCACAGAACGCAGAGCATGAACGGAAAGAGTACTGTATTTGTCTATGAACGCCTTCTTTCATTACAATGTGACAATCAATGCTTGCAGCCTAATTTGCAGCTCCGATCTCATGAGAACTAATAGTCACCAAGAACCTTTGTCATCGCTGAAAACCATCTCTCCTCAAGCAGCGACCCTCCACGTCGTTGCAGTGCTCTTTACTACATCCCCAATCATGCTGCTCTTCCGCTTCAACGACGTGACGACCTAGGAAACATATTATAAACGATGAGAGCGGTGTAAGATAAGAAAGGAGAATAACACCGGAACCGACCCAATGCTGCCAGTATCAACCTGCTGCGCCCTGCTGCGCTACACGTCAACCGCTTGGTGTAGGGTTGTCGTGAGGAATGCCAGGCTCCAATGAAAACAAATTCAAACCCAAGGCTTTTCTGTTCGCTAGCTTATACATGCTTTCTTCCTTCCCAGTAGCCGAAGCTCTCAGAATGTGCGCGATTGATGACACCGAGGACAGACAGATGAAAGAACGCTGTATGAGCCGTGAGGTAGGGGATAGGGACCCCCGCCAAGCTGGGATTTTCCCGACGCGTAACATAGGACAGGAATCGCCCAGATGATATGGATGCCGACCAGCGAGGCTCAAGCAGCTATCCTTGCGAGATCTTTGTCGACTGAACCCAAGTCTGTGTCACTAACCACAGCAGATTGTCTTCATCAACTTCTGGAATCCGCTGGGTTGCGGCTGAGCCTCAGCCGGACGAGCGCTAGCCTGTGTTGGCTGCGAAGCCTGAGTTTGCTGCGGGCCCCTCCCCTGAGACAAGTTCTGAGCACTGTTCTGGAACTGGGCTTGCGTCGAGCCAGCCGGTGTTGCTGCGTCGCCTCGGAGACCCATCGCGCTGCTCCGTTGCGCTGGGATAGCGCCTGGGGCGTTTTGCCGATCTCTCTGCTTCCCAGTCTGCTTGATCGGTGACGGAGGTGGGGGTTGCGCGGCGTTTAAACGGCCGACAGTAAGGTTGTGTGCTTGCTGGTGAGAGTTGGTATTCCCGGGACGAATCCCGCTGTGCAGCTCCATTTGAGACGCTCCGAGGCGCGCGTTTGGGTTGTGCAGATGTGCATTGCTGTGCCCCTTGTTGTCCCAGCCCTTTCCCGAATCCTTGGACACCTTCATCCAATCATACTCGCCGTCCTCGACTTCGTTAACACCCTTGAGCGCCTGCGTGAAGAGCTCACGCAGGTAGTCGTAGTCAGGGGTATCCTCGAAGCCCAAGTTGCGAACGTAGGTCAAGTACTTGCCAAACTCGTCGGGGAAGCCGTCGCAGAGGTCCTTGATCGCGGTGGTCTGCTTTTTCTTGCCTATCTCCTCATACTTTTGCTTGTTGGTGGCAGCCTTGAGACCCTGCCAGGGGAGACCTCCCCGCAGGAAGTACATGAAAACGTGACCCAATGCTTCCAAGTCGTCTCTTCGTGACTGCTCGCGGCCCAGATGGGTGTTGATACTCATGTAACGCGCAGTACCAGACAGAGATTTGCGTTCTCTGTAAGGAATGTGCTGCTTCGTCTTGGGGTCGCGGTATTGCTTGGCCATGCCGAAATCTACTACGTGGATGACGTTAGAGGCCTTGGTGCCAGGGCGGCCAATGAGGAAGTTGTCGGGCTTGATGTCGCGGTAAATCAAGTTCTTTTCGTGGATTGTTTGCACCCTCGAAAGCATTTGCTTGGCCACCATGACAACGGTCTTGATGGAAAATCGGCGTCCGCAGTGATCGAAGAGGTCCTCCAAGGACGGTCCGAGAAGGTCAATTACCAGGATGTTGTGAAGACCTTCCTGGCCGAAGTAGTAGACATTTGGTATGCCGGCTACCTTGAAGTCAGCGACCTGATGTCTGGTAGAGTAACGTTTTTTCTTACGGCAGCCGACGAGAATCTTGTATGTTCGGTATTCATCGCGAAGCTGGGGGGCGTCGCTCTTGCGAGGCTCCTAACTCATTCATCAGTCCCCATAACAAACGATTGATATTGTGGAAGCACCTACGAATTTGATGGCGACTTGCTGGTTATTCAGGAGGTTGGTGCCCTCGAAAATAACACCAAAAGAGCCCTCGCCAATCTTCTTCCCAACTCGGTAGTGAACGCCGACAACGTTGGAGGAGGAGGATGCCATCTCGAAAGGATATGAGGTATCAGTGATCACTCAAGGCTGATAGTATGCACAATATCGGTTGTTTGTGGAAGACAGAGGTCGACTCGACTCAAAGAAGCGCGCTGGTACCTAAAGGATGAGAGTTGCTGTCAGCGACCTTGAGCAAAAGTAAAAGTTCATGGCGTCCGGTAGCCGCAAACAGCTGGAGAGTAGGGTCAATCCGACGACAACAAAACAATGCCCATGAGGAGGCTTAGGCCGAACACAAGTGCAGCCAGGGCGGACAGGCTGCTAAGGCACACCGGACATTGCTCCACAGCCACGCAACGTCTGGTGGCTGCTGGCTGAGAAGGGGCCGTGACAATCAACGAAGATGTCCTTGCCTGTGCGCAATTGCTGATGATATGTGTATGCCTGGCAACTACGCTCGGTCCTGGACATGATCGGGCGAACCAGGTGTCGGCGAGAACAGGGGAGCCCAAAGGGACAAATGCAAATTCAGCGGGTGATGCGTATGTGATGCTGTGCACCTAATTCCACGCGACAAATACGATGCACGTCTGACTGTTCTTCACGTACCCTCAGGATATAACCGTTATTGTCAAAAGTCTATCGTAGGATTGATGTCGTGGGCTCGCGGGAAATGGCTACGGTTCGAGGGATCGATTCGGCACGGCTTGTTTGCTGAATCGGGCGGATGCGATGCTCGTGTGTCGAGGCTGGGGAGAGACCACTTTTGAAGTCGGCCACCCAGTCTAATTGTCGACGGGAGCAGAGCGCGATGGCTGAGCCTTGCAAAAGGCGCTTGACGAGGGCGAGTGATCGGTGCCTGGTGAGCAATGAGGGAAGGAGAGGGAAGGAAAGGAGACGATGGGACGGGACGGCAAAGGCAAAGGGGAACCGGACGGTGGGACTGGACATGAGAGCCTGGTTTCCTCCAGTGGCAGCATCAGAGCGCCCCCAGCCTGCGGATTGAGTTAAACAGGTGGACAGCGGTCTCGAAAAAGCTAGGGTGGGTAGGGCCTTGGAGAGCAGACCGTGATTGGTCTGTGACGATTCCGGCCCTCGCCTGGGGCTATTACTTTGGTTGATGCAGGTGCCAACGCCAACGCTACAGCGGCCCTCTTCCCCTACGCCCACTGACTGACAGACATACGGTGAAGTGAGGTGCACACCACCTGTAAATCCTGTCGGACGCAGCGAAACGCGCGACTTGTTGAACATGAAATTTACGATTGCGTCGTCGGAACCTTTTCAATCGCAGTCCTGAGGAGCGACACAGCATACCTACAGTCCGAATGCCCTGATTAAGTTCGGTTTGATTAGCACTCTGGGACCGGCACGAGTAATTAATTGTTGACCAGGCGCCGTCGAATCCAATGAAAGTGAGCATCGGGTGCGGTCCGGTCTTGGCGCGCTTTGGAGCATCTGAGCACAGGCAGGTACGCCAGGTACGACGCCCGGACCCATAACAAAGAAGGTACTTGTGTCCGCACCTAATTTCTCAGCTATTGCTCGGTATATGGGCCACACCGTTCCTGCCTTGGCGCTCAGGGTCTGGAATCCAGCCCTCTGAGCGCAGACAGATCAAGATTTATTAATTCCTGCTTTCACCAGCAACAACTTGCCATGCTGCCGAAACACGAAGAAAAGACTGTATGCTCGCGTCTGCGCAAAACATCACACGACACTACGCCGACTACGAGTAGCCGATGTGATTGATTCCTAACTTATTATTCCAAACTGGCGATTTGACCTTTATTCAGCTGTTAGGGGCATAGACAGCATCAAATCACTGAACCCCGGCTCATGGTTTTATTTCCATTCATGCTTTACGGGCTGTCCACTCCCCGTGCCGCCAGGTTGAACGAGCCAACCTTTGCCTGAGCCCGCATTTCAGTTCATCAGCGTGTTGTGAGCTCTTGAACAGAATACTGAAGCACCAGTGACGTTCATTTGGTTGCGGCTGCTACTACGTATCACCACAGTCAATGGCCCCCGCATAAGCATGAGAAGCAGCGCCCGCAAAGCGAATCCCGGATCTAGGTGCCCGACAGCTAATAGATCGAAGCTCTTACCGTTGACGTAGGTGCAGAGGAATAGTATTAATAATTCGACGATACCATCCGCGGGGTATTGGCCTCGATGATTTAAATCACCGCATCAACACTTCTACCACTACGTGGACGGGGCAGCAAAAGAGTCCTTTTAATCGCTTGAGCTAGATATGTAAAGCCTTCCCCTTCTCCCGGAGAAGAAAGAAGTTTCTATCACGACCTATTGCCTCGAGTGCCCAGAAGATCCACTAGGACACCCTCACTGCGGCAGCCTTCTTGACAAAACGTTATCAGCTCGGCCTCCCTTCACAATGGCAGGTGCGGACAATTTGCCACCAATGCAGTATCGATTCCTGGGTCGATCAGGACTTCAGGTCTCTGCCATCTCGCTTGGCGGTTGGCTAACGGCCGGTGGCCATGTTGACGATGGTGCGTTGAGCCCGTCCTTGGAGGAGGAATACCTGCCCTGACAAGTGCACAGAGGGAACCTTTGCCTGCATGAAGGCAGCATACGACTGCGGCATCAACTTCTTCGACTGCGCCGAGGGGTACGCCGATGGCAAGTCTGAGATCGTCATGGGAAAAGCCATTAAACATTTCGGCTGGAAGCGGAACGATCTGGTGGTTTCCACTAAGGTGTGTCCCCTTACCCAGGTACTGCAAGCAAGGCTGGTGATGCTGATTGAATAATAGCTTTACTGGGGAGGCGCATTTGGCGACAATATTGTCAACAACAAAGGTCTTTCGAGGAAGCACGTCCTGGAAGGCATGGCTGCATCGCTCAAGCGTCTGGACCTCGAATACGTTGATCTTGTCTTCGCCCACCGACCTGATCGTCAAACCCCCATCGAGGAGACAGTCCGTGCTTTCAATCATCTCATCACCACGGGCCAGGCTTTGTACTGGGGTACCTCCGAGTGGAATGCAGACGAGATTGCCCAGGCATGGCGGTACGCCGATAAGCTTGGGCTCATCGGGCCCCTGATGGAGCAGCCTGCATACAACATGCTGAACCGCGAGAAGGTTGAGTTGGAGTACGCTCATCTATACCGCGAGACTGGTCTGGGGCTCACAACGTTTTCTCCGCTGAACAAGGGCCTCCTGACGGGAAAATACAAGAACGGCATCCCCGACGACTCCCGCTTCGCTCAGACTGACGTGCCCTTTATCAAGGACTTTCTGAGCAAGAACCCAAAGGAGAAATGGGATCCTGTCATCCGCCAGGTCAATTCGCTGGAGCCTATCGCTGAGAAGCTGGGCATCAGCCAGGGCACATTGGCCTTGGCTTGGGTTCTAGCCAACCCGAATGTCAGTTCCGCCATTATCGGAGCCAGCAGGCCTGAGCAGATCTACCAGAATGTGAACGCTCTGTCGGCTGTGGAGAAGTTGACGCCGGAGATTCTGAAGGAGATCGATGAGCTACTGGGCAATAAGCCAGCTGAAATAACGCAGAGGTTCTAGAGCAATCAACCAACCCGAGTGCCGTGGTCAGCAACGAATAGACTCATTGTAGAGAATACGAATACATACACTTCTAGATCGCCATTGTAAACTACATTGGCCACATGACGCTTCGGTAGCTACATGTGTATGGATAGGCGAACGCAACGTACATGTACCGAGGATGGCTCAAGCTTGCAGGAGTGTAGGTGATCAATAGTCGGCCCAACTCACAGTGCATGTCATTGAGCGGTCTATCATTCAAAGAGAATTGTGACTATTATTTCTTCTTGCATGTGACCATTTCAATCTGCGGACGTTGTTGTTGGGGAAAAGCACATAAATCCGCATGCCCGCAAATGCCGCTTGCCACCCGAGCACTTAAATCGCCCCCGATCACCCGCCGCGTCTCCCACGTTCCACTTCGTTACCACATATACTCTCCTCACCCGAAACGATAGCCAAAGATGCTCCGATCAAAGCTAAGAAGCATCGTCCCTCATGCTCAGTTCCCTCTGGTAGCAAATGGACCTATGATAGGCGCTGCCTGCCCGGCACTGGCGGCTGAGGTTAGCAAAGCTGGTGGTCTAGGTTAGCCCCCTGATGCCTCTGTCCTGTCACTCATGTTCCTGTGGTTCATCGTGCTTCCTAGGATTCATTGCGTCTGTTGTCGACGTGTCAGCCGGCTCGGAGCAGCTTTCAAAGCTTGAAGAGGACATCCAGGAGTGCCGCGAGCTTCTGAGGAACCATATCGACCTGATCTCTCGGCTACCCATCGGCATTAGCTTCCTCTCCAGTCACAAGTCCATTGGCTTGTTCAAGGAGACCGCATTGCCCATCGTCAAAGCCCATAAGCCGCTGGCAGTATGGCTCTTTGCGCCCCAAGAATCGATCAAGCCACACGCTGAGATCATTGCCGCGTTGAAGGGTCTCGAGACTCCGCCTGTAGTGTTCGTTCAAGTCGGCCATCTCACTGCCGCCCGGGAGGCTGTCAGGGACGGTGCAGACGTCGTTGTGTGCCAAGGCAGCGACGCTGGCGGTCATCAATACGTGAGGGGCTCTGGCGTGGTGAGTCTGGTGCCGAGTGTCCGGAGAATGATCGAGAAAGAGTTTCCCGACAAGGAAGTGATGCTGCTTGCAGCCGGAGGCATCTCCACGGGAGATTCAGTCGCAGCGACCATGATGATGGGTAAGTGGACCCAGCTTCCAAAGCGATATCATACTAATAATAAAGGAACTGCCGGCGCTGTAATGGGTACACGGGCAGGTTCACCAACTTCTAGGAGAAGGCTCTTCGGCTAACAGTCTCAGTTTACTGTCGCGCACGAATCTGTCTATCCCGAGTTCCGCAAAGAAATGGTACTCAAGACCACAGATGGCGGCACACAAACCTTAAAGTAAGCCCTTTCCACATTGTTCGACTGTTCACTGACGCTCATGTCCAGGTCTTCATTCAATGACCGCATCAACAACAATCCTATCTGGGCGCACATCAGTCATACCTATGATGGTCGTGCTATCATTGGACCTCTCCACGAGAGGTTCATGAGCGGCTCCTCGCTTGAAGAATGCCAGGAGGCGCTGCGCACAGAGTACACAGAGGAAGAGGCGAAGAAGATCATCAGCACATGGGCGTACGTACAAAGGCGCCAATGCGACTGAGGCTGAAGCTGACGTATCCAGTGGTACCGGTGTAGGACTAGTCGAAAAGACACAGCCAGCTGCCGAGATTGTCCGTGAGGTACGAAAAGAGGCTGTTGAGACTTTGAAGCGAGCGACCGAGCTTATTTGACACCCTTGGGTGTGGTTCGGTATAAGGGCACGGGGTTGATGGATCATTCTGTGTTCAGGTATATGCTCACATGTGGCCACTCTACACACCACACCTCATCGACTGCTTCCAATCCACTTCTCTACAGCTTCGCCTTGCCCTGGGCCTTCTTGAAGATGGGCTCCAGCTTGGTAGCCTTCATCACGTCGCCCTTGATCTTCAGCTTGCCCGACATGAACAGGCGCTGGGCATTGGCCTTGCCCGTGACCAGGTTGGCGAAATCATCCTCGGCGAGAGCCAGTGTGACTGCGCACTCGTTAGCGTCTCAAAATCGGTATGTTGCTGTGGGAGAGACTCACCATTGGGCTTCGTGCCAAGGCCGTTGCCAACCTTGCCTGTCTCCTTCAGGTCGATGTGCCAGCTCTCCGTCTCGCCGGATTTGTTCTTCAGTGTGAAAGCGTAGATGCCATTACCCTGCTTGATGGCGTCCTTGCGGTCAGCGTCGGTAGCGTTCAGGGCCTCGTTGATGGTGTCGAACGCGGCCGAAGCAGGGAACTTGTCTGTCGCGCTGGTCAGATCCGTCTGGTCGCGCAAAGGTCATTCTTGTCTGTCTTACCATTCTTGAGGGACATTCTGGCGATTTCGAATTGGCGATAATCAGTTTGGAAGGACTAGGTATGGTATAATTGACTGTGGTCGTGTCGTGTAGGAAAGGTAAAGGGCGAAGTGTGGACAATTTGGTGTCCTCTTGTACAATAGCATGTGACGCGAGCCTCGGCGTCAGGCGCATTTTGTGATGGACCGTCCGTCCGTAGCTCGTCATCATGTGCGCGCCGTACCCCGGCCTTACCCCCACACCAACGAGTGGTCGACGCTCGTTCTCCAACCTCGGAACTTCCGCACTGATGTTGACTTTGCGAGTTTAACTAGTCCGTGTAAGCACCTCACGAGGCGACTGGCAGTAGTTCGGAGGATCGACATAGCAACGAAGTTTGGGGCAATTTCTAGCTGATTCAGGCCCCTCTTTGATAGAGTACATACAGCTGGAACGCAACACAACTAACCCAGGAGATGTAGAAAGCACACTTAGAAGCAGTCCATGCACATTGATTTGCTGCTTGTGGGGCAGACTGTGATATATCTTTATGGAAATGAAATGTACGCCATGTCTTCTACGTGCCTCGCCACCTGTTGTTACAGCTTTTATACATGACAAGTCAGCTACTCATAAAGTCCACTCGGGGACTGGGAAATCGCGGGTCTGGGGCCACTGCTCGGGTCTGTAACTTGGTCAGCATTTGGTTCTCCCTGTGAAGAGGTCCACGTACCGCGTTAAGAGCAGCACTGTCATGCGGCGCCTTCTCTCCACGCCATCCTCGGCAGCAGTCAGCCTCAACCAGTCGGAGAGCCAGCCTCGTAGCTCCGTCTCGCTTTTGCCCAGGATATTGATGCCACGCTCGGCGCATGCAATGCGCAGCTCTTCATTGACAAGGTCCATGGGCCCGCCGTCTTTGATGAGGTTCTTGTCGTCGCCCTCCAGGAAGGCCAGGCGCAATTTGCCCTTGATGTGCCACATACCCGGCGGCACGATGCGCAATTTCTCCCACATGTCGCCAGACAAGTAGAGCGTCCGCAGGACCTGGTTGCGTGCGGCGTAAGGGGACAGTTTCGGGTCGAAGACGCCGCCTGGGTATCGCGCATCGAATTCATTGAACACCAAGCCACGACGCGTCTCCGCCCTTTCCTGGGAATGCAGCAATTGAGACGGTATGCGGCATGTGTAGGGTACCAGCCCATCAAAGAGCATCACCACCAGTGGCGTGAATTCCCCAATGACAATCACCATCAGCCCGAAGATAGGTAGTCGTGCCAGATCATGTCGGTTCCGCCACAGAAGCACCCAATCCGCTCGCGAGAATGTCTTGGGCACGAAATTCGGGTTCCATATTGATGGTAGGTCGTCCTTTGGTGTGCGTTCGAGCTTCGCTTTCACCAGCTTGCGGTTGGCCAGCGTAGCCTTGAGACCCTCCTTGTAGAATGTCACATACCCTTTGCCGACTTCAAACAGATATTTCCAGTATGACTCGAACTGCTCGCGCGACGGGTTAACCAGTAAAGGCGGTCGCGTCGATCGCGGTGGGTTTATGATTTCGTTATGCACGGCGGGCTTCTTTTCCTGACGAGCGACTGGCTTCCGAACGGGGCGAGCAAGGGTGTGCTTGGCCTGGTGTGCCGAGTGTATGCGTGGATTAGCATAGGTGTGGCTCCTCATAGGCGCGCAGCATCGCCATGGTGCGCGAGAGCTCATCGTTCTGAGTATACCGAGTGGTTGGTGACTAAACTGGCTTTCTTGGATTCGAAGCTTCAGCCTTCAGATCAGTCGCTGCAGGGTCTGTGGTATCCACTCTGGCTACCATTCATACGCTATGATTGGTTCATTATGTTTAGCCCACCTGTGCCAACAATGAAAATCTGTCTAAGATCTATTGTAGAGTGGCCAGAGGAACCAATGCGAGAGTTAACCATAGACAAAGTCAATTGCTTTTAGGCTGATGTTTTACCTTTTAGTTTCCAGGCGAATGCTGTGCTTGCTTGCGTGGGTGACCAGTATCAGATGTCGACATCCACTCCAAAATTAAGTTAAACACCAAAAATATCCAGCACCTGCCGATGCTATCCGTCCTGAAAACTCGACGCACTACACACCTAATACTGTTCAATAGTCTTTATCGAACTTTTATACCACCTCCAAAATGGTCATATTCCCTTGTCGCCTACTGGGGCTTGACTAACAACGACAGGTTCACGCCGACGCCTCAAATTTCGCTTCTGACATTACAAAAGAAGACGCCTATGAGCAAGTCCTGCTCCAAGCTGAGGGTCTTCTGACCGATCAAAGGAACTGGGTAAGCCAATTAAGGTGTGACTAAGTATGATTAGTTGTGCTGACAATAGTCGATAGGTTTGGTAAGATTCCATGGGAGGCTAGTAAGGACTGGAACCCAGTGGCTAAACGCCAAAGCAACTTGGCCAATGTAGCCTCACTACTATGGCATGCATACAAGTCTTTGCCAGCCCCAAGTGCTGCAGTCAATTGGGCCGGTAAGCGAGGCAAAGTCCTATGCACGCGAAGCAATACTAAACCACAAGGCTTCTACGTTCTTGACCCGTCTGTGAGCAAGCCACAGCTCATCCTCGGGCCTTTCCAAGGGAAAGTGGCCTGCCAAACCATCCTCTTCGGCCGCGGAGTCTGCGGTACGGCTGCAGAGACGCGAAAGACGCAGCTGGTGAAAGACGTTGAATCGTTTCCGGGCCACATTGCTTGTGATGGCGACAGCAAGAGCGAGATTGTCGTACCCATCGTGGCCACAGCCAAAGACGGACAGGAAAAGGTGGTGGCTATCATTGATATCGACTGTGCCGAACTAGACTGCTTCGACGAGGTCGATCAGAAGCATTTGGAGGAGTTGGCAGCTCTGCTGGCTCGCAGCTGCGACTGGTGAGTCCGGGGTGGCCTGGTGCTGGTGACGCGGGCGGCTGGAGGAGCAATGTCGTAGTTTCTGAGTCGCTGCAGAGAATTGTCCCGAGACTCGGCAGGCTCGTGGTTCAGATCCTAGAGCTGTACCTGTAGCAACGGTTCTTGAAGACAGAAGTAGAATCAGGCGAGTCGGGTGTGGTGAGACCTGACGAAAGCATGTCTCAAGGCAATGTCCCTCCGTCTTGGCCAAGAAGGGCTGGAAGTCTGCCCCAAATCCAATATGAAACTGATCACCATGTTGCATGTCCCGCTCTTCGTTTGCTTGCGCTGGACTCAGCCAGCATTGATGCGAGTTTGAGTATCATGCTTGGGCCGCGTATCCTTACAAATCGTGACTCGATCGTGGCTGAGTATCGGGTCTACGTGCGTGCGTACCTGCATCAGTTACATATGTCCTAGACCGCTGCGAGGCAGTTTCAGGCAAGATGGTTTGCATGCTGCCCAAGCGCTATCCGTGTACAGATACGAGGTGCTGCTCGGATGGTCTTATTTCTGATCAATATCCAAGACTATGCGAAGAAAGCCCCTGGCATCGATCTTGCATCACAACCCCAGTGGTCGATTTAGACCCCTGTCGGCGACGATGCAGCGGGGCACTTCTCACCCAGCCTCCGACTTTCCAGTAGTAAAAAGTGTGGCTGACGTGAATGATTGGTGTACCACCTCCAGCGGCTGCCCGCCTCGAGTGCTCGTGAAGCCCCTATCCCTGTCCAGTATCTCTTTATCTCCAGCCACCGCCAAGCAGCCGCGCCCAATTTCTTGGTTCTTGTTGGAAGTTGGGTGCTGCTGACTGCTAGGGCGTGAGAGTGGGCAGGTGCGACACGTCCCGGACGTGGATGGGGCTTTCCCAACCACGCGTTCAGATGGCTACGCCAACCGGCGGCCGATATTGGCATGCAATGCCATGCAAAACACTTTGCGTCACCTTCTCTTCCCAACCCTTTTCCCTTCATTCCTTTCATCAACCCCATCTTATTATCCTCAGGCCGTCAGACTTCTCGCATTCAGTCTCCGTAGTTGACAATTGCGGTCAACGGATAATCTGGTAGTTTCAATGCTCCGCTGAAGTCGTTCGTTCCATTGTTTACGCTCCTTTCACCCCACCATAGCCCGATTGCTTCACAACAACCGCCGCCTCGCTCGCAACGCTTCTCCATCCACCACCCACAGTCTGCACTTGACCTCAATATTGCCTTGTTCCACTACAGCATTGGCCCAGTATGGCGACGAAGACGAAACACAATCCGCTCAACGCTCCTCATACCGCGGGCATCTATGCCGACCTGTCCATCGACGGCCCTGACATTGGCACACTAGTTGCGATTGTCGACCGCGCAAAGAACCTGCCCAACCGGAAAACCATCGGCAAGCAAGATCCCTATTGTGCAGCGCGCTTGGGCAAGGAGGCCAAGAAAACAGCAACGGACATACGAGGCGGACAGACCCCCAAATGGTAAGCTATGGTCGTCAGCATCACCTAACGGACAAGGCTAACGACCGGTGGTAGGGACCAAGAGCTACGCTTTAAAGTCCACGAGGGCCCAGACTATCTGCAGCTTAAAATCTCCGTCTTTACAGACGACAAGCGAACAGACTTGATTGGCGAAGCATGGATCGACCTCAAGGACATCATTGTGCCTGGCGGCGGCCAGGGCGATATCTGGCAAACATTGACTTGCAGGCAGAAGTATGCCGGAGAGATCAGACTGGAGATCACGTACTACGACACCAGGCCGAAACCAGAGAAACTCGTAGCCAAACCACGCGCGCAGCAAGCGTCGGCAGAGGGAGAGAATGGGTCTGCGAGGCAGAGGGGCCCCGTGAAGCGACGTCCGTTGCCCTCAGACCCCGTAACTGGCGAGGCGCCGCCGCAACCAGCAGCCAGTGCACCGCTTCCTGCGCCAGTTGCACCACCTCCTGCGCCAGTTGCACCACCTCCTGCGCCAGTTGCACCACCTGTGCAAGCACCGGCATCCGCGCCACCACCACAAGTGCCTGCTCCAATGGCACCACCGACCCAAGAACAGTACCATACGCCTCCTCGCACGCACGCGAAACATGTATCGCACTCGGGGTACGTGGCCAATAACTCCCCACTGCAGAGCGTCGAGTATCAGACGCCACCGCCGGCACCTCGGTATCAGCACCCTGATCAGTACGCGCACCATCACTCAAGCTCTCGAGTCGAGCCCCTGCGTCAACCACAGCGCCAATACGACGAGAGGGACCACAGCCCTCGGGGACAACCTCTACCGGAGCACTACGACTTTTTGCCATCTGCTCGAGATGACCATCGGCACCAGTCAGCCCCCGCGGAATACGATCGCCCTCCACCGCCGCCGGCGCATCGCTCAGCCTTCCCTGGCGGACATGAGATGGTGCACAGCCGCAGCTTTGAAGCGCCTGGACAGAGAGGATCTCTTATGGAGATGAGACACGATGTCCTGAGGAACGAGGCCCATCGCCATTCCATTGCCGCTCAGCCTGTCTCTCGCCCGGTCTTCAGACCATATGATTCGGCACCTGCCACCAACGCTATTCAGCTGCCTGCTGCACCGGCTTATGAAGAAGTGCAGGCAAGGCATCAGTCTTACGATGCGAGCTACGACACGCGTCCGCGCTCGATGCAAGCAAGTGTGGAAGATGTGCCCGAATCTCCCAATTACGGTCAAGGATACCGCCGTAGCAGCCGGGCGAGACCCGAGGACTCCAATTACGACCCTGCATCAAGCCCTGCGCCCCTGAACTTGAGTCGCTCACCCGGGCCCTCGCCTATGCATCAGTCCCCCGGCCGTCCAGACTACGACGATCCACGGTATCAGTCTGCTAGATCGCCCGCGGCGAGTCAGGAGCTTTCAACGAGTCCGGGAAGAGACCTATATTACCAACCTTCACACCAGCCTGCAAGCCAGCAGGCTCAATACCCTCCTTACGATGACGAATTTTCCCACCATATGCGACGACCCAGCAACAACGGCTTGCATGAGCCCCCCGCGTCACTGATACCAGGTGGTGTAGATCCCAGCCTCGCGTTGGAACTGGCGGATCGTATTCAAGAGGACCGCCGCCAAGATCGACGATATACCACTCAAGTGTCGGGAATACCACCCCGAGGCCGCTATGGGTCAGAGCCGCCACCGCCTACCCAAGCATACGGCAATGACGTGATGGTCCCTCACGGCTACAGCCATCCTTCACAACCATCTCCCGATCGAAGACACGGGTCGGATGTTACCTACAGTAATGTGCAAGAGCAGCGCATGGTGCACAGGCCCTCGCCTAGTCCGCCTGGGACATCGCACCATGTTATCAAGCGCAAGTCAGTGAGCCCTGCTCCTCCACCATCCGACGCAAGGAGGAAGTCGGACGTTCCGTTTGGGCCAGACTCGTTCGACGCGTTCAACACGACGATTGACAACTCGCGCGAGGAGGCGGCAGGCCCAGATCCCAATGCGAAGATCGTGATGCACGATGGCAGGGAGGTCGACCCATCGGACCACCTTCCGGTAGAGTCATGGGCGCCCGAGCCCGAGCAGAAGCCGCAGCAAGCCTCACCTGAGCCTCGCTCCCGGCCTGCGCCGAACGGTGCGCAACCCATGCCCACCAGCGGCAGGCGTCAGCTCCGGATCGCCGCGCGTCCGGCCCCGCAACCGGCAGCGGCGCCTCCTCACCCGTCCTACGGACCACAGGAGCCCCACACGCCTCCGACGACGACAGGTCGGAACCGCCTGCACAAGAAGACGAGGTCTTCTACAGCCCATTCTCCCGCCGCCATGGGCTCAAGCCCCTTGGCTCTGATGGAGAATCACCAGGACAGGCACAGCCCCTACACGCCCACCCGAGGCTCTCAACGACCGCCTCATCACTACGACTATCCCAATGAGAACCAGTACAGTGCGGGGCCGCCCATCCCAGCAAAGGTGCCTATGCATCAGTCGGGGGGCGCCATGATGAGCGGTGCCAATGGCGCAGACATGGCGCTGATGCATGAGATGCAGAACATTGACCTTGGGACGGGCCGTTCACGTCGACGGGGAGGATATTGATTTGACGATGTAATAATGTTTTCATGTGTATCATGATGAGGACCACCAGGAACGGGAAATTGAAGGGGCTGGCTGGACAATACACATGCCATGGCGTTGTTTGGATTTCTGAATTTTTAGAAACGGAGTAATATCAGCCGCGCTGGGGCGGGACAGCAGCGACACGAGTTAGATGAGCTTGATGTAGAGGAACAAATTGAGACCAATTCAAATAAAAAGGTTTTCCAAGAGTTACAATCCATCCGACATGTGTATCCAACTGTGACAGAGGTCTCCGTGGCCAAGTTGCTAACGTATTGTACATTCCCTATATCCCATGACCGGGTGCCAGCCCACTGATGCTGACCAAGGAAGAGCCTGACGCCTGGTATCGTGCACTCGCTAAATAAAGGCATGTTCTTTCTTTCATCCACAATCGCTGTGCCCTAATCGGCCACAGCATTACTCGACGACCATTTTGTTCAAGATCTTTTGTATGCCGGCCATGCGACCCGAGCCGGCGTCAATCTGCTCGGCAGTCTTTCTCGCGCGCTCAATCAAGACGGTGAGCACCTTGCGGGTGTACTCGAAGCTGCCCATGTTCTCCATGTATTGGACGGCGTAGCGCTTGACCTGGAGATCGGTGGTCTTTTGCTTGAGGATGTTGATGAGCTGGAGGTTGGTGGGGTCGGCGCGAACGGCGTGGATGACGGGGAAGGAAAACTTGCCCTCGGTGAGGTCCTCGCACATGCCCTTGTTGTTGGAGTACTCCTGGGAGGACAGGTTCATGTAGTCGTCGCGGATCTGAAAGATGAGACCGATGAGGTTGACGAGGTGGGAGCAGTCAATGTCGGTGCCGGACTCGGCCTGCATAAGCTTGATGCCGAGACGGAACAGGCCGCCCGTCTTGTTGCCGACCATCTCGAGGTAGTCCTCCTCGGTGGGGCAGGTGAGGGTGTCGCGCCAGAAGAGGTCCATGCCCTGACCTCTGTGCAGGTTAACCAGCTCCTCGGCAAACATGGCGATGGCGTTGGGGTTGTTGAGCTGCTGCAGCTCCTGCAGGGCGGCAAAGTAGATGTAGTTGGCCGAGTTGATGGTCTGGGCGACGCCAAAGATGTTGTGCGCCACGGGGAAGCCGCGGCGCAGTTCCGAGTTGTCCTGGACGTCGTCGACGAGCAGACTCGACTCGTGGAGCATGCCGACGACGCGGGTGATGATGGCGAGGCTGGGGGCCGGGACGTCGAGCCAGGCGTTGAAGGAGCCGATGAGCTGGGAGCGGAAGTCCTTGCCGGGATGGGAGATGACATAGTCAAAAGGCCCCCTCACGATGCGCTCCTTGTCGGCGTTCCAGGAGCGCTCTGGACGGAAGTCGAGATCGTGATCCATGTAGCGAGTGGGATCAGGCGGCGGAGGCGCCGAGGTCGCCGGCTGGACAGGGTGCATGGTTGGAGAGTGGTAGTAGGCCTCTGCGCTGGGGGAGGCGCCAAAGGAGGACGAGTGATGCCTGTGGTGGGGTTTCTGGGCGAGACCATCGGGAGAATTACGTCGCCTCTTGAGCTCGGCCACCTCGGCCTGCGCCTGTTTTTGTGCGAGCCAGTCTGCTTCGGCGACGGGCTTGAGGATGGGACGTGGTGTCGTGTAGGAGAGAGAGCTTGAGTGGCTGTGGAGGCCCGAGGAGGAAGTTCGCGGAGGGATGGCGTTGGGTGAGGCCAGCATGTTGGCGGGGGCTGCTGATGAGTTGCTTGGTTTTGATGGAGGAGGAGTGGAGGCAGGCGCCAATATGGTCGATGAAGATGGAGGAGGAGAGGAAGGAGCCATGGCAAGCGTGACCAGAGGGGTGGCAGCCTAATATGTGTGTGTCTGTGAAGCTCCAGTCGTCGCGTCGGAGAGTCAGGCGCAACGAGTCGAGACGGAAGAGCTATGCGAAGCTGTACGTGTTGTGGGACCCCACCTTCAATGACGCCTGGAGATGGAGATGAAGTCGGGCATGCAGCAAATGACAGCTTAGGCTACCGTGGAGGAGGATCTGGCAGCCCGGGTCTGACTTGCTTTGGTGCCTGTGCCTGACTGGTGTCTCGATCCGCAACCAACGACTGGCTCAAAATGACGACGACGACGATGGCTTCACGTGGTGTGGATTCCGCCAGCAGAATGCAAGCGTCATGGATCTCGGGTGGGATGACAACAACACGGAATTCGGACAAAACCAAGTTGTCCGCGCGCAGAATGAGGCAGAAAGGGACGAATCCTGAGATCTGCGATGCGATGGATGGGCCTTCAACCTTCGGTCTCGCACTCGGAGACGCTCAAAGTGCCGGGTGTCGCTGTTGGTTGGTGAAATAGTTGTCGTTGATCTCACATGGATCGCTTGTTACATCATAGACTTGATGAGGGCTTCGGGACAACGACAATGCCAAGCCAATGCTAGCAAACGTTGGGAGTGAGGTGGGCGGACGGCGAATTACAAGGCAAGGGAGAAGAAGAATGGTGTTGCTTCTGTCAGAGCCTGAGCTCAGTCCAACCAGCATGGCATTCTCGACAAATGCGGTCGGTTGTTTCTGGCGATGATGGCATTGGCGCTCGATTCTCCCGATCCGGGGCTGGAGCCACTTTGAGGCTGAGGACCCGCCTTTTGGCTGCTCGTTGTCGGGACAACAATCAGTTGGCCTTATCGCTGTTCCATCATCAATGCATCGTCTCGATCAACATGGCGCGTCGCATTGCGACATCACTCCCTTTGCTCAGGTCCAGCTCCTCCATCACGATACCTCCCAAATGCATTTCTTCTTCGCCAATCTGTATTAACATTCTCCTCCTGCGCTTTGTCGCACCTTTTTTTGTTGCCTGCCTCCATCACTTGTCCAACCGACACCACCCACAGACACCAGACACCAGACACCAGTCACCAGCCACCAGCCACCACCACCACACAATGGAGGCTCTACTCTCCACAGCCTTCGACAACCTCTCTTCCTACGATGGGCCCAAGGTCCGCAAGGGCTTGCGCCAGGTTGAAGGCCTTCTCGCGCAGATCTGCCTCTCGACCGACCCGCCGCGGTCAGCATCGTCGTCGCCCACGAAGAACGGCTCCCCCACCAAGCAGACCGAGGACAACACCAGCAGTGGCAGTGGCAAAGAGAGCGAGGCTCCTCGAAAGGACCTGGCAGAGCTCACGCGGGACCCTGCGTTCCGGGAGTTCTTCAAGCTGCAGGAAGGGTTCGAGTGGAACGTCGCATCACGACTGATCAGCACGCTGGATCGCCTGCTTGCTGGCGGAAGCGACGGCCAGAATGATCTTCTCATCCTGAGCGCGCTGGACCTCATCCAGGGACTACTTCTGTTGCACCCCCCCAGCAAGACACTGTTCTCGCGCGAGCAGAACATGAATGTGAGCTCCTCCCTTTTCCCTGCCCTGCTGCACGGGTGCTGACCATCTACAGCTATTACTCGATCTCCTCGAACCGTACAACTGTCCCGCCATCCAGTCCGCCACGCTCCTGACCCTCGTCACCGCGCTCATCGACACGCCGCGAAACACCCGTGCGTTTGAAGCGCTGGACGGCCTGCTGACCGTCACCTCGCTCTTCAAGTCGCGCAGCACGGCGCGCGAGGTGAAGCTCAAGCTCGTCGAGTTTCTGTACTTTTACCTCATGCCCGAGACACCCTCCATTGCCCGCGCCGGCGCCACACGCGACGTGCTGCAGAGAAGCCCCAGCAAGCTCGCGAGCGCCTTTAACGGAGACTCCCAGAGGAGGGGCAGTCGATTTGATACGGACGTCGTCGGCCTTGAGCTGAGCACGGCGGAGAAACAAGAACTACTAGGACGACACCTGAGCAGCGTGGAGGACCTCGTCAAGGACCTGAGGACCTCGGCGCCATTTGGAGGTGTTGTCTCTTGATGGTGATTTCTGGGAGCGCCTCATACCCTACCTTGCCTGTTTGCTCGTTCTTTTTTTGGGCCGGACGCGATGCTATTTCTGTCACATGCTGGCGCTGGGGAATATGTCTTTGTCGGCATGGTTATCTTTCGCAGGAGTTTGTCTTGCTGCCACGTCACGCAGATACCAAGTGGCACGAGGGGTTTCCTTCTTTTCATCAACGCAAGCTGGGCGTCTGGTTCTTGATCGATATGCTGCCCATATAGACTTGTCATTTATTACGAACATCAATGCTCATCGTACTTGCGCGGCTTGTAGCCTACCGGTGTGGCCATGATGGACGGTGACCTGGGAGGGGGTGGCTCTGGCTCGTAGGAGCCATAGAGCTCGAACCTCCCATCAATGGTCTGCTCGCCCTCGTGGTGCTGCCCATAGTATGTTGTTGGGCGGGCCCCAAACACCGGTGACCGCGTCGCGTCGCTCGTCGTCTCCGAGTCCATCTCCACCGGCGCAGCCATGTCCCCAGGCTCCTGGGGCTGCCTAGGCACTGCGGACTGCGGTGCCAGCGGCGGTGACGCCGCCTGCGATCCTGGCGTCTGGTCCTGCAGGCCTTCCTCTGTATAGGGGCCGGCCGCCGGATGTGAGCCAAAATACTCCTGCGTCGGCCCATGGTTGTTGCTGTTGTGCCCAGGTCTCACGGCCGCTGCTGCCGTGGTCTCCGACATGTCGGTGCCGTCCCGAGGGCCACTGTCGCCCTGGAGCGTGCGTGCTCTGCGCTCTCTGCGTTTACGGATACACACCCACGCCATGACGCCCACGGCGAGAGCCGCGCCGATGACGACGCCAGCGGCTATGCCAGCCGTCGCGCTATCCGACAGGCCGTCATCATCGTCCCCTTCACCGATAATCACGATGCCGCTCTGCGTAGGAAGACCCGGCGCGCAGTACCCCGTGCCATCGACCGCCGTGCAGCGCTGGTCGTCGTCGCAGCACCCCTGGCCATCCTTGCACTTGTACTGCCGCGTGGTGCAGCCTTCCTGGATGGGCGTCAGGAAACGGCTGGCGCTCGGCTTGGCCGTCTCGACGCAGTTGCCCGCGCGGCACTCGGAATCGTACGGGCAGCATTTCCCGCCCTGGTCCTCGGGGCAGAGGTAGCGGCTCGTGGCGGGACACTTGCGTGGACAACAGCCAGCGACGGGGACGGGCGTTGCCTCGCCGCTGTCCCACGCGGTGGTGATGGCCTGCGTGCGCGTGCAGTACCAGGCATCGCTGGAGCAGGGCGAGTCGCCGGCGCAGTTGGAGCCGATGGGGCAGCACTTTGGGTCGCGGTCGCGGTTGACGTAGCAGTACCGGTCGTTGGCGCAGCAGGTGTCCGGATGGCCAATCTCCTCGCACGCGTGGCGGTCGTCGCCGCAGGCATCTGCGCGCGCGCGGAGCACAGGCAGCGAGGCGTCGAGGAGGAAGCGAGGGAGGAGGAGGAGGAGGGCGGTGTTGTTGGGCGACTGGTCGAGTGGGATGGTAGCGTAGCGGCGGCGGCGGTGGGCAGCGAGATCCGAGGCAGCTGACGCCAGGGTCAAGGTGTGTAGGAGCAGCAGGAAGAGGAGAAGCCTAGATGAAGGCGTCGACGATGTGCGTCGCATCATTCCCGTTCGGTTCCCGTCGAAACGCGCGCGACGTCCGTGGGTCCAGTGAGCGAGGAGCAGGCATGGAGATGGGGGAGCAGAGCAACAAAGGGCTAGACAACGACCGCATTTGCTTGCGAGAGGGACGGCCATGATGAACTGAATGCGACTGGACACGGGGGGCCGACCGGTGCGCTCATCTCACCTGCAGCCTGCACGGAGAGGACTGCGATCTGCACTGAGAGCGTTGTGATCCGTGCGACGCAGAGGGCGGCTGATCGGGAAACGTCGCTTTTATTGACGGCTCCGGCGCACACACGCAACAACGCACGTACATCATTTGATGGTGATAGTGGTGGTCACTGCTCTCGCCTTCATCGAGACCAACCAACAGGCTGATCAGGCTGAGTCTGCAAGAAGGGGTGGACATGTATGCAAGCATGCAAGCATGCATGCATGGTGTGTGAGATGCAGACAAAGATGCCCTTTTGAGAATGGGGGGCCGATCCTCGTTTGCATGAGAGGCTGGCTCCTGTTCCCGACTTCCCTCACGATGGACGGTTTGCCTGTGTGGTGGGCAGATGAACGATGGCAGTGTCTACCTTTCAATTTCTCACATGAAGCAGACTGAAGCTACACACAAGAGCATGCAGGGAGGAGGGAGGACGACTCGCAGCAGACTACGCGGTGTCTGATTCACTCACGATCTGTGATCTGCCTCTCCCCGCTACAGCCTCCTCACTCTCGACCCTACCGTCCTCCCCTCCTCACGGCCTGCTGACTCCCCTCTCCTGGCAGTACTTGTCAACCTCTTTTCTCAACGTCTCCCTCTGCCGCATCGCCCCGTCCATCACAGTCTCCGCCACGCGGCCCAGCCCATTGTCGCCCCTTGTCTTCTCGTAGAGGGTCGCCATCTCCTCCAGCACCGCCTCGAGCTGGTTCGGCAGCCAGGTGACAATGGGACTGCCGCCCGTCGCCGTGGGGTGACTCGTCCTCTTGAGGATGTACTCGCGCGCAAAGCACCAGTGCCGCCAGCGAAAGTCGCGCACCTGGTTGAGGATCTGGATCCACAGGCTCCTCGACTCGCGCAGCAGGCTCCCGTCCTCGTCCTCGTCCTCGTCCGTATCCGACGGGGTGGTCAGACCGAGGGCAAAGTCCTTGAGCCCCACGGCCTGCGAGCGCTCCTTGACGTACAGCAGAAAAGCCTTGTGGTTCGAGGGGCGGTACTCGCGAAAGTCGCTCAGGATCTCCGTCAGGGGCGTCTCGGGCATGGGCACCTGGAGCATATTGTCCATGAGCGGGACCATGCTGTCGTTGGCGCCGCTCTCGCCCCGGAACGAGAGCGGCTGGCCGTCGTTGAGGCCCTCGTAGACGACGCCCTCCGGGAACATGCTCTGCGACGTGATGCCAAAGATAAATGTGCGGAATGACGTGTACGCCATGGGCGACGACTTGGACCACATGGTCTCCATGACCGCGTTGATCTTCTGCAGCGCGGTCAGGACCGACGTCAGGCCCTCGTTGAACCGCGTCCTCTCGTCCGTGGTCCCGCGCGCGGACGACGACGTCGTCGACCCGGCAATGTCCAGGCACTTTGTCACGCCGTCGACGAGGGGGCCCGAGTTCCGGACCATGTCAATGTGTACGAGTACGAAGCCTGCCTCGGACGAGGTCGGGTCCAGTCCGTTCTCAAAGGCGCGGATCAGGCGGAGGTTGGAGTACTCCATGCCCTTCTTTGGGTCTTCGAGGCGATAGTTGTAGAGGGCGTAGGAGCCCGCGTATTCCATAAAGGGCTTGAAACCGCAGCTGTAGTCGGTGTCAGAATTGTGCATGAGAAGGGGGGGTGGTGGAAGTAGAAGCACGTACATTTCAGCACACCGGGCGATGGGGTGCGAGATATTGGCAGGCAGGACCTGACGGCCAAGACCATATGGCTCTCCCTTGACGAAGCGCTGATGGCAGGGCTCCAGGAGATAGGCCGAGGCGAGGAACGAGTAGTCCCTGTAGAGGGCGTTCATCATGGGCAGGTCGTGGCTGTACTTGTCCATCTCCCCCGCCAGGTTGGGGAAGCGGCTGTCGACCTCGTCGCCGAGTGTACCCTTGGCCAGGAGACCTGGCGTTCCCTCGAGGGTGGTGATGGGCATGCGCTGCAGGATGGACTCGAGAGGCTGGAACTCGGTGGGCAGGGTCACGATGGGGTCGGCCCTGGGGAGGAAGCCTCGGGTGGTGGACACCATGAACGCGGGGAGGGAGACATCGTCTGGACGAGTGTCGTGGAGGATGGGGAATGTCGTGGTACTGTCAAGGGAGCCCATGGTGGAATGTGGTCTTGGGGCAGGGGTGTGCTTGTGTGTGTGTATGTGGTGAGGATAAGGGGCAACAAGGTAAACACAAGATCGTCTGCCGGATTTCCACTGACAAGAGGCGGGAAAATTCTCACAGTGCGTGCCCGATGCTCTCTGCAATGACAAGCGGTCAAGGTTCTTCTTCTCTACCTCTGGCTTCGCTCGTGCGCCTATATACCCAGGAGGCCGGAACATATTCCGGCCTCTGGGCGGGGGGATGATAATAGGGTTGGAGAGGTCTTTGTGTGTCCTGCACGATCATTAGCGGCCACACAGAGGGCGCACGTCTCGACGATTCCCATTAAGTGATAGAAACGTAAAAGAAACAGCGCCTCAAGCCCCGAGTAGGACATGATGCATCTGGTGATGATGCTCATGTGCCCCTGAGGATGTACTCTTATATGTATGTTTGCAAAGCTTAGCTTTTCTTTGGCATATTTCTGGCCGTGGATCGTGCAGAGCTCACGTATGCGAATTCAGTGATCAATTCCTCCTAAGCTGCACATTTGCATCGTGGCCTTTATAAATGTCGAGTGTCAAGAGTCGAGAGGGTGAAGCGCCGCAGGCCTCGCGCGGGTGGGGCGGCACCTCCGATGATGCCCGGCCCAAATGTGGGACAGTGGCCGGAACCAAATTCCGGCCTCGAGCATCACCACCGGCCCCGGAGGGAGGTGTCGACGCTCTCTGCTGGTGGATCCAGGATGCCCCGCGGAAGGGCGTGGTCACGTTGACTAGGGCATGAGTCGAGAGCGAGTAATGTTCAATTGGAAGCAGCTGTCCACGTACGCCCCATGTCTGACGACTAACATGTCCCATCATTATCATAGCAAAGGCAAAGTCCTCCCCAAATAGTTTCTCGTGCGATAGGTATCGTTGCGCATCAATGGAAATCAAGCGGCCGTTCAGGGGCGCACAACAGTCTTGAATCCTGCGCTCGTAGTCGTGTTGGCGTAGGCAGCCGAAGCCTTGTAGAGCTCCCTGAACGGACTCCCCAGATCCAAAGGCGCCAAAGTTGCAGCCGGTGTCGTGGTTTGGCTCTCCAGGCTGACCGACTCGGGCATGGCTGCGGAAGAAGTGGCAGGCAGGCTGGCAACAGGAGAAGAAGAGAGCGACTCCTCAGCCTCCATGAATTGGCCGCCAAGACGGGCACTGGGGTCTAGGCGGGCTGCTACCGAGGTGAATGTAGAGTTGGCCCAGGAAAACGAGGATGTGCTGTCGACTTCTTTGAATTGCCCACCGAGACCGAGTCGAACATTGGCGACCGGGACTGTCGCAGAGGGTGCACTGGTTTCCGGCTGGCGCATAGCCGCAGACGATGTGGCGGTGAGCTCGTTGGACGGCCAGACAGTCACTGTCGTTGTGATCGTTCTGGTCATTGTCGTCGTCTGGGTAGAGTCCATGGTAGAGACCACTGTCTCAAAAATCTCCTCTTCCTTAAACACACCGTCGCCCGGGAGGGAATCGCCTGAGAGTGTCAGCAAATGTTTGTTCCGATGGTTTGCGAAAACTGGGGATTTACCAGCCTGACCACCGTCAGCGCCTTCAGCATCGTCTTCCTCCTCTATTTTGTCGCCATCATCCACGTCGGCAAAGTTGTTTGTCACAGCGTCGTCGCTGTTCTTATCATCTGCTTTGTTTGTGGGGAGCCCCGAAGCCGTAGGCGCTGGCACCGCGATGCTGCCGGCAGGCATGCTGGTAGACGACCCTTCACCACCATCAGCAATCTCAGGACTGGGGATCTCACCGTCGTTAGTTGCGCCCGAGATTGTCTGAGGATCTTGGCCCGCGACATTGCCAACTCCATCAATGCCACTGCCTGCATCTGTACTGTCATCTTGGGCCTCTTCGATACCCGCAGCGTCCTCCCCGTCATCCTGCCCCATCAGGCCCTCCACTTGGTTCTCTAGATCAGCCAGCTGATCGAGGATATCCACGAGTTCGCTCTCAGGCACCTCTACCGTGTCATCGCCTGCTGGCACGGTGTCTCGAATCTCGATCGCCGGACTCAGAGAGCTCTTGACGATTTCATTTGCAGGGCCTCCAACATGGGAGGTAGGACTCTCTGTTTCATCACGACCAAGGATCGGGTGGGCATCTCGATGAAGACTGGGCGGGTTGGCCCTGAGTGATCGCCCAATGTTGACAGAGATGTTGAGCCCGAGAGGTGGCGCCGAAACGCTGAGAAGGTTGCCAAGATTGAGGAGGCTCATTGTCGATTCGATATATATGAATGCTGTCAGTAGAAAAGAAGAACAGGGCACGAGGCTGTGACCAAGGCTCAGAGAATTCTTGCAACAGCAGGGCTACGCGCAACTTATACAATGGGCTGCTCCGTTGGCGGGGTGCAATGCCATGCCACTCGGTCTGGGCCAGTTCGTCACAATGTCTCACTTTGCTGAACAGACAAGCCAATATTGTGTGGGCTTTGCATTCCAACTATTGTACAGTCTCTCGTTGCCCTGGTAAATTGAATCTGGAAGGACGTCGCCCTGGATGGGTGCATGCGAACGCGGACATCCCGCGCGACAAACCTCGTAGGAAATCACTGAGCGCGTTCTTGCAACGCTGCAGCCTCCTTGACCGGATCGGCCGAGCCCTTCTTCGGCAACCCGACCTTGTTGTGCCAGACAACTCTCATGCCAGCATCTGTTGCACCCTGCACAGCGCCAGCGCTGCCGGCCACAAACAGCACATTGCTCGCTTCCAGGCCCATCTTGGACAACAATGCGTAATACGCTGCCCGCGTCGGCTTGTAGAAGCCGCTCTCCTCGGCGGCCATGGTAGAGTCGAACGTGAAACGACCTCGAACACCTGTACTGGCCGTTGCTTCGGCACACTGTGTCGCAATGGTGCCCAGCCTCAGGGAACAGTTGGTCACGACGCCCAGCTTGTAGCCCTTTCTCCTGAGCTGCGGCAAGACGCGGGCAACCTCGGGCCAAGCTCTCAGGTTAGCCCAGTCGCGGATGAGGGCGTCGGGTGCCGATGCAGGAAGGCCAACGTCTTGGGCGGCCTGCCGGACGCAGTCCTCGTATGGCATGTAGGTTCCTCTGGGGAGGCTGAAGGTGAGCTCGAGATAGCGGTGGCGCCGACCTCTTCCGAGGTGCCGGACGGAGCGGACGCGTCCTACAGTGTCCACGAGTCGAGGAGAGCCGTCAGGAGGTCGAAGACGATGGCTTTGGGCTGCCAGTCAGCATCAATGAGGGCGGCCGTAGAAGACATGATGGCGTATGTGGATGGTGAGGTAATCAAGGACTAGAGTGTAAGCGGCGAAGGGTACTTATACGAAGCTGAAAAAGACTACCAGTGATACCATCGAGCACACTCAATAGCCGCAAACCGGAGCAACAGACGACGGCTCTTGGGCCCGTTTGATTGTCAAGAAGTAGGAGTCGGGATGTGTCTCGGTTTCCAAATAACTCTGTTAGAAGCTACCTTTGCGACCGCCAGAATTTGGTGACCCTTAAAAAGTATGGTGTACCAATCTTGATCGAAAAATAAGGCTGTTCCCGACGGCTGCTGCTTGATACTCGAAAGGTGTACGTGAGCTGCCTTCACACGACTGGAGCCCCCTGCTCCCCTGGCCGAGAAGAGGCAGACAGTGTGAAGCGACTCGTCACGAATTGCGTCTGTCTGCTCAGGCCTGTACATACATAGTACGTCAACGGTCAGACAGGTGTCGTGTGGGCCTAGTTGCTGCCGCACTACTCCGTACTCCGTACCGGCTGGACGCTTCGTGCATCGCGTTTACTCTGGATCATCGTGAAGTGTGCTGAGCTGGTGGAAGTGGCATTTGCTCAGTCGCAATCCCAATACTATGCAATGCAATCCTTTCTCCAACGACTGGACCAGGGCAAACACAAGGCAAGGGCGACCAGCGCTGCGCGAAACAGGGGGGCAAGGCAAACTGGCGGACAAAGAGCCGGAAGGCGCGATGGCACGGCATCGTCATGCCTCAGGCAGAATGGCGGGAACACAGGATGAAGGCAGGCACGAAAGCGTGCGGGAGGCACAGGGCATGCACAACTCGAGTGCTAGGCCTATCCGGGCAAGATCGGGACTGCATAACTCAATCCCGGCTGGGGATGCGCGTGCCCGTGCAGCCTTTTGGCGCAGCGCGCACTCCGTGGGCAGGCACTGGCAGGACTGGAGAGGCAGAAACAAGCCCAACCTTTTCCACCCACCGCACCGCGGGACTTCGTTCCCATTGATTGTGCGCTCAAAATGAGGATGAGCCTGAGACCACCATGGCCTCGCCGCCAACCCAAAATGATGCCCCCGTCATCAATCCCCTTCGCTCCCTCCATTCCCTGAAATTCCCTTGCCCCCATTACCATCACCATCATCACCCATCACCACCCAGACTCACTGCCCTCGCCCTTTTCTGCGAGAAAGGCCACGAGTACCCACCCCTGGATCTACGGATACAGAACACCAATACTTCGCATCAGTCACTTTGCTCGACTCTCAGTCACTAGCCGGCTTGGCCAGCAGAGCCACCTCTGCCCGCCTGAACCAACCGTACTGCGTACAACATTCCGCAGTATCCGTCAGCTTGCCGTCGTCGTCGGCATCTTCACTTTTCCCTGACCCATCTCGACGAGGACTCCATTGTCGACTTTTCCCTCTACCATGGCCCCGTCTACTAAACCAGCCGACGGTCGGCGGAAGTCCAGCGGCAAGACGCTCGTCGTCACGCTGAGGGTCAATGCCGACAAGCTACGCGACATTCTTCCCGCCAGCGACACGACGACGCCCCCTGCCGACGAGGTCAAGCAGTCCCCGGCCTCGTCCACCGACAGCAAGCCACTCCAGCCTGTCGAGATTGAGTCGAACACCGCGACGCCGCAACCTGATGGCACGCCTCAGCCTGGCGCCATGGGCCCTCCTGGCGACGGCCCCAAGAAGAAGGGTGTGAAGCGTGGTGCGCAGGCCAATGTCGACTTGTCACAGAAGCAAAAGGGCAAGCCGGGCCCTAAGAAGAAGCCGCGCCTGTACGTGCCATTCCCTTCCACTGCATGTTCTTCTAGATTTGCTAACCTCGTTTCACAGTGAGGATGGAACCATCGACCACGCGGCCAAACCCGCCGCGCACAAGCTCGGCCCCAAGGCCAACCAGGGCGCCATCAACGCCGGCCTACGCGCCCTTGACCGCACAGGCAAGCCGTGCCGCCGGTGGCAAAAGGGTGGCTTCAAGCTCAAGAGCTTCACCGGCGTCATGTGGGAGATTCCTCGCTGGGAGGCACCCCCCAAGAAAGCCCCCGAGTCGACGACGGAAGACTCCGCCGCGGCGTCGGCAGCCGACAGCAGCACCAAGGAGAACAAGGAGAACGCTGCCGGCGAGACGAGTGCTGCCAACAGCAACAGTGGCGTCGACGCCGAGATGCCCAGCGCGCCCCCGAGCAACCACGCCTCGTCGCCGGCGCCCATGACCATCACGGCGGCCTCCTAGAACGGGGCTTCCGTGCAGGCCTGTGCTGCCTTGCAGACGTATCATCGTTAGTTCTCTACAGGAGTTGATTCATGCTCCGACCCCATGTTCATACTACATCACGCTCTCACTTTGGAGCATTTTGATGCTTCCGGTTTATGGTTGCTGGCGTTCAGGATTGGTCGCGGCGGACTACGCATCTCGCATTACACGCAAGGAGTTTCGGTTGTCAGGCATGCTAGATTTTCAGTGTAAGAATGTCGGGTAATAGATGGATTGATGGGTGGGAGGGCGTGGGACGCCCGTTCATAGCCAGCCATTGGTGGCAAGTTGCGGTGAGAGCAATCAAGAGCATTTTCATTCCGTCCATTGTGCTACATGGTTCGGGTGCTTGCGGCAACCTGTGTCACCTGTAATGTTTCCAGCTTTTCTTCTCATGCTTCATGATGGAGGCGTGACGCTGTCCTCGTGAGGTAGGCGGTGGGTCTCCCCCTCTGCTGAGGCGGCTCACCTTGGTGGCACTGACGAGGCTTGGCTGAGATGCACTGAAGTGATGATCTGGGCCATCGGCCTACTCTGCGCGGACTCAGCTAACTTTGGCTTGTTTCGGAGATCTTTTGGCTTTCATCACGGGCTATCAATCGTCGACCAAGTCAAGGAAAGACCCACTAAGCCGAATTCGGCCACCCTGAAGGTTCTCATCCCCACGGCCGATGCGGTAATCGCGGCGGGTCTTGCCAGGAAACGCTCGTCGGTGCTGGAGCTGCCGCTGCTGTACCCTTTCCTTTTGCATTCTAGTTACGATACGTTGGGCGATGAGGCCTGGTCTGACTGTTGCTTGCACTTGCCCACCATACTCGCACGCTGTTTCACGCCTAGTCCAACGGAGCTCCCGAAGCGTTCAGGCCGAGTGCTGCGACCTTGACTGGCTGACACTGGGGTAGCTCCCCCATCAACAACCACCACCACCACCACCACCACTCGCAGCTCGAGCGCTGAGAGCTCCCAAACACGCAAAATTCATCATGGACTATAGCTCGCATCCCCTCCACCGTCCGGACAACTCGCCGCCGCGACGAAGGCGAGGAACTCACCGTCGCCCCCTCGACGACATCCTTAACCCTACCCTATCCGACGATGACGACCGGTGGTTCACCCCACAGTACCTCGAGCACTCGCCCTACGTGCAACGCCTGGAACGAGACCACATGAGGCGACAGGAGGCGAAGACGGCCAAGGCCTCGGGCACGATGGGGGATGAGGATGATCCGTCGTTACCGCCTGGCTCCCATCGGGGCATGGCCCACACGGTCGTGGAGCGGCCCTCGCCAACGCCCAGCGACGACGAGATACTCGAACCACTACCCACCCGCTGGGGCAAAAGTGCCTACTCCGGTCTGTCGATCAATTATTGCAACGAGGTTCGATACTCGTCGGCCAAGCCGTCCGGCGAGGAGAGGAGTCGACAGGACGGACTGGAAGCGGCCGCCATACGGGCCAACCACCCCATATCGCCTCAATGCGGCATCTATTATTTCGAGATTACCATCTTAGAAACGAAGCAGGACGATGCATCCATTGGTATGGGCGTCTGCACGAGCAAGGCCGCCATGTCGCGGCCCGTCGGGTGGGAGCCTGAGTCCTTTGGCTACCACGGTGACGACGGCAGGGTCTTTTGTGCCCAGACGGTGGGTAAGAGATACTCGGAGGGCTACAACATGAACGACGTCATTGGGTGTGGTGTTGACTTTTTGGCCAACTGCATCTTCTTTACCAAGAACGGCATCAACCTAGGCCCGGCTTTTCACGACATGATCAAGCCCCACTGGCGGCTGTTCCCTGCGGTCAGCATGAAGCGCAACGGCGAGAGGACCCTGGCCAACTTTGGCGAAAGGCCATTTGTCTACGATATCGAGTCCATGGTGCATGGGGTGCGGGGCAAGATCTGGAAATCTATCCGGAAGACGGACACCAAGGGGCTGAAGAGCGCGACGTCGGAGACGGCCTTGGTGCAGAACCTGGTAATGCAATTCCTGCTCACGGAAGGTCATGTGGACACGGCGACTGCGTTCTGGGAAGAAACAAAAGGGCAGGACTCGGTCTCGAGTCCGGATGCTGCCAACGCTGCCGATCGAGGGTTCGAGCATAAGGGCGATGCCACCCGACGGCAGCGCATCCGCAAAGCCGTCCTCGAAGGGGACATGGACAGCGTCTTCCGGTACACGCGGCAATTCTACCCGACCCTGTTGGAGGAGAGCAACATGGTCATGTACAAGCTGCGGTGCCGCAAGTTCATTGAGCTCATTCGAAAATCGGCGGAGATCAAGAGGGCAATCGCCGTGGCGCGACAGGCCAAGACACTCCAGGACGTCGACCCGGGCGACATGGATATCGACAATGGCAACGGGGGCGCCGAGCTCGTGAGCGAGGACGACCAGATCCAGTCTACGAAGCTGATGGACCTCGAGGCGGAGACGATTGTGTATGGCAGGGAGCTGCATAAGGACTACGCGAACGATCCCATGTACGAGGAGAGCAACCGCAAGTCGGACATTTGGTCGCTGCTGGCGTACAACAACCCGCTCGACGAGCCGCATCTGCAGCACCTGGTGGGCCTGGACGGCCGCACGGAGGTGGCAGAGGAGCTCAACGAAGCTATCCTGGGTGAGTCTTGTTGTCGTTTGGTGGCAATCTCGAGTACTAACGACGGGGTAGTGCACCAGGGCAAGTCGTCCCACGCTGCGATTGAGACTGTATATTCGCAGACGAGCGTGCTGTTGGACGAAACGCGTCGTGGAGGAGGCGAGGGTGCCTTTGTCTCGGTCAACGACATTCTTGAAGACATCAATTTGGGACCGAGCCCGAGTTCGTAGATGGAGCGACTGCGTCGTGGGCCAGATCATGGACAGACATAGCATGGGAATCGGCGTCGAGGCGTATGGCGAGGGAACACACTTTTGTTTTTGTTTTCTTCCTTTCCTTTTTCTTTTATTTCTGTATGATTGGATTAGTGGCTCATTGGTATGTGGTGCATGGGACTCTTTTCTTAGTCGAGGGGCCGTACACTGGCGCGCTGGATCGCTCAGACGACGGCGTAGTCAATGGACGAGGATTATGTGATGATATCACTGCCGATTATACATATAGTTACACATGGCATCCATCCATTGACCATCATGTCCAGTAGATAGATGCCAGACCCTGATCAAAGGCTGCTCATGACACCTTTTCCCCAACGTGACCCCAGCACCGCTGGTATAGGCGCTCTCGATGCCTGACCAGGTTCCCAAACTCCTGCAGAACCTCCTCCATGGCGCCGTCGTCCCAGGCAAGACTGCCGACGAGCCAGGTGTACGCAAAGACCTCTGCGTCAAACAGGCCGACGGCGTCGCCAAAGAACCAGTCATGCTCGCCCAGCAATGTGCTCAAGGCGTCGAGGGCCTCTCTGTACGACGAGAGGAGATGGAGCGGGTTGATGAGGGCTGTGCGTGTGGTCTTGAGGATCTCGGCCGAGGCGGCCTGCGTGAGGGTCGTAGAGGTCGGGACGGCGAGGAGGGGGTTGCTGGGGAGATAGAGGCGTGCGAGGAGCGTGGCATTTCGAGGGTTGAGGTACAAGGCGTAGAGCTATAGGGGAGGGGGGGGTTGGCTGGTCAGTCCAGAACTGTATGCGTTGAGAAGAGTAAAACGTACCCATGCTGGCCGGACCGCATTGTCCAGCAACGCGCGGTAGGCCTGAATCTTGGCGTCCTTGACGGTGGGGAGGGCGCCTCGCGCCCGTGCGAGGTCAAAGATCTTGCCGCCGGCGAGGACCTGGCCCGTCTCGGTGAGGAGGAAGGGCAGGGCGCCCGAGGGGGAGGCGTGGTTGTTGGAGGGCTCGACGTGGACGTGGACACCGGCTATCCGCAGGGCGGCCTGCGCCTTGAGGCAGGAGGGGTTGTAGCTCGGCCGTCCATCGTCGGCATTGTCTGTGAAGATGTAGAGACGTGGTATCGAGGAGGAGGAGGTGGTGGTGGTGGTGGTGGTGGATGGCGGGGCGCGATGGGGGAGGGCGTTGGGCGGGAGGGTCTGGAGGGGGAAGGCGTTGAAGAGACGGCGGAGAGGCTGGGGGATGGCGAGAAGCCGTGGGGTCGGGGTCTGGGTCGGGGGCGAGGGGGTGGAAGATGTGGTGGCCATGGTGGTGGCTGGCTCTTATATCTGGCCTGGTGGTGAGGTGGGATGCGATGACGGAGCTCGCAGGCGGCGCGTCGAGACGCGGCGTTGGAGGATGGAATTCTACACGCACGCACGTACGTCTACGAGACAGACTTGACGTCGGTCGGGGTTCGGGAAGATGTCGGGCCGATGGGTCACTAGCGGCGGGATTACTCCGGCTTTAAGAGTCAGTCCATTAGAGTGGGGTGTCTACATGTAGGTACGGCTACTCCGTAGTCCGTACGTACACGTACAGTCTGACAGCGCTCCACATGTACTGGTATCGCAGATTCTTGCTGACATTGTCAACAGAGGAGAGAGACACTCATGGTGAGCCAACGCTGGCAAGGCGCTTCACTCGTCCGAGGATCAAAGGCTACCTACCTTGTTCGGGGGGGGGGGGGGGGTAACGTGGTATAATAGCTTAGCTTGGCGGCGACCAAAAGGAGGAGCGATCCAGGGTCCTGCGCTGCACCGGGTAAATGCACCAGACAGGGTCTTGGCAGAGAGATAAGCAGCGCGATTCCGACATTGCCCGTCAGGACAGGACAGGACGAGTCGACGACTCGTGTCGCCAAGGCGGCGTTGCGGCGTTGGAGATGAATACAGCCTGGACGGAGAAGACGGGCAAAACACCGAGGGCAGATATGGGGCTCGCTCGCTCTCGTCGGGGCAGTCTCGGACGAGGCTGTCTTGGGCTCGTGGAGAATTATCTGCCGAGGCTCGCAGTCGAGGCGTGATGATGCGATGCGATCACAGTTGAGGACGTGCTCATCAGGCGATAGTAGACAGGTACATGTAGGCGATGGCAGTGTCCGCAGGGCCTGGCGGGCCTGGTGATGATGCGGTGGATCTGCTTGCGACAGATAGCCCACTTGTTGGAGGATGACATGCGACCTGCTTGGCGACATCTCGGTCGTTCTCAGTGTTAGTGTTTGCCCGTCGCAGTCACATCGTGGGTCTGATGGATGGTGATGTTTTGCAAGCGCCTATCTCGGCAGTTGCTTGGGATGATGATGAGTACGGAGTAGATTACCTTGGATCTCGTCGTGGACTTTTCTCTCTCGCCAACCTTCACTTCCAACGAACGCCCATCCCCCACCCCCGGACCAGCTCGCAACCTCCTTCGCGCGGCTAAACATCACCACCTTGGCTGACATAGTGCTACCGTACTTTCCCTAGCCGCCCCCACGTTCCAAGACAGCCCGTCAACTTGCGTCAAGCAATTCCAAAGCCTAGGCTCCCACATTCTTGACGGCTCCTTTGACGTACGTAGTATATCCGTGCTTCCCCAGACATCGGGATCCAGCGGGGGAATCGACACGCGAGAGCGGGCAAGCGACTCGATTGCATCCGGTGCGCACATACGACTGACGATCTGGGACACGGCAGCGACGCGGAAGAACTCATCTGGCAACTTCACACTTTTCTCCTCCTCTCTTCATCGTGGGGGACTTGTCGCAGACTGGGCGTTCATTCCCTCGTTTGAAGAACTACCATTCTCCTCGTGCACTTACTTGGCCGCCTCTCTCGTTGGCCGCACTGTCGCTACACGACAGAGAAGCAAATGACTACACATCATACATCACAAACAAACACACACACGCACACACACAATGAACGCCCCAACCACAAACCAGACATCGGGGTCCTCGTCCGCCTCGACAACACACCAGCACACGAGCCCGTCGCAGCAGCCCGTCGCAGCCGTGGCCCCGACACAGCAGGGCACCACCGGGTCGACAGACCCCTATCTCCAGGACTTTACGCTCCTGGCCGAGGCGGCGAAGCGAGCGCAGGTGGCCGTCATGGTGCGCGACTTTGAGGACTGCGCGCTATGAGGGGAGAGGAAGAAGGAGAATGAGCGTTGGATTTTTCTGGGGTTTATGATCATCATCTGGCTGGCGTACAGGAGCACAGGACACGGGACATTTCACTTGATTTATGGTCGTTTTGGGGGCGGGGGGGGAGGGGGGTTTGGTTTCTACCACAGAGATATGCAAACTACTTGCATGCAGCACGGGAGGATGGCTATTTTCCATTTTATCTTTCGCTCTTTTCTTTTTTTGCTTCTTCTTCTTCTTCTTCTTCTTCTTCCTCTTTCACGTTCTTACATGGGCGCTAGATACCCGCATCTCAATACTCACAAACTTCAATGTTCCCTCTCCTCCTCCTCCCCCCCCCCCGACTGCCCCTACATCTTGGACACGAGTGACAGCCCGCCGTCGAGGCGGATGACGGCGCCGTTGACAAAGCCGCCGGCGCGACTGGCGAGGAAGAGCGAGGCGCCAGCGACGTCGTCGGGGGCACCGATGCGGCCGAGGGGGTTCTGCTCGCGGATGGCGTCGCCCATGGTCTCGAGGGTGGCCTTCATCATGCGTGTCTCAAAGGGCCCGCAGGCGAGGACGTTGCTGGTGACACCGCGGGGCCCGAGCTCGCGGGCGAGGTGGCGGGACAGGTGGTGCAGGCCGGCCTTGGAGGCCGAGTAGGCAAAGGAGGAGAGGGCGGGGACGCGGAGGCCGTCAATGGAGCCAATGTGGATGACGCGCGCCGGGTCGCTGCCGGGACGAGCCGCCTTCTCGAGCAGCGGCAGGGTGAGCTGGGTGAGGGTGAAGGCGCGGTGGAGGTTGAGGGTGAGGACCTTGGACCAGGCCTCGTCCGGGTACGCGTCAATGTCGGCGCCCCAGGTGGCGCCGGCGTTGTTGACGAGGACGTGGAGGCCCCCTGGCTCGCGCTGGGCGACGGCGTCGACGAGGCGGCGGCACTCGTCGAGGCTCTGGAGGTTGGCGGGCAGGCCGACGGGCGTGTGGCGCGGGCTGCTGGCGGACAGGGCCTCGACGGTGGCGGTGATGGCGGCGGCGTCGCGGCCGGTGAGGTAGACCTTTGCGTGGTTGGCGACGAAGCCCTGGGCGATCATGGCGCCGATGCCCTTGGCGCCGCCCGTGACGAGGACGACCTTGTCGGCGACGTCGAAGAGTTGGGAGGCGTCCATGTTGTCTGGGGGGCGGCGGCGGGGGGGGGGGGAGGTGCTTGGCGGTGGGAGGGGCTCACAAGGCTGGTCAGGATTCAGGACGAGGTGAAGGATGAGGTGAGAGAGGAGAGTCGATGGATGGTGATGGAGTCCTGGCAAGCAATGAGTTGGACCTCGGCCCATGAGGATGGGGATGGGGATGGGGTGCACACAGCACATCTAGACTAGCACCACCCAACCCTGTCGATTCACGAGGGCGCCTTCGCAGCAGGCTCAGCGTGTCCTGGCATGAGCAAGAAACATATCCCATCTAGAAACTCAGTGGAATTCAATTCAATTCAATTCAATGCCATCCTCCCCGGATGCTGCACCGCAGATGACCGAGCCCAGCCAGCCAGCCAGTCAGTCTGTCTGTCTGTCTGTCGCTCGCGTGCCATCTCTCTCTCTCGGCTCTACGGTATGCGGAGCGGCTTGACCCCACGCACGTCATGCCATGTCTGTCTCCAGTACGGATACACCTACGTAAAACAGTACTAACCTCTCAACACCCACCCACCTCCATCCCATCCTCCTACACGCCAGACAGCGAGTCCATTCCATCGCAGAGAGCTCTAGTGTCACCCCCTCGCCTCTACAATGCCCCAGCCTGAGCAGTCTGAGCAGCCTGAGCAGCTCGGCCCCCTGGCCACCGCCTTCAAGGACCTCCCCGCCGACGCCCACCCCGAGCAGTGGAACGCCTTCTACGAGCAAGCCCACCACCCCTGGGACCGCGCCGGTCCCTCCCTCGCCCTCAAGGACCTCCTCCTCCAGCGTCCCGACCTCGTCCCGCCGCCCAGCCCCGGCGCCACCGCCCTCGTCCCCGGCTGCGGCCTCGGCCACGACGCCCTCCTCCTCGCCAGCCTGGGCTACGACGCCTGGGGCCTGGACGTGAGCGAGACGGGCCTCGCCATGGCCCGGCGGAACGAGCAGGCCCAGCGGGACGAGGGCTACGAGCAGTACCCCGTGCGCGAGGGCCACGAGCGGGGCCGCGTGCACTGGGTCCGGGGCGACTTCTTTGCCGACGACTGGGCTGCTGGCGCGGGCGGCCCCTTTGACCTCATCTTTGACTACACCTTTCTCTGCGCCCTGCCGCTCGACCTCCGGCCACGCTGGGCCAAGCAGGTCACCCACCTCCTCGCGCCGCGGGGCCGCCTCGTCTGCCTCGAGTTCCCCGTGGGTAAGCCGCACCGCGACATCGGCCCGCCCTGGGGCCTCAACCCCGAGGTCTACGAGGCCCTGCTCGCCACGCCCGGCGAGCCGCTGCACTACGACGCCCGGGGCGACGGCACCGTCGTCAGCGCCCCGAGCCCCAAGCCCCGGGACGACGCGCTGCACCGCCTGAGCCTCATCAAGCCCCTGCGGACGCACAAGGCCGGCTACTACGAGGACGGCACGGTGCGGGACTTTGTGTCTGTGTGGTCGCGGTAGATAGGATAGAGGATAGGGACATGAAAGATACCTAGGACCATCATCGCCTGCGCAGCGAGTTGTAGTGCTCGCCCAGCCCGTACCCGTGCCTGTAGTACGCCAGCCACAGCACCCGCCCGCTGTCGCCGCCCTCGCGCTCCCCAATCTTCTCCGTCCGCCCGTCCTGCACGACGCGAATCTCGACATTGTACCGCCGCGCGAGCGCCATGAGCTCCAGCTGCCCGCCCCACTCGGCCGTGTCCCGGATCTGCGCCGCGTACGCGCCCAGGTCGCCCTCGAGAAAGGGCGCAAAGTCGTCCGCGTGCGCGAGCATGTACGCCGCCGCCGCGCGCCGCACCGTCTTGTAGGGCTCCTCCTCCCCCTTGCCCTTGTCCTTGCCCTTGCTGGCAGTCTCCGGAGGATCCGACAGCGGCACGCCCTCCTGCGCCAGCTGGTCCGCCACCGCGCTGAACAGGCAGTGCCCGTCCGGCGCAATCTCCTTCTCCGCCAGGTCGTACGTCGCAAACATCTTGTCCATGTACTCGCCCTCGCGCGCCCGGTCGTCCGTCATGGTCGACGCCTCCTCCTCGGCCCGCGCCGCCGCCGCCTCCTGCTCCGCCGCCCGCCTGGCCAGCCGCTCCCGCTGTCTGTTTCGCTTCTTGCCTTGAAGGGGGTCGTCTCCGTTGGGGGTGGCCTGGTGTGCGTTGGTCGTGGCTTTGCGCGCATTGGTCGTGTCCGTAGGGCTGCCTGTAGGACTGCCTGTAGGGCTGCCGAGGTGCAGCTTGTGCACGGCCTTTTCCAGCTTCTCCTCGACCTTGTTCTCCATCCTCTCCACGCGGCTCGGGGCCTCGTCGTCGTCCGACGACGACGACGACCCGCCAGAGGGTTCTCCTCGCGGCGCCTGCAGCGCCGCGAGCTCCTCGGCCTGCCGCTGCCGCATGTCGCGCTCCATCCCCTCGCACTCGTCGTTGACCCCCTTGCGCGTCTTCTTGCTCGCGTTCTTCTTCTTGGACGTGATCCGGCCCTGCAGCTCCTTGGCCTCGCGACGGTGCCGCGCCTGCATCTGCTCGACCGTCTCGCCGGGCGCGTCCATGGTGGCGGCGGGTGTGGGTGTGGATGCGAAAGAGTGAATGCTGAGAGAGCTGCGCCTCGGGGAAGAGGATGTAGGGTCGTGTCGTGGACTCGACTTTTTGCGTTGTTGGTGGAACTTGGGGTTGGAGTTGGAGATGGAGATGGAGGGGCAGCAGAGATGGAGGAGGGCCGGCAAGCAAGTCAGTCAGTCAATCAGTCAATCAATCAATTTAATCAGGCAGGCGGGCGGGCAGAATGACGCATGTGGGGGCGTCAGGGACAAAGGAAGGACAAGGACAAGGGACTGCTGAGGGTCTTGTCTGTCTCCCTCCAGTCCAGTCCAGTCCAGTCTAGTCTAGTCCTGTCCTCTGTCTTAGATCATACAACAAACAATGACTTGGACACGATTGTGGAAAACCCCCTTCCTTGCACTCCTACGCTATACAGCTATCCTCACAAGTGCCCTCCCTAGGCAGCGCCTCCTCCAAACAAGATACCTACAAGAAATGCGACCCCGAGGTCAGCCCTCTACGAATTATACACCCCCTCCAGCATAAACCTAGAACCCTCTGAAAGGATCATCCCTAAAGTAGTCCTCCTCCCCCGCCGTCCTGCTCCCCGTGTACCGATCGTCCGACCCGCGGCCGTAACCCCCCCAGCTGTCCTTGGCCCGGCTGCTGCGCCGGCTCTGCCTCCGCCTCACCTCCCGACTCCGCCGCCGCATCACCGGACGGAACTCGTCCTCCTCGTCCGGGTGCTCGCTGAACTGCTGCAGCGAGAGCGGGCTGATAAACGCCTCCATCCGCACCGTCCCGATCGCGTCAAAGAAGTTGCTCGGCCGCGACGACGCCTCCGACGTCCTCTGCGACGCCGTCTGGCTCATCCCCCAGCCCGTGTTCCCCGACCCCTGCGACTGGTTGTAGTAGTCTGACGAGCCAGCCGTGTTGATGCTGTCCCCCGCCGTGCTGCTCGTCGGGTTGTGTCCACTCCCCGTGCTCGTCGGCCCCGAGAAGCCCCGGAACGACAGAGGGGGCCCCCCTAGTCCCCCCGTGTTGCTCCTCTTCCTGCCGTGCGCCGGGGGCGGTCCGCGGTCGTGGAACCGCGGGATCAGAGGCGGCTCTGCGGCATCCTCCGACTGCTCACGCGCGTGGTTGCTCGACACGGCGCCCATCGCATACTCGGGGATCCCGAAGCTCGTCGTCGCATCGTCCGCTTGAGGGGCGGGCGCGCTGGGTAGGCTTGGTACGCTCGGCGCCGCCGCTGCCTTGGCCGGCATCGCCCTGCCCTTGGCCAGCCGGATCGAGTCTCGTATACCGCCCCTTTTGATCTTGGCCGCTGGCGGCGGCGGCGGCGCGTAGTCTGGCATCGGCTGGGGCTTCAGATGCTGCTCCGGCGCGTGCACAATCTCTGGCACCGCCTGCTGCGAGTGCGCCAGGAATGACAACGCTGTGAGCCACACATAGTGCCGCTCCGCCGACGTGGCCGTGAACTTGAGCGCCCGCTGCGGTGTCAGGATCAGGATCGACCGGTTGAATACCGTCCCCGTCTCGCCCTTGGGTACCGGGTTCTCGTCCTTGACGTCTAGCACCGACTGGATCACCACTAGTTGCTCTTGTTAGCACCAACATCCACTCGCGCACACCGTCTTCGCTCGCACTTACGTTTGCGTCCCGTCTTGCCCATCAAGGCGCTGCCCGAGGCCGGCTGCTTACTACTCCACAGGATCGAGCGCTCGTACGGCGCCAGCCAAACCCACCTCTTGTGGCGGTCGTTGCCGACATCGTCCTTCCCACCCGACTCCGGCACGGTAAACGACTTTCTGCGCCGCACATACTTGAACATCCACTCGCCAATCATGGTCTGCGCAATGGCGTCCACAACGCCCGTCGTATGTCCGGCGCTCGCCACCGACGCCGGGTCCGTAATGTTGGTTTGCAGTGTGTTCTGCGTTTGCTGCGTGTTCGTCGTCCTTTCCGTGTTGGTGGACGGCTGGTACTTGTGCCGTCGGTACGCGCTGCTGCTGCCGCGCCCACGATGCCGCGGCGTCGTAATGTCGTTCCGGGGCAGCGGTGGCAGCCCTGGGCTCTCCGCCGCTTCCGTCGACGGGGACAGCGGCGGCGGCGAGCGGCTTCCCTGCCTGTGTCGCTGGTGACGGGGGAGCGCGACCGCCGACCGCGTCTTGCGGATATTGTTGGTTCGGTACGCCCCCGTCCGCGGCGGCCTCCTCCACCCATCCAGCCGCGTGGGCGACCTCTGCCCCTCGCTCGGCGGGGCGCTTGCGCTGATCTTCCTCGATGTCGTGCGCTGCGGGATGGGAAAGGGCGGGTTGCGGGCCTCGGGGAGGCTTGGGCTCCTCGACCGGCTCCCATGGGTCGCGATCCCGCTCTGGATCATGGCTGCCTTACGCATGACGCCGGCGCGGTTCCCGGGTCCTGGCAAGATCGTCGCTGCTGGCTTCTCGTACCTCACGGGAGACTTGCCCAGCCGCTGCTCCCCCTCCTTGTCCGCCAGGCTGAACGAGTTGTACACATGCGTGCCCAGGGGCTTCATGCTGTTCAGCGTGCTTCGGTTGCTCCGCCTCTTGGACGCGGGTGACGTGGTCCCCGCCTCCGAGGGGGTCTGACGACCAGCCTTGCTGGAAATGGACTGCGGTCGTGGCGCGGTGAGCGCCGTCCTGTACTCCGTGTCACTCGCATCGTCGTCCTCAAAGTCCTCCTCCTCCGAGCTCGCCGTGTCAAAGCCGGCAAAGAGGCTGCTGAACCTGTGCGGTCGCTTGATGGGCGCCTCCTTCTCGGCGGACAGCGGCCCGTCGTCGTTGTTCCCGGGGTATGCATCGTGAAGCTCGTCATGGTCCGGCGAGAACAGCGGTGACGAGGGAATCTCCATCTGGGGTGTGTCCTGCACTCGGCGAGGGTTCCGTGGTGGCAGGTTCCCCGGCAGTGGTGTGAAGCTCTTGTCCATGTCTGCGCCCGTGGGAGCTGGTTTGGGTGAGCTCGGCCTGGAGGAGATGTGAGAGGGCTGCAGGTGAGGCGGCAGGCGAGCAATTCGCTTGTCCACCTGTATGCCCTCCGTCTGGACACCTGCATCGTTGCTGTCCGCCGGTGAGGCCAGAATGTTCACTTGGCAGCCAAAGTGCTTGAAGTGCGGCGGCAACCTTGGCTCCTTGGGGGTCGTCGGCCGGCTGGTCGGTGGTTGGATGCTGATGCTCGGGACCAGTGGCGGTTCAGATGAGGGCGAGGGCGACAGGCGACCCTTGTGCATGGCGGGCGCCTCTTCCGTTTGGGTGGATGAGGTCGCCATGGTCGGCAGCCTGATTTCGGGGGGCGGTGTTTCAGCTCGCGTCGTGGGCGTCCTGGGAGGGCTCAGCGGCTCCTCAACAGTCTGCGAAGACGAGGATACCATGGCCTCGACCTTGAGCACAGGCACTGCAGGGGAGCTGATCTGAGTGCGCTTCCTCCTTGAATTCGCTTCAATCTCCGGCCCTGATGACGCTGATGAGGCAGGCGGCGAGTCGCCTTCAAGACCCATCTTGGCCTCGGTGATGGCTATCTCGGGCGTTACTGCACCCATCCTTGGCGACGGAGGCGGCGTAAACTGAACCCCGGTGTCGACATACGATACTCGAGGCGCTGTGGGCGCACTCTCCTCATCTTCGCCCTCCAGAGCCTCGAGAACGGCCTGGTTCATAAAGAGCTTCCCCCGGCCACTGGCCGGCCTCCTCAGACTCTCCAGGCTCTGGTTCCTGCGGTGCGTCCTGCTCGCTACACTGTCTCGGCTGAAGGTGCGCGTGTGTCGACCGTGACTCGTGCGACGAGACTGTACACTCTCGCGGCCGCCGTGCTCACTGAAGTCGTCATCCTCCTCGTCGAAATCAAGCTCATCGGCCAGCGTCGCGCCGCCAGCCTTGCCTGATGCGGTGCGGGCATGCGTCATGGAGAAGCGGATGCTGTTAGTCATGCTCATCGATCGCACACTAGCCCCATCATTCTCCTTAGCGCTCTCCTCCGCCTCGCTTTCATGGCCTTGCGCTGTGTTCTGTGCAGCGCCGTTGGCATGAGCCGCCTGAAACGCGGCGACCTCTTCCAGCACCAACTTGAGCCGACTCTCGGCGATGTGGACTTTGCGCTCAAACTTCCGCCGCTCCTCGTCCCAGGTGTCCTTGTCGCGAGCCCAGAGTTCATGAACCCTCTCCGAGTTATCTTCCTGGCTGCGCAGTTTCTTTTGCACTGCCTCCAACCGCTTCTTCACGTCGGCGGATGCCTCGACCGCCTCGTCCCTCTCGCGTGACAGCTCCCCTAGCGCAGATGATGTGCCTCCCTCCAGAAGCGCCAGCTGCCGCTTCAGTGACTTGTTCTCCTTGTTCGCAGCGCTGAGTCGCGTTTGGATGTCGTCCTGCTGTTCCTTGGAGGTTGTCAGGATGCCCTCCAGGCTCTCGATCACCTTGGTCTTCTCCTCCTGGTCTCTCCGCAGCGCCAGGATCTCCGATACCAGGTTCGCATGTAGTGTAGGCGTGAATCTTCGAGGATCGAGGATGCTGACGGTCTCGTCCGTAGTGATGTCCCGAGATGCCCGCTTGGCCATCCGCTCCTTCCGTTCGCTGTGCATCGGCGGCGGCGAAGGCCCCTTGGGAGGAGGCGTCATTGACCTGCGCGACATGTTGGCCTTCCCAGCTGGAGTATCCTCAGGAGTAGGTAGCGATGTCGCCGCCTGCTCGCTTGAATCCTTGTCGTCCTGTGTCCGGCCAGACATGACAACCTTGAGATACCCCGCCGAACGAACGGGTATTGCCAAAAAATCGCTGTGTCAGCTGTGGTCGAAAGAACCACTGAGCCACATGCATGTTTCAGCCGAGAGGCCTCAGCGCAGTCAACCTTTGTTCTGGCTGGTACTGCTCAGATCGTCTAGCTCTGATCTCCAATTCAGTGTCGAATCGCCGCCAGTCTACTCCGGCAATGGTTCTCTCAAGCTCCCAGAAGTAGCGATTCCAATGACGGTTTCCAAGGCGTCGTTCTCAGTTGTATGGGTATCGTTCGTCAGGCGCTCGCAGTTGATATAAGTAGTAAAAGGCAATGCTGTGCAGGCGGTATAGAGTGAGTCAACAATTTTGAGGATTTTTCACTAAAGCTGTCAGTTTCAAAGTGCCAGCCATGGAGCCTGTGTTGGTCCTCGGACGACCGTCCTGCGCCAGCACTTACAAAATACGCAAAGACAGGACGCTGCCGCCGCAAGTGTGGATATAGACAGGAAGCTGCTGTTCTTGATGTGTAAAAGTCAAAATGCCAGAAAAAAACGCAGAAAGAAGGACAAGAGAAGAATGACCGTCAATTCACACCAGACGCGACTTCGAACAAGAAGCAATTGGCAAGGGAAAGAAACGCGCAGAAGACGAGTTTGGGGAGATGATGGGCTCCAGGTCTCGAGTGATCAACGGCAACGGCCGCGTGAAAAGCAAGCAAGTGGAGAGAGAGAGAGAGCCTGCCAGCCAGCCCAAGCCAGGCCGAACCAGATCAGGGGTGGTCGTACTCCGTAGTCATAACTGTAACCCCTGCCCGGCCTGTCGTTTGTTTTTTCCAGTCCCTGCTCCATAACGAGGAACCGTTCGTTCATCAAGCTCTCATGGGCCAGAATTATGCATGCTCAGGGCCAATCAATCGTCCTGTAAGCTGCGGCTCCCTTGACGGCCCGAGCTCGCAATTGACGGACTGCGTGGACGAGGACTCGAGCTCCAACGAACGGGAGGAGCACAGAGCATGGCTCCGGATGTTGAGCCACCTGCCGGGGCACTGAGGGCGGGAAACGTTTCATCAGCTTATTAGAATGAAAGGGTCAGAGGCGCAACCAACAAGAACAAGAGGCGTTTTGACGGCCGCCCACGGTTCTCCGTACAGACTGCATAGGGCGGAGGTACTGCGCTCGGTCAGAAAGCCTTTACCAACCCTCTCCCACTGCCCTGCAGGGAAGACTGAACGTGGGTGGAGCAGCGCGAAGCCAGGCAATCAATGGCTGGAGGGCACCTACCTTGATTAGGTTCCTGCCCGCTGGAATCGGACTGGATAGGGGGCAGGAAGCTGCTGGATGCCCGCGTTAGGTGACATGGAGTGGGTGGCAGAAGGTGAGCCGCGGCCAGCCCAGTGTGGACCTGTAAGGACAGGGACTAGCTCAGGTGCCACCAGCCAATTGGGAGGCGGCCGGATAATCCCTGTGCCTGCAATCTCATCATTTCATGTGCCCCTTGGAACCTCGTCACCTTTCATCACCTCATCTTGCTGAGGCGGGCACTCGAGTTGCCGGTCACAAACAGAGTCGACAGATCTTGATTGCTCGTGTCTGTCTGGCCTCCGAATGTATCACTGATTAAACCAATGCTGGAGGCCACCACGCCCTTATCTCTGACACTTGCGGATAGTATCATCTGCGCAATGTGGATACTGCGATAGGCGAATCTCTGCGGGCTTACGGAGTACATGCTGCACCCCAGATGCACAACGATCACGCACCGCAAGGCCCAGTCAGTACCTGCGTCGACTGTCAATCTGGACGCCTCTGAGTCTGAGCAGTACCCCTAGTACGTACTAAGCACGCCGCATGAAGAAGAGGAAAGCAACTGATCCATCAATCGCTTAGCTTGGCTTGGAACTGCCGCCACGTCAACTGCCAGCGTTCAGTACTACTACGGTAGTCTCCTTGTCAGCGGCTCATAGGCACTTGGCAGAAGCATGTGATAAATTAGCCTGGCCGCGAAAGCATAACATACATGCAATATAAACCACCCCGACTTTGTACATTCCATTGTCTTCAAATTACTTGCAGGCGTCCCTCGTTAGTCCTCCGTATCTGCTCGACAACGGTGTATCCAGTATTCCTACCCACCTGTTCATGGCCATGCCACCGGCAGCACCGCAGCGCCTCATCTCTCGGGCTTGAAGGAAGTCAGCGCCTGCATCATCATGGCCATGGCCTCGTGAGCCTGATCCTCGGGCGGCGAGCTCGATACCTGAATTGCCCAGCCAAAAGCCCCGAGAAACAAACACCTCGATTTCTGGTGCCCCGTCCCACGAAACGGCAACTCCCCACGGGTATCTCGGGCGCCGTCAGCGCCACCGTGCCGTCCAGACGGATTCAATTAGCGCAGGCACTTGCCGGCGGGGCGCTGGGGGCTCGAAGATTGTGAGAACGGCTAGTTTCCCACGCCGGTGTATCAAGCAACGCCTCCAGCAGAATCCAGTTCCACATGTCATCAATCGCCCCTCGCCGCCATCGACAGATGCATGTGTACAATGCCCAAGCGGTACTTAGAAGCAAGGAATGTCCAATCAGAAGACTGCACGATCAGACATCGAAGTACGTAATCTACAATGGGACCATAAAGTTGTCCGGAATCATCGTCTTCCTACCTAGGGTAGGCATTATGAACCCTTGTGAGGCGACATCTCCCCCGCCATGACTTGTATACGTAGGTTGGCAAGGACATCGACTCCTTACATGTATGAGTGCGCCTTGCCTGCTTCAACAATTTAAGACACGGGGTATTTCACACGTCATTCTACCTTACCTTACCTTACCTTACCTTAGGTACCTATGAAATGTGCCTGAGTCATGGAATGAGCAAGTCATCCTAATAATCAACCGAATCCCGACCTGGCCATAGCCGGCTCAAGTCTAGAGCCCCCTCCCATCAACACTTCCATTAGCAAGACTCCAACCTCGCCAGCATCGGATACTTGATCATCAGACTACTTCCCAGTCCACACATCATGTCACCCTCCCTCATCCATCCTCTGTCGTCCATCAAGGCGCTCACGTTCGACGTCTTTGGCACCGTCGTCAACTGGCGCCTCTCCGTCGTCGACGAACTCAGCCTCCGCGCCCATCGCAAACTCAACAGCCTACCGGATGACGCGCCCCTCCGAGACCGTCTGTCGTCGGTGGACTGGTCGCGCTTCGCACAGCAATGGCGGGACGCGTACGGCCGCTTCACACAGGGGTACGACCCGGCGCGGGATACCTGGAAGTCCGTGGACGAGCACCATCGAGACAGCCTCGTGGAGCTGCTGGGGGAGTATCGCCTCGAGGACCTGTACACGGACGCGGAGATTGCGTCTCTGAGCCTGGTATGGCACAGACTCACGCCGTGGGACGACTCGTCCGCTGGGCTTCAGACGCTCAACAGTCATCGCATTATCACCTCCACGCTGTCCAACGGCAACACGTCGCTCCTGCAGGATCTTGCGGACTTTGGGTCGCTGCCGTTTCAGCATCTGCTGTCGGCAGAGACGTTCAAGGCGTATAAGCCCAACCCGGCCACCTATCAGGGTGCAGCCCGAGCGCTTGGGGTCGACGTTGGCGAGGTGGCCATGGTGGCAGCGCATCTCAATGACCTCAAGGCCGCCAGGGACTGTGGCATGAAGACCATCTATGTGCAGAGGGCACAAGAAGAGGCATGGAACGAGGACGATGAGAGGTACAAGGAGGCCAAGGAATGGGTGGACATGTGGGTTGCACAGGATGCGGGTGGCTTCGAGGAGGTCGCGCGACTGCTGTCAGAGCTGAGGTGATGTATGCAGTAAATTGACACAGTGGGAAACGTCTCATCAGGATAATCTCGCTGTATTCGGGGATGACGCGTGGCGGAAACATATTCTATATATTCTCCAGCGCCTTGTCCATTGCCTCTCGCCACTTCTGGGCATTCCTCCTCAACGTCCAAATGCCCAGAAACCCAGCGACCAGGCAGAACAGCGAGATGGTTGTAAACACCCAGCCCACACGCACGGCGTTGATCCAGGGGTTGGCAACGACGGTCCCCACACACGAGAGAATGTTGCGCACAAAGTTGTTGACGGCCACGCCAGCCGAGCTCTTCTTGCGTACAAACTCGGTGAGCATGGTGGTGGCAGCGGCCTATCATTGTCAGCGAGCACGTCCATCAAATTGGAAGGAAAGTCACTTACAAACACAAGCATGGACGACACACCAAAAAAGTACAAAAAAACGGATGGCACTGCCCAGTGTATCCCGTACCGCAGCGTCCAGCCAAAGCCCAGCAGCGACAGGGGGTACACAGAGTTGGCAATCCACATGTTCTCCCGCATCCTATCCTCGGGCAGCAGTATGAGCTTGCCCTTTTCGTCGTACCGGTTGGCCTTTTTGGCTTCCCTCGCCATGATTTTGTCGATCCACTTGCCGCCAAAGAAGGAGGCCGTGATGTAGCCCAAGCCTGGCGGGGCATACAGAAAGCCCACGATGAGCTGCCTGTAGTTGTACGGGGCGTTGGAGAATTCGCGCTGGATCGAGATGTTGCCGACGAACAGAGCGCCAAAGGCAATGGCGGCGACCAGCACTGTGATCAAGACGGGCGGGAAGCGCAGGAACAGGAGGACGCTCAGCGGGTCGATGAAGAAGCGCTTCAGCGCGGCCGTCAGCTTGCGCGTCTTGACCTTGGCTGATACCATCGAGCTTGTCCGTTCTAGTGTGGCAGGTGGCGGGGAGGCCGGCTCCTCCCGTTTCCTGGGCAGCGTCTCGGGCAGGCAGAAGAACAAGAGGAGGAAGCAGCACAGCCCGTAGATGGCGAGGAACCACATTGTCGACTGCCAGCCGAGCTCTTGGGCCAGGATACCACCAAAGATGGGCGCGAGGAGGGGTCCCAGCAGAGGACCGAGGTAGAACAGACTCATGGCTTTGCCCCGCTCAAAGGACTCCCAGATGTCGGCGATTGTGCCTGCACCGACAGCCTGCACGCTGGCCGAAGCGCCACCCGTGCAGAGGCGGAAGACAATGAGCATGGTCATATTGGTGCTCACGGCGCAGAGGACGGCAAAGACGACAAAGAGGGCGAAGGAGGTGAGGTAGATGGTCCGACGGCCAAACTGCTCGGAGAAGGAGGACCACCAGAGCGGGAAGATGGACATGGCCAGCATGTACAGGGCCACTGACATGTTGGCGACGGTTTGTGTCGTTCCAAGATCCTTGGACAGAGATGGCAAGGCGGCTATAGAGTCTGGTCAGCATCACAAGCCCAAGGAGGATAGAAATGGGGGGGACCGTACGATAGAAGACGGACGAGCCCATGGGGGCGCCTGCCGTGGCCATGGCGATAGCCGCCGTGATGGTCCATTTGGTCGAGTTCGTGTAGTCATACGGGGACTCGACCTCGGGGATCAGGGCGAATCGTCCAAACAAGCCCCGCCGCTTGGCCCGGGGCACGACGACGGCCACCCGGGAGCGTAGTGACGAGGCGCGGGACCGAGTTCGGCAGGGCGCACACTGGTCTTCGCACGCAAAGATGCCGTCGCCCGATGGCTCGCCAAAGGTCGCGGCCGTGATCAGGTCGTTCTGGTGGGCGGCAGTGGTGTCGTCTCGCTGGCCGAATTTCTCGTGATTGGATGTGCTGTCCTTTTCCTCTCCTTCGTCGTCGTCGTGATGTGAGGAATGAGAGCCGTGCGACAGGGGTCGCTCAATGTCTGAGCTGCGTCGAGCATGGCCCTTTTCCGGATCAGGAGCAGCACTCATGGTGACTGTCTCGGGTAATTCTCAAATGGGAGCTTGGCCTGGAGTCGATCGCATCTCAGAGGGTGGGGACGGTGATTGTGGTGAATGAGCGGATGAACGAGCGCATGGGCATGTTAGTCGCGGAATATTGCTAAATATCCAAAGGTCAACAGAAATGTCGCGAAATAGCAAAGCCAGTCCCAAGTCCCTAAGGATGGCGAGAGGGCGAGAGTTCCCATCTTCCCTTCCACAGTTACTGCACGGAGTATGTAACCTTCGAGTGGCTATGGAGTGAGTGGAGCCTGTTGCTGGATTTTTTGATAGCCGAGCAGCTACTCCGATTTGGCTCGGCACTTTGTTGGTCGTTGTCCAGCTCATCGCCTGAACTTACTGCAAACCTGCCCGTAAAGGTTCTCGCGAGATCTGGGGTTGCCAGCGGGCACAGCCGGATATAACGGCAGCAGCCTCGTGCGAACTGCGAAACGAAGGAGAAAAGCGCGTGGTGTCGACGGCAGAACCCCAGATACGTGGTTTACCGACGTCGGAATGCCATCTACAGCACCGTACGTACTTGCGTGGACCGAAGTGCCTTGGAGCCCCGCCGCTCTTGGCTTGAGCGACTTGCGTTCGTTCTACCATACTAACAGACGTGGCAGCATACGATGAATAGCGCGAGTCTGACGCCTGTTGAAACAAGACTTGAAGACCATTGACACCATCTGCAGGGCCTGTTATGGCCCTTTTTCGTGCTGCTGATGAATAAGTGTGACAACAGTCCTGGGCTAGTAACAAGGGCACTATCACGCTGGGTGATAAGTAAATGCTTCAGTCGCTATGTCCTATACTTACACGACCGTTCAGTATAGTACTAGAAGGATACCACCCTGCGTGAAACGACCTACTCTCCTCTCGCATTGTCTTGTCTATCGTAGACTTGGTGGTTGCGGGAGGACAAGGTCCACAGAGAGCGCAGGCTCCCAGAAAGGCGATCTCTAGACTAGAAAGTCATGCGTCACCTAGCATGCAGTCGAGGCAAGTCACCTAGTCTAATCATGAGATTTGGGTTGATAGTAGTGACTGGCGTCACAGCCTCTCAGCTGCATAGTCAGCCGAGCCCATCTCATGAAGACGAAGACTCCGTTCAGTGTCTGTGTTTGTACTGTAGTCCAAGTGAATCCATATACACGTAACCTGCATCTTCGAGTCCCCGGGTCGAATGAGATGATCGAGCGGACTGAGCCGAGCCTGAAAAATAGGGCGACAACGCAAACCCGAAAAGTCCTGCGCTATGAGTGGTGTCGATTCGAATCGAGAACTTCACGAAGCCAACAGCCGGGTCGGAGCAAGGCCGACAAGCAGGGCCCCCGTTGCCGACAAAGTGATGACGCCCGAAATCAAGTGTACAAATCGTGAGGGCACACCAGCACGGTGCAAGAGGCACTGAACATGTTTCTTTCGTCCGGACAATCGAGGTCTGCGCTCTAATTGGCTGTCCACAAGGCCCGTCTAGATATCGAATCTTCGAGTGGCCGTCCCGGTAGGTAGACATCCTGGTCATCGGAAAGGGGTATACTCAGGGGACTTAAAGCCTCAGGGGCGTACCGACACTCGCAACGCCCAGGCCCGATATTGTACACACGTGAGACTGATGCGGTAGTCTTTTGAAAGTCTCCTGCCAATCGGGCAAAAGACCTGCCACTGAAGGCATACGCCTTGGGCCTCTCGACCCAACAAATGAGACACTAGTGTGTAAATGACATTATAGTGTTTCTGGACTTGTGTGTGCTCCCCTGTTCTCGTTTCCTATGGGATCGTGTATCAAGCCCATAGCTTCGAGTCCCTCTCTTCAGCTCGGCATGATGCAGGAAGGGGCCTGTGCGGCAGCGCCTGTCATTGTGCCTTGTCGATTGCATGTGGGATTTGACAAGCGCAGCGTAGACCGGGTACAAGGTTGACTCAACAGGGACCGCTTGCCTGTCGCGATCTGTTTTTGTTTTGGCACGTCGGCAAGTAACAGATCGTTGGGTCTCGTCCTATGCATTTGTCCAGGTAACCCATAGCCATGCTGGAGGGCATGCAGTTCTCCGTGGACATTTCGGAGGAGGCTGGCCCAATGTTCCTGCGACTGGGAAGTTGTAAAAGGACCTCCAAGCTGTCTCTTTATCCCCACCAAGAGCTTGCTTCAGGATCGCAAGCAAACAGAGGGGCTCAACACGGAGATTCATGGAGCGCTCATAATCTTCTCCTAACTCGGCCCAGGTGCGTCTGGCCAAAGCAGAGAGCAGATCATTTTGTTCCACACTACCTCCCCAACGCAAAGACTTCTGTCCGTTCCGTTGAATGAGTGGCCTGCGAAATGATTGACCTGACAAAGTCTTCGGGTGGTCTGTCTCGTCCTAGGCCAAGTAAGCGACACCCTTTGAACTTCCCCAGTCACGTAGCAATGGACGAACACGGCGTACTGGTCAACACAAGAAACTGTTGCTGAGCACCCATTGGGGAACGAAGCTCACTCGTGTGCTGAGTGAGATAACCAGAAAGCCTCCATGTCAATGTATCCGTAGCTTTGAGCGAGTCATCCAACCCCCACGCGGGAGACTTTCCAACGCCACCCACCCACGGAGTCAGCTGTGTGCATCCCATTCCGTCGCGATATAATTTGTTGTCCCGTATAGGCAGGTCGGTCAACCGTCTTTCTCGTCTGACACGTTTCTAGAAACCTGGTTGGTCTTAGCACGTGTCTAATGTAACAGGTCCTCTGTCCAAGATGACGGCAGGTTGACCATCAATGGAACCCGAGGCTCTTCTTGTTGACGACATGGTGAGTCCCGTCGTATATTGCGGCGGTAGCCGTCGAGTACCACATCGCGGAGGTTCAATCGTCAGCGGAGTGACGGATTTCAGCAAGCGCTGACTTCGCTCACTGCACGTGATCTCTGCGAAGCAAAGTACACGAGCGAGTAAGAACCGACCCAAAGTCCGAAGCGCAATGTAAGCTGCCGCCAAGGTGACTGACTGAAGCTGGGGTTATCGTGGGGCCAACAAGTCTGGGTCTAACTATTTGACAGCGGGCAGGTCTTGGAAGTCGCTTGATCAAGACATCAACTGGTCCGGCAGCTGGTCCGGGGCTGGAGAGGCGTCCGCGCTACTTTGTACACACGACCACTGGACTGTCGATAGCTGATGTGGCTGCATCGGTGTCGCTGGACTTCATAGGCTGCTCCTCCGGGCGAGGGCGCCATGTATGCGGCCAATGATGCCACAACGTATCGCATTGAGGCTCAACCACGTACATCAGCCATCTCAGCCGAGTCTTGGCCACTGACGACGTCCAATGGCAAAGATCGATCTTGCGCTTGACATTTGCGCTATGGACTCACCCTGTCCAGTTGTCAAACTTCTCCTCCTGAGTGACTTTCTTGTTGTACTGAATCGCCGAAGGTGAGTTTCCCCACCATTTATTTGTGGATAGGGATGAGCCGAGACGACTAGGCTAGAGCTGTGAGCTTCACCGACCGGGTTTAGCCATGTGCATATACGCGGGCTGTGGATGCTGGCCTCCAGTCGGCGTCGCGACGACTCGTGTTTTCATGGGCCATCACAAATCGTCTGCATTGGGCCATGAGCAAGTGAAAATTTCCAGACTTCAGGGCGCAGCAAGACGACGATCCGACGGCTGTGCGCTCCCATCTCGTGTGAGGTGGAACTGGGGCCGAGTCGGCAGCTTCTCGAGGGTCCGCAGCGACGTGTACACGAATTGTCGCTCTGGGCCTCTGGAAGCCTGGCTTGCGACAGCAATTGTGGCGCGAGCAGGCATATTGCCTCGATTTGTATTTACGCAGCGACTCCTCGCAAGAGCAAGCCAGTGAGTGGATACGTAGATTAGCGGACGACAGGGGCACTTTGGACCATGGTTGTTGTTGACCTGGAAAAGTCGCAAGCCATGAGGCGTCGTGTGCGAACACAAGCTACATCGCATAGCATTGCATGACATGGCATGGCAGGGCATGACTGACATTGTCGTCACAGAGGGTGTGCAGGTCTGATGCGAGATGGTGCAGAGGATCTGGTGAGGTGACGTGCGGCAAATGCGCCTTGGGTGGTCTGTCATGTTCTGCACTTTGTGAGCTACTCACTGACTTCTCGAGAAGAGAAGAGAGACAATTGTTGAAGCTGCCCGCGTTGATGGACCCATAGCATTGGATGGAATTCTTGGGCGACATGGCCTCTGCTGCCGTTATTGGCTGGCGAAACCAAGCTCTCTTGGCACCCGTGGAAGGATCCATCCAATGCTGCGGCAGGCTTTTGCCGCCAAGGGACCTACAGAACAGCCAGCGCAGAACGTAGCAATACCTAAGGTTTTACAGAGTAGCTGGCAATGACAGCTCAGGGAAAGAGCGACATGGACCCCGCCACGCACTGTCGAGCCACTAGAGTTTCTTCTGCTTGCAGGTGTATTTGCAGCCAGATCGCGCCGTGATTGGCTCGTCCCGCTGGACACGCACTGTCGAGCGGGCCCGGCGGGACCACTCGAGGCTGCCTGATCCCCTACTGACCCTTCTATACGCACTATCCGTAGATAGGTACAGGTCGCTAGGTTCCAGCCCAGTCTGGTCCAGTCGCCGTTGCTGGTTCCGGGACGGCCATTTCCCACCACCACATTCTCTCGTTACTTGCCCATCCTGGCTGGCAAAGTACCTCTCTCCCTACTTACTAGTACCCAGCCTCTACCCCCCCTTACATTGGCGGGTGCTGCGTGAGTTCGTTTGCTGCTTGCTTAGTCCCGTTCTGCCTCCTCCTCCTCCTCCATCATCATCATCATCGTTGCTGTCTACTAAACTCTTTTGCACCGCCGAGGTTAAGATATTTTGTTCGGTTGGGGACTGTTCGCAACAACCATCAATCGACCAAGTCAGCCAGCTTGCCAGCCAGCTGCCCCCTCGTCTGTCAAGCATTCCATCTTAACCAGGACCGACCCTTTCGTGCAGTTTCCTGTCACGTATACGTCGATTCCAAAGCTACAGTGTCGCTGTGCCCGGCTCGCTCTCGGAGTACCATCTCACGTCCGCCTACGCCTGCGTCGCTTGACTTGTTGATCCATCCCGACCTCAACCGCTCCCTCTCAACCGCCCACGATGGCGGGACGAATGGTGCTCTACAAGCTCGTAGTCCTCGGGGACGGTGGCGTTGGCAAGACAGCCTTAACAATCCAGTTGTGTATGCAGCACTTCATTGAGACCGTGAGTTCACCTGGAAAGCTCCCCCACCGCCAAGGGTCGGAAGAGGTCTTGCCCAGCGGCCCCTCCCCTTTCTGCGCTTCGGCCAATTGGTGGCCTGTGACAATGGCGAACCCGGGCTAATTAACTGTGCTTCCATTCTAGTATGATCCGACAATCGAAGACTCGTACCGGAAGCAGGTCGTAATCGACGGACAATCATGTATGCTCGAAGTACTGGACACGGCAGGGCAAGAGGAGTACACGGCGCTCCGAGACCAGTGGATTCGCGACGGTGAGGGCTTCGTCCTGGTCTACAGCATCTCGTCACGGTCGTCATTTGGGCGCATCAAGCGCTTCCATCACCAAATCCAGCGCGTCAAGGAATCCGTCGCCTCGTCTCCGTCATACCCTGGCTCACCCTTGGCTGTCGCCAGCCCTGGCTCAGGTGCGCCTCCACCGATCATGCTCGTGGGCAACAAAAGCGACAGGGTGACAGAGCGAGAGGTGTCCACGCAGGAGGGTCATGCGCTGGCCCGTGAGCTTGGGTGCGAGTTTGTCGAGGCCTCTGCCAAAAACTGCATAAATGTGGAGAAGGCTTTCTACGACGTCGTCCGGATCATCCGTCGACTGCGACAGCAGTCGTCGCGTCCCTCTGGTGCCTCAGGTCGTGGCCCAAAATCGGGCAGTGGCAGCGGCGGCGGCGCGCGTGGCGAACCCAAACGCGGAAAGAAGGACAAGCTCAAGTGTGTACTATTATGAGCGGTCCAAAGCTCGACTGTTGCACTATCGGGCGCTGCCCCCCCCCTCCCCCCCTCCTTCTTCTTTGAAGACGACTGATTAGCTTGGGATGTCGTTGGCGAATGGCGCAAGGTCAAAAGAAGCATTTCAGGGCGCTTATTCATTTTCACGACGAATTATTTAACGAAGCATCAAAACAATACCGCGACAGACGTCAACCAACAATCCCTCCCCTACTTCCTCGCCGAAATCTCGACGCTCAAAGCGTCCTACTGTCACCTTTGGCCGATAAATTCGCACAGAGACTGTCTGTACATATCACACTTGGATGGGCTTCTCTTTCACCTATACCGAATCTTACACATTCAGAGTGGTCGTTGAGCACATATTTGCGGCCATTTCATGACAATTTACTGCTTGCCGGACTCGGGAGGATCGATGAATCACTATGTTGGCGACTGAATACGATATCCCGGGACATGGATTTGTTGCACTAATGAATTAAAGACATGACCACATTATTTAGCATCTTAAATAGGCAACGGCTGCTATCGGCGACTCCTGGCACTAGATCATGGCAAGCCGACTGTCCTGTCTTGATGCGGTTTTTTATCACAAGAAATTACTACCATCATATCATCCCCTGATGTCTTCAGGTGCAGTTGAGACGATTTGGAAGGAGGGGAGATAAATGTGTATATGTACCCACATGGATCACCATGTTCACACCCGAATAGCGACCGTTCATCAAAGCTCAACACTGTGTTTCGCCCTCTTGCACGACAATGTTTCTTGTACTATTCTGCTTTCTTTATCAGGATGGCCGGGGCTCTGCGATGAGCGCGCACCATCACCGACTTGGAGGCTAGCGTTGGTGCTACGGCTGAGGGGTTCGATAAGCTGGCGGGTGGTCGTGGGCTGGGATCCCCTATCTTACCCGCGCCCTAGTGTCGCCAGTCTCGCTACCGACTTTTCCAAAGAACCGGCGTTGTTTGTGGCATTGACCGGTGGTTGCGCCATGTCGTGCCGTGGGGGAACTGATTGGGGCATGTTAGAGAGTGCCAATTAGCAGATACTTTGCCGGCCGAGGAGGAGGAGGAGGCCCATCACCTCCCACCCCCGAGACCCCCGTCGTCTAATCCTCAACTGCTTTCTTTCAAAAAGGCCTGTCTACGTGCTTTCGTCTTTATCTCAGAGAAGACGTGCGGCAGGAGGGATAAAGATATGTGGCTTGGTCTTCCAAATCACAGCCGGCGGTATGCTTTCCGAATGGGGATTTATGCCAGCCTCCAGCCTTCTCCCACGCTTGCCGTATCAATACTAACGTGACATCGGATTGATAAAGTATTACTCACTTGCCCCTCTTACGCCGACGGCAATTTTGCAGGGCTTCTCTATGGAGACATGTGTTTCTTCGTGCAGAAGCTGGCCAGGCCTGTCAGTGTTTCCCTGAAACGGGGTTAAACCACGTTTTCGCCGTTTGCGCGTCTCTCCCGGTGCCATGGATGGTGGGCATGGTCAATGTCCGGTGGTCATTGCGTCGCCAGTCTGCCCTGGGGTCTTGCCAAGGAGCGATCACGCTAGCTTCAGAGCGGGCAGGGCTTCTCCCTCTGCCTTTTTGTGATATCTGATGGACAGTCTTGTTGATGCCCAATTTCCGAGCTCCAACCTCCTGCAGAAAAATCCGCTCACGGGGTCCCCGAGCGTTCGCCTTGGAGAGGGACCGACCATCCTGGTGGTCCGTAGATTTCTGGGAACCCTGTCAAGGATTGTCGAACTGTTAAGACCCCCGACGGCATCCCTGGACCGGGAAATGTGTGCGAGCCGTTGAGGACGCCATCGCGGCACGGGTCTTCATCGGCATCCAGCGGGTGTCCAATGTTTTCCTCGTGCGCCAGCGGTACTCGAGCGGTGGTGCACTTCCGCATCCTGTCAGATTGATGGCTAGGAACCAGGGCGGAACTCGTGGACTGTGGCTTTGCTGCCTCTGGTCTCGGGGTATGGTCGCAGAGTATGGGCAGCCATGCTGGCGGGACGGATGGCTTGTTGAAGAGAAACTTGTTGCTTCGATTAACTAGACCTTTCGTACGGCTCCGTACGGAGTTTGATAGGCATGACTCCAACGAGGTGCGTACTCATCTGGCAGGCTATTGAGGCACTTTTGAAAGAGCCTTCTCATGATCATCTGCTGCCCATTGCGCTTCGAGAGGCAGCTGCACAAGTGGCATCTGGCCTTGGACTCTCGAGGCTCTGGAGAATAGCATCTTTCAGCAACGCGCAGTACAAGTTAATGAGTACAAACTGCTATAAGAATTTCGGTGTGTCTCCAGGGCCGACATCCAGTCGCTATCTCACCGTGGCCTCTTACATGTAGGCAAGTAGCCCCACGAGTCTGAAAGGAAGGGCGACAGGCTACCAAAAGCTGCCTGCACCTGCCAGCCAGGCACGCTTGGGCAAGTGTATCGGTTACTGACGTAGCTTCAATGGGTGGGAATTATTTTGTTGTGAGAACAGCCCGGCTGTTCGAGGCCATACAGCCAGAGTACTACGCTGTACGTGATGTCAAGACGGGCCCATGCCATTAAGCAAATGGACTTGGATATGACATCCGCGTCTCTTGGAACTGCGTGTCTCTCTGATGTCCTATGAGAAGAGACTAAATGTACCGTATCGCTGGTGGTAATGAAAACTTTGTGTCCAGTGCGAGCGAGTCTATCAGCAGTAGCATGATGGGAATACCCATGTTGTCTGACCCTCTCTCCCTTCCTTGAACACTCCAGGATAGCTTCAAATACTACGAGAGATATTGCCACATCGCAATATCACACATGGACCCATCAGAGAGAAGGCGCGGAAGCATCTCGCGCGAATGTGAATGTTAAGCGGACGATCAGAGGACGAACGAGTTTTGATGTTAGGATCGTACGGAGACAATGGAGGACCAGGTTGAATCATTTGAAGCAATAGAGAATGTCCGAGGGATTGTAGAATCTCAATGCATTCCCGATTTCAATACTCTTTCAGCTACTGGTGCTCGAGTGACATCTTCAAAAGTGAAGCAGGACTTCAGGTGATAGAGGCACTCAAATGGTTGGCATATCGCTCATTTAGACCTCAACTCAAGCCGGAGTCACGAGGGGCATACGTAGTCTTCTAGTTGTATGCAGTGATGGTATCGCTGACAAGAAACAACACGAATGTCATTCATTGTGCGAGGACACTACATATAGAAACGTTCCGACGTCCGAACCAAGACAATTTGTACCTGTGCGAGCACAACCCTCGCTCTCCCGCAGGATCAAGTTCTCGCTTGCCATTACTTCCCTATCGTATATCTGGACGAGAAGAACGTAGGGTCCTGTGTGAGCCTAACATCAATCAGGACTAAGAATCAGTAGCCGGGGGTTCTGCCGTAGGTGGTCAAAGACGTGACCGGGAATAGGGCTTTCTCGGAGTGCGGAACACGCATCTGTAATGACTATCAACTACATGAGCACTGTGACGGGTTTGCCTATCCAGGCGTACTCTATGTTTCGTATTGTTCGCGATGCACATATACAGATGTGAGGGCGAAAGGGATCGGCCAGTCGTCTCTATTCAAGAAGGGGAGCAAAGTATAGCTGCTATCCAAACATCACAGTCCATCATTCCGATCCAATCGGCAAGCTTGCCAAAGACGCCGAGCCCATGTAGAAAAATGATAAAAATCCCGGAGATAAGTTCGAAGAAAAACATGCTAGACCTCAACGAGGCCTGGCCGTCTATAGAAGACACGAAGTGCAAAAAGTGTCCAAAATGCGCGAAGTCCGTCCTTCACTTGGTCGCGTGCTCGTCGCCAAAGGGGCTGCTGCCTCGTTCTATCGACGCAGGTTTCGATTCACGGTCGGGCCTATCTCCGTCGTCCTCCATGACAGCCCCTAGCTTGGGTGCGTTGGCCTTGGGTTCGGGAGTGCTCACCTCCTCTGGAGGATCGACGAAGGGGGAGCCATTGATGGATAGCGCAGGAGGTGTAACAGCAGGCGTGGTGGCCTCAGATCCTGCCCCTTTGCCTTCAGACGTCGAAGTCGCTCGACTCGAAGCGTCGGACTTGGCAGGTATCTCGACCTTCTTGAGACCTCCGACCTTGACGACCTGGGCGCGGGTCTGCGTGGCTGTGTTCAAGAACGTGGAGCCCACACTGAAGGTGCTCGCACCACTCTTTGGCCTTCCGTTGCCGAACTTTTCGAAATCAATGTTGGGCACTGGAGGTGTGATTCCGCCGCTCCCGCTGGTTCCCATGGACTTAACACTGACCATGGTTGGCTTCGCACGCAGGCCTGTCGACGCCGGAGTCATCACCTGTGCCTGCTTGCCGTAAATTGTGGAGGCGATGCTAGAGCGAGGGGCGTAGGATGTGCGTGTAGCATAAGATGTACGGTCCGAGTAGCCAGACAGACCAGAGTATGTCGAGTCGCGGAGGTCACCCGGCACGAAGAAGTGCTGATCGTTGTTGTCGCCATCGCCGTCGTTTGCAGAGTGCTGCATAGGGATCGGTGGGACTGGAGGCACGAGGACGCCCGAGGAGGCAGGGTTCGCTCGGTTCGTGACTCCGGGAATGTATGCGATTTGAATAATGTTTGAAGCTCGAGTCAACACTGTGGACGCAATAGAGTGAACGGTGTGCGTTGACGAGCGGCGGGCATGTCTGGACTCGTTGTCCTTCTCTGAATCTTGCGGTGCGGTGCTTCCGTGATATTGCGAATGGCGAGCTATGTCCTCAGCCCTACGGGGCTTGATGAGATATCTCCAAGCCAGGTATGTTAGGACTGTGATGAGAACAATGCCTCCAACAACGCCTCCCACGATGGCCCCGATGTTTGGACCCCCAGAACTGTTATCCGAGTTGTCGCCTTCGCTGGGTTCGGCGCTTGCCGCTACGCATCGCGCTTGTGAGCACTCTGTGCAATCGGAAGGAATGGTGAACTGGCACTCTGTGCCCTCAGAACAGTTGGGACATTCGAGGTCCGAGGTGGCATCGCACTTGACACATCCACCTGCACGAGGGATGAGTTTCATGACTGCCCCAATTAGCATCCAAATTCCCGGCCAGGTTCGATAACATAACCCACCTGCTTCAAGCTCTGTCAAGTCCCTAGCATACACGAAACCCAGGTGGCTTTCCATCGTGCGCGACTGATACTTTGTGAATGGCGGCGGCAGTGGGATGTATCAATCGATGTGGGGTGTTCTCTGAGGTCGGTGATGCTTGACGCTCGTCGTGGGCTTTGAGTCTGGGAGCGCCCAGCAACAAGGATGTTTGGTAGGTCTTTGGTGATTGGAAGCGCTCGTTTCAAAGCAATAGTGCGGCGTCGTAAGAGATAGAAAGAGTGGTGTTTTGTCAAATGGAAAACGAGTGTAAATGGAGACTAGCTCAAGCAGAAAAGGATAGGTGAGAATGCGATTTCAGATCATTGAAGCAGACGACATAACCAGCCAGGGCAATTGTCGAGGGTATTGATATTGCGACGAGAGGCGATGATGGGGTTGCGAAAGTCGTTGTCGATGGAGGTTGGATGAAGATGAAAGTGGAGGAGCGGTACCAAGCAGCGAGGAGAGACAGAATCAACGCGGAAGACGGACGGAGACAGAAGCAGGGGACGTGGTTGGGTGTGAAAGGACTGTGCTGCAGGAAGAGGCGCGGAGGAGGGCAGCCGGCAGCTGCTGGAACCTGCGCTGAAAGAGGGTGGTGGAGGAGGACTGGAGTCTGGATCCTCTGCGACAGATGGAGCGCACCTTAGATGACAGGGGAATGTGCCCGCTAAAGCGAATCTAGGCTAGCGAATCAGGGCAAGCGGAGCACAGTGTGTTTCTTTTCTGATGCCGTGAGAAGTTCAGCTCGTGGGGCCAGTGAGCTTGCTTTTGGGTGTTGTTGGCGGCCTCACTAGACCAGAGAGGGTAATGATGGGTGGGTCCGTGCTGACGGCAGTGCCAGGAACAGCCTGCAGCAAGCCGTGTCAATACTGCGATGCAAGCCTAGCGCACTGTGGTGCTGCAGGACGAATGCCCCTTTTCGTGGATCCCTCCGTTCAAAGCTTCGACGAGACGGGCGAGTCGCCCCCGAATTAATGCACTTGTCGGTATGAGGCCAGAGACGGCGCCGCAAAGAATCTTCTCACGCGGTTCTTGTGAACACGCAATACACGCAAGCGAACGGCGTCGAAGAGGCTGGATATCACGCGTTAACGTTCCTTCCCGATGCGGGGATTGTTAATTTGCGCCGGCATCAAATCAGCGTCCGACACAAGCCACCTGCACACTTGCGACTGAATGGGCAAGTACTATCCGTGCTCCGTACAGGCAATAAAGCAAAAGATGGCTTGATGGTACGAACCTCGTGCATTTTCATGACAGCCATTACCCGTACGGTTATTGTGATCGAAGAGCTGCACAATCTTTCCGACAATCGCTGAACGCTGTAATAAACTTGCCCATTTCAAGCGGTGTGTCCGAACGCGCGTCCTGGCATCCAAGGCAAGGCCCCAACCAGCCAGCCATATATGTACATAGGGCCTGCCTGTTTACAATCGAACGCGGCGCAACAAAAAGTCTTATTTGTCGCGCCTCATCGCGGATAAGGTCGTGGTCACTGTGAAAGCACCCTCGCGTCCGGATGCTCGCCTCCATTCCAGTTACGCTCGGTGAACATGTTTCGACCTGGCGCAACGAGACCAGTGTCTACGTGGTCCAGCACGGGCCAGATCGCACCGCCGAGCTCTGGACGATACTCGAGATCGCCCGCAGAATGCTTCAATTGGGCTTGAGTGTTCCGTTTGAGGTTTGAACTCTGGAACGCAGTCCAGTGAGTCAAGTCGCCGCCTCTACCCTTCCCACCTGACCTGGGATTGGTGAGGATCAAAGGGCTTTGCGCGCACTCAATTCCAAACAAATCATGCCGTCTTCCGCTGCCTTCTTGTACGACACATCGGTGCCGTACATACGCAAGGTAATCAGCACCAAAGATGTGCGCTCTTCTAACGAACGGCAGTAAGTACATTGTTGTGCAAACGACACTTTTCTCCGGAACAGTACTTAACACCACACATACTCGTTGAAGTGGCAGCCTTACTATTACAGTAGAGCACCTCGCTAATTATAGCAGTGCGACCAGAGACATTTCGAAATGTGTTTTTAGGAATTTCCAGGTCGATATTTGCTCCTGCACCGCCTCACCAGTATGTACGTACGTATCTCGACACTGCCAGCCCCAGATGTCGCCTAATCCCGAAGTTCTATTTTTGGCAACCTCAGTCGGCAGCCCACAAAGAGAGCTCATTCAGGCCTCCCTACGGAGTAGAGCGAGCCCATGGGCCGACGAAGTAAACACAAATGGCAGAAAAGAAGAGACACAGCCCAGCTTGTCGAGCACTGTCTACCCAGTACGTGCAGTAGCTCAACTTGACACGGAAGCAAAGCGAACAATGATCGTGAAAGCTCAGCCCTGTCACCAGTTATCAGTCGTTAAACTGCCTGCAAGCTGACTGCGTGCCTTTGCAGAACTTGTCGGCGCCACAATCAGGATGTCAGCAGTGGTGGAGCTCCTTGTCATCTCTGTTGGCAAGCATAAACAGCTTGACTGCAAATGACAGCATCAGCGTAGGGGCATTGATGACATTGACGACCATGTTCATGTCGACCTGTCTGTCTTGAGGAGCCGCAACTGGCGTACGTACGTACCGAGAAATAATAGTAGTCGCGTTGGCCTGATTAGATCCACTCGATCTTATTTGGCGGCTTCTGTGAGGGTCACACGAGGTCCTCATAACTCGTAGCTTGAGAACAAAGGGTTTTCGTAGTGCAGATCATTATCAAGGTCGTCGAAATACGAAGCAACCTCGCTAACCGTAAGGTACGTGCCTACCTAAGGTACGCAGGCAGAGGCTGCCAGTGGCAGAGGCTGCCTTAGACGAAAAAAAGAGCCTAAGCTGAGCATGGACGGGGTGAGAGTTCAGGGGTTGACCGGTGGTGGCTCAGCCAGCGTTAGCGTCAGACTGAGCCAGCGACTGGATGACAGCCAGCAGCCCCAGCCACTAGCAGGTCACAGCGTGGACCCCTTACGGATGCCCTCGCTGAAACAGCTGGGAAAACATTTCGAGACGGTAATCCCCAAAATCACTTTCCCTCCTTCATCATCCTGCTCATCTCCTTAAGGGGATCATTATCGCCGTGACATCTCCTTCCTGGTTTCGATTGATTAGTTTGCTTTTGGTTTTCGCAAGAATCATTGGCTTGGGTCCGACGCCCCAGTACTACAACCTTTACGCGTTGTTAGGTCCCAGGTTTAGAGCTCACCTTTTGACTTTGCACCAAGTCCGCGGCCGTTCGCTGCCTTGCCTTACTCTACGACAAAGGCAGTTCGGAGTATATTGAACACAATAGTGTCGTACCATGGCGTACAACGGCCAGGGGCAAGGCCATGAATATGGCGGTGCAGGCGGCCACCCAATGCAGGACATGCCAACCGGCAGCACTGTATGCCCTAATGCAATCCTGTATCTTGAACCAACGGCTAACGAGTGCAGTATCACCTTCCTCCCCAGGAACAAGAGGAAGACGCTGGCCGCTACCTTCTCCATGAGCCCCCAGCCCACGGATACGACCAGGACCGTCTAGGTGCCGCGACGCCTCCTGATCGACCTGTCTCGGCTTACAGTCTCACCGAGTCGTATGCGCCCAACGCTGCGCAGATCCCACAGCAGGGACAAGACTACGCCGACAATGGCTACGGGCAATATGGCATGGATCCTAGCGGCTGGAACACTCCTCGTCCCATGTCTACAGTCGACGATGACGACGAGGACAGCTGGATGCAGCGACAACAGCAACCCAACCAGATGGGTTCGCGCAGTGGTCTGAAGCGTTTCAATACCAGGAAGATCAAGCTTGTCCAGGGCTCCGTCCTGAGTATCGACTACCCCGTTCCAAGTGCTATCAAGAATGCGGTGCAACCCCAATACCGCGACGTCGAGGGTGGCAACGAGGAATTCTTGAAGATGCGCTACACAGCCGCTACGTGTGACCCGAACGACTTCACCCTCAAGAACGGTTACGATTTGCGCCCTCGCATGTACAACCGACACACCGAGCTGCTCATCGCCATCACCTACTATAACGAGGACAAGGTACTGCTGGCCAGAACCCTGCACGGTGTGATGCAGAATATCCGCGACATTGTGAACCTTAAGAAGTCGACCTTCTGGAACAAGGGTGGCCCTGCCTGGCAGAAGATTGTTGTGTGCCTTGTCTTTGATGGTATCGACAAGGCCGACAAGAACGCCTTGGACGTTCTGGCCACTGTTGGTATCTACCAAGATGGCGTGATCAAGAGGAGTGTCGATGGCAAGGATACTGCCGCCCACATCTTCGAGTACACAAGTCAGCTTTCCGTGACGCCCAACCAGCAACTAATCCGGCCGACGGATGACGGCCCCAACAACTTGCCCCCCGTCCAGTTCATCTTCTGCTTGAAGCAGAAGAACACCAAGAAGATCAACTCTCATCGCTGGCTTTTCAACGCGTTTGGCCGTATCTTGAACCCTGAAGTCTGCCTGCTGTTAGATGCCGGTACCAAGCCCAGCCCTCGCTCCTTGCTCGCGTTATGGGAGGGCTTCTACAACGACAAGGATCTTGGTGGTGCTTGCGGTGAAATCCATGCTATGCTTGGGTAAGTTCTCCGCGCTTGTTACAGTCTGCCACAGGGTTGAAGGAGAACTGCTAACCATACCATGCGGGCAGTAAATCAGGGAAAAAGCTGCTCAACCCTCTGGTAGCCATCCAGAACTTCGAGTACAAGATCTCCAATATTCTCGACAAGCCACTGGAAAGTTCTTTCGGTTACGTCTCTGTGTTGCCTGGTGCTTTCTCAGCATATCGCTTCCGCGCTATTATGGGACGCCCCCTCGAGCAATACTTCCACGGTGATCACACCTTGTCTAAGGTACTCGGTAAGAAGGGTATCGACGGTATGAACATCTTCAAGAAGAATATGTTCTTGGCGGAAGATCGAATCTTATGTTTCGAGCTTGTCGCTAAAGCTGGCCAGAAGTGGCACCTAAGCTACATCAAGGCCGCAAAAGGTGAAACGGATGTGCCTGAGGGTGCTGCCGAGTTCATCAGTCAGCGTCGTCGTTGGCTGAACGGTTCGTTTGCCGCTACTCTGTACTCGCTGATGCACTTTGGACGCATGTACAAGAGTGGCCACAACCTGGTTCGCATGTTCTTCCTCCACATTCAGCTGGTCTACAGCTTTCTCAACACGCTCTTCGCCTGGTTCTCGCTTGCGTCTTACTATCTGACCACCACTGTCATCATGGACCTGGTCGGCAACCCAACGATCCCCTCATCCAACAGCAGCGAAAACCACGGTTGGCCGTTTGGTGATACCGTCACGCCCTATTTCAACGCCTTCCTCAAGTACCTGTACCTGGCCTTCGTCATCCTGCAATTCATCCTCGCCTTGGGTAACCGCCCCAAGGGTTCGCGCTTCACGTACATTGGCTCCTTCATGGTCTTCGGAATCGTCCAGCTCTACGTCATCATCCTTTCCTTCTACCTGGTCGTCAACGCTTTCGTTAAGAAGCCCATTGGTGAACAGATCTCATTGGACTCTGGCGAGGACTTTGTGCGCAGTTTTTTCTCGGGGTCAGGCGCTGCCGGTGTTATCATCATTGCGCTGATCACAATCTACGGCCTCAACTTCATCGCCTCATTCATGTACCTCGACCCTTGGCACATGTTCCACTCGTTCCCCCAGTACCTAGTCCTCATGTCGACGTACATCAACATTCTCATGATTTACGCCTTCAACAACTGGCACGATGTGTCCTGGGGTACGAAGGGCTCTGACAAGGCCGAGGCCTTGCCTGCCGCTACCGTGACCAAGGGGGAGAAGGACGAGAAGGTGGTGGAGGAAATCGAGAAGGAGCAAGAGGACATTGACAGTCAGTTCGAGCAAACCGTCAGACGTGCCCTGGCTCCCTTCAAGGAGTTCGAGGAAGTCGAGAAGGCCGACGTTGAGGACTCCTACAAGTCCTTCCGAACAGGTCTGGTCGTCACCTGGCTGTTCTCCAACATTCTGCTTGCGATTGTCATCACCAGCGACAACTTTGACTCGATGGGCATCGGAGTAAGTATCCCGTTCCGGAGCACCGCAGACACGGTAACTAACCACGGAAACAGGAGAGCACCTCGGACCGCACCGCCGCCTACTTCAGATTCCTGTTGTACTCGACTGCCGTGCTGTCACTCATCCGTTTCATCGGTTTCCTTTGGTTCTTGGGTAAGACTGGTCTCATGTGCTGCTTCGCACGCAGGTGAGCTCGTCACTTTGTATGGAAAGGAGCATGCATTTGGGAGGCAAAAGACACCATCTGCTCTGGGTGTCGCGGTGTACAGATCTACAAGATATTCGGCCTTTTCTCATGTACCTCAACTTTGTAATGTTTCTATTCGGGTGTTGAGTGTACGACTTTGGGAAAGCTTCAGGCCGCGGAATTGCTGTGAAACATTTCAATCAACATGTTATGTAATGGTCTTTAATTTTTACTTAATGCGGCTGTCTTCATCATATTTGTTCAGTCGCTTCTCCTGGGCACGTGGAGGAACTGGATGGAAGATCCTCGGCGGCATTTGGCCTTATCTTATCGTCAATCAGCTTGAGCTCCAGTCTCCCGTAGAACCGCTTACGTGAACGACCACTCGAGGTAGCAAACGGCCTAGAAGAGAGTGGTCAGAGACCGACCTCCTTCAACCATCCACGAAAATTTCGATAATCCTGATAGCAGTTCAGTCTGGTCGTCATCATTCGCATCCTGCCCTCTACAGCGACGCCGCCCTACGAAGACTGAGCCGCCCCGCGTGGCACCCCGCCATCACAATGTTGAAGATCTGGTCAATGGTCAGTGTTTCCGAGGGCTCCAGACAATTAAATGGCTAACCCTTTCTACAGAAAAAGGAGCAGAAGGATGCCGAAAACGCCGAAGGTCATGCCAGTGGGGGCAAGAAGAAGAAGATCACAGCCGCCCAACTGCGCGTGCAAAAAGGTACAGTCGGCTGGTCCACGTGCGGCTCATCAGGACGGTGTCTTACAAGCGTACCAGATCTCTCGGAGCTGTCTCTCGGCGATACCATGAAGACCGACTTTCCCGACCCCGACGATATACTGAACTTTGTCCTCACGATCGAGCCGGACGAGGGAATGTACAAAGGCGGGCGGTTCACGTTCGACTTCAACATCAACCAGAACTTTCCCCACGACCCGCCCAAGGTGCGGTGCCGCGAGAAGATCTACCACCCCAACATCGACCTGGAGGGCAAGGTGTGTCTGAACATTCTGCGGGAAGATTGGAAGCCCGTTCTGAACCTGAACGCGGTCATTGTGGGCATGCAGGTGAGCCGCCACAGGAGGCTGCAAGTAGATGTGTCAAGCTGATGGCGAGAACAGTTCCTATTCCTCGAACCGAATGCTTCCGACCCGCTGAACAAGGAAGCAGCGGAGGACTTGAGAAATAACAGGGACGGGTTCCGACGTAACGTGAGGAGTGCCATGGCCGGTAGCTCCGTCAAGGGTATCGCATACGATCGTGTCTTGTCCTGAACGTCGAGTATGTGAAGGGAAAGGAGAGAAGCGTATAGCATATTTGGGAGTCAACGACTTGGCCAACTCGTGTCCATCGACGTACAGAACTAGGAGGGCTTTACGCGGACACGATTTGGGCACATGGCACCGGTTTCGAAAAGAAGCCACAGTATATTGGGCATCTATTCCAGAGCGCACGGGTTTGTCTCACGGCGAATATGACGAATTTATTTTGTTCTTACCAGATTTTCGCGCATCGGTTTGAGGAAAAGCTAGAATTTCAGTACTTTCGGGTCATGTGTGCGGTAAGAACCGGACATTGTAAATGCGGCCAGAGAGCTGGAGGAATTTGTCCTCTATGTGATGGCCAGCTCAAGTGAGAGAGTTCCAAGGATCCGAACTGATGACATGACATGATGATAAGCCAGTCATTGTAGGATTGGCATTTCCTGCTTTTGTCGTTTTCACGAACCATGTAGCGCAGGGTAGGTGAAGTCCATCTACGTTGCGGACGGGGACCAGAACAATCAGGATTTCCTCGCTAGGCCAAGTTACCGCTCAGGACCGTACCAAGCGCAGTTTTGCGAGTCATCAAAATCTCCGAAACAACACTATTCAATGACCCGATGTTCCTCGAATTGAGTCACTCCGATGTCGTCGCTTGCTATCATCCGTAACACGGGGGCTATCTTCTGTGGAAAGCCTCGAAGCTCCGGTCTGGGGAGCAATGCTTGAGGCTGCTGCGGGGCCTTACGGGGAGAAAGTGAAAAGTCCGGAACGACGCCTGAAGGCCCCTGCTGCCCTTGCCCCAGCTCAGGCGCCCGCCCATCCAATCACAGTGAGGATTTTCACTCCCCGTGTCCCTTGAACTTGCTGAGCCGTTCCGGACAGCGACGGCAGGAGCTCAACAAGCCTCACGTAAGAGCGGAAGTGCGAACACAACCTCCATTCGACGTATGCGATCTTTTGGTAGGCGCTGAACCGAGCTCGAATTTTACAGACTGCAACACGGGGTCGACGTCTTCAACCTCAATAGAGCTTCGCAGGAATTCCAGACACTCCTAGCCGCTCCGGGTAATTCATGGGGCTTTTTGAGGGACAATGTCCAATCAGAATTACGGTAAAGCTCGTGGCAGGCACGCCTCCGTTCGCGGAGAGATCGCGGTCGCCGCAAGCCCAGCCTCGGGGTTGGTGGGGTAGCCTGAGTTCGACTAGAGTGAGTAGAAAAGAATTGCTCCACTGCCCAGTCCGGTGGTCGGCTTACCTCACCCCACGAGCCCTTCCCGCCTCAACTTTGTTTCGGTCAAGAAGCCAGCCATCCTCCATCCTCCTTCCTCTCTCTCTCTCTTCCAACATCCCCAATTCCCCTCACAACCCGTCATAATGGCCTCTCGCACCATCTCCAAGTCCGTTCGCTCGCCATTGGCCCGCCAGCTGGCCGCTCCTCGCGTCCAGCAGCGCACCTTTGTCGCTGCCCGCAACCTGGTTCGTGCCGGCACTGCTGCTCGCCCAGCTGCCGTCGCTGGCCCTGCCCAGCAGCAGATCCGCGGTGTCAAGACCGTGGACTTTGCTGGCCACAAGGAGGACGTCTATGGTAAGTTTTTCCGAGTTGCGACGTTGGATCTGGTTGCTAATGCTCAACAGAGCGTGCCGATTGGCCTCAGGAGAAGCTTTTGGTGAGTGAAATCAACGCAGCGAGTCAAGCGCGCCCCATCTGACTTTTAATCAGGAGTACTTCAAGAACGACACCCTCGCCCTGATCGGCTACGGCTCGCAGGGTCACGGTCAGGGTCTCAACCTCCGCGACAACGGCCTCAACGTCATTGTCGGTGTCCGCAAGAACGGCAAGTCCTGGAAGGACGCCCAGCAGGATGGCTGGGTCGAGGGCAAGAACCTCTTCGATGTCGATGAGGCCATCTCCCGCGGTACCATCGTCATGAACCTCCTTTCCGACGCTGCCCAGTCGGAGACCTGGCCCGCCATCAAGCCGCAGCTCGTCAAGGGCAAGACCCTTTACTTCTCCCACGGATTCTCGCCCGTCTTCAAGGACGTGACCAAGGTTGATGTGCCCACCGACATTGACGTCATCCTCTGCGCCCCCAAGGGCTCAGGCCGCACCGTCCGCACCCTCTTCCGCGAGGGCCGTGGCATCAACTCCTCCTTCGCCGTGTACCAGGACGTCACCGGTCAGGCCAAGGAGAAGGCCATCGCCATGGGTGTCGCCATTGGCTCTGGCTACCTGTACGAGACCACGTTTGAGAAGGAGGTCTACTCTGACCTGTACGGTGAGCGTGGCTGCCTGATGGGTGGTATCCACGGTATGTTCCTCGCCCAGTACGAGGTCCTACGCGAGGCTGGCCACTCTCCCTCCGAGGCCTTCAACGAGACAGTCGAGGAGGCTACCCAGTCTCTCTACCCCCTCATTGGTGCCAACGGCATGGACTGGATGTTCGAGGCTTGCTCGACCACCGCCCGTCGTGGTGCCATTGACTGGACCCCCAAGTTCAAGGACGCCCTCAAGCCCGTCTTCAACGACCTCTACGCTTCCGTCCGCGACGGCACAGAGACCAAGCGCTCGCTCGAATACAACGGCCAGAAGGATTACCGCGAGAAGTTTGAGAAGGAGATGGAGGAGATCCGCGGTCTCGAGATCTGGAGGGCTGGCAAGGCTGTCCGCTCTCTACGTCCCGAGAACCAAAAATAGACAGTGTGACGATTGGACATGGGGAGGAATATGATCTGGGCTTGTTCAAATACTGCGATTTGGCTTAAGGAGCTATGCTATACCACTTGGAGTCTAGGGTCACTATGATGAAAATGAAAATTGCAATCATGTACACGTTCTGCGCCATGAGCTCATGTAAATGTGATCGACAGGCTCTGGATCCGAGAAGATGCGTTCGCGTCCGACAGCGGCAGCCAAGTCCAGCCAAGTCAAGCAGCCCCTCATAAGCTTATTGCCTCAACAGGCAGGCCCCGAGGGCTGGGCACTCTAGTCACGTGGTATTGCCGGTCTCAGGCTACGGTACCCCGTAATCAGGATTCATGATTCAGGGACTGGGTCCGGCCGCGGCGCCAGTGCATGGATAGTGGCGAGTCACCGTTCGTCGGGATGTTTTGCCGTCCAGCTTCTTCACGCCCTTTAAGTAGACGGTGTAGGCTCCGTTGCGTGGTTTGCTTCATGCCTTCCAGTCAGTTCTGTAGAGTTTCATTAAAGCCTTTCGTACTCGAAAGCCCCCTCAATCCCTCGATATGGCGGATATTTCAACAACCCTCCCATTGACACGCTCGTCGGTCGTGGCAGCCCACGATGTGGTCAGACCACATGTCCACCGGACACCGGTCATGATGAACCGCACAATCAACAGCATTGCCTCGACACCGCAGGCTTCACTGGAGGGCACGAGGTGGGAAGGACGCACGCCTGCCAAACCCAAGTTCAGGCTATGGTTCAAGTGCGAGAACCTGCAAAGGATCGGCGCCTTCAAGGCCCGTGGTGCGTTTCATGCAATTGCGAGGCTGAAGCAGGACAAGCAATGGGTTGAGAGTGGCGGCATGGAAAAGGGTGTCTGCACCCATAGCTCAGGTAAGTCTTGCTGTTGGCGCTGCTGCTGGGTGCGATACTGATCCTCTATCCAGGCAATCACGCTCAGGCTCTCGCACTGGCCGCCAAGGAGAACGGGATACCTGCGTACATTGTCATGCCGGCGATCACGATACCCCAGAAGAGGGCCGCGACCAAGGGCTATGGTGCCAAGGTGATTGACTCTGGCAGCACGGCTGCGGAGCGCGAGGTTGTGGCCGACAAGGTCATGAGAGAGACTGGTGCCAGGCTCGTTCCCCCCTACGACCATCCTGATATCATACTAGGACAGGGAACTCTGGGTCTCGAACTGCAGGAGCAGGTTGCGGAGGCGATGGCCAAGGGCGAGGGAGCTGCCATGGACGGCTTCAGGGCAGAGGACACGCGACACGACTTCAAGGGAAAGAAGGGCCTCGATGCCGTCGTCGCGCCCTGCGGTGGCGGCGGCATGCTGTCCGGCGTTGCACTCAGCTGCGAGGGCACGGGCATCAAGGTCTTTGGTGCCGAGCCGTCTTTCCAGGGGGCAGACGACGCCAAGAGAGGATTCGAGTCTGGGACGCGCGTGACCGGCGTCTCGACCATGACCATCGCGGACGGACTGCGCACCAACCTCGGCGTGTACCCTTGGGAGGTGATCTACGAAAAGAAGCTGGTCAATGGGTTCTACAGCGTGACGGAGGAGGAGATCAAGGCCGCCATGTTGCTGGTGCTGGAGAGGTTCAAGATGGTGGTGGAGCCAAGTGCGTGCGTGCCCCTGGCCGTGGCCCTCTTTGACGAGGACTTTCGGTCCATGGTGGAACGTGAAGCTGGCGAGGACGGTTGGGACCTTGGACTGGTGTTTTCAGGAGGCAATGTCGGCGCTGATGCCATTGGCAGGCTTTTTGGATGAAGAGATGGTGCATAGAGGGATAGTCCAAGAAGTAGCATGGGGAATAGAGGCGACATTTTCATTCCATAGACTCACGATGCACTTTGCATCAGATAAGCAGCCAGTCAACAGAGTGTTGAGTCAGACGCAAGGAGATTAAAACAAGAAAGAACATAGGAAAGAATAATAGGTGACTTAAGAAATTGAGACTGCAAAAAGGCAAAAGAAGAACCTCCCCCGCACAGGATCGAACTGTGGATCTCCCGATGATGTGTTGCAATGGATGCTTAACAGTCGGACGCCTTAGCCAGCTGGGCCACAGGGGATGCTATTCGAGGATTCCCGAACTTGCTATGCCTCAAACCATTTCTTGAGTATATATATTGCTAAACTACAAAGATGAACATGAAGCACATGGACCAAACCACGCGAGTATCTCACTACTCTCAATTCAACACATTTCTTATTTCACTGACGACCTCCGCGTTGATTCGTCTGCGTCTGTGTTCTCTCCGTCCGGATTGGCCATGCGAACATTCTCCCGTCTCTCGGCAGTACGTCACACTGCTTCCGGTTCAGCGACCGCGGGGCAGCTTTGTCTTGCCCCACCATCCTCGACAATCTTATGCCGCAGAATAACACGCAGCAGAACAGAACCTTTTTTTCAATTCTCTTTACTTCGCCCAACCCGTGATATTTTTATTTATTTGCACTTCCTATCATGTCTCTCACAGCTTCGTCCGCCGAGGAGGCTGCCTCTTCCGCCAAGACGGCCTCTTTCCACTTGGCCACCCTGTCAGTCCAGGACCGCAACGCAGCTCTCGAGACCATTCACAACGCCCTCCTGGAGGCCAAGGACGACATTCTCGCGGCCAATGCCAAGGACCTCGAGCTTGCCAGGAAAGCGGCTGCCGATGGCTCGCTCAGCAACGCCTTAGTGTCGAGGCTGGACCTTGGGCGGAAGGGCAAGTTCGACGACATGCTCAAGGGCATCATGGACGTTCGTGACTTGGAAGACCCCAGTACGTTGGAGCGGGGCCACTCATGGGAGATGATACATGACTAACCCCACGTCAGTCGGCAAGGTCCAGATGAGGAGCAAGCTCGCGGACGACCTCATGATGGAGCGTGTGACCTGTCCCATTGGCGTGCTGCTCATCATCTTCGAGGCCCGTCCCGAGGTGATTGCCAACATTGCCAGTCTGGCCATCAAGTCGGGCAACTCAGCCATCCTCAAGGGTGGCAAGGAGTCCACCGAGTCCTTCGTGGCCATCTCAAAGGTCATTTCTGCGGCTCTCGACAAGACCGCCGTTCCCAACGGTGCCATCCAGCTCGTCACCGCCCGCGACGTCATCGCCCAGCTTCTCAGCCAGGATCGCCACATTGATCTGGTTATTCCTCGTGGAGGCAACGAGCTCGTGAGGTACATCAAGGAGTCGACCAAGATCCCCGTCTTGGGCCATGCCGACGGCATTTGCCACGGCTACCTGACGGCCTCTGCCGACAAGGACAAGGCCATCGGTGCCATTGTCGACTCCAAGACCAGCTATCCCGCGGCGTGCAATGCCCTGGAGACACTGCTCGTCCAGGACACGGCGCTGCCCACGGTGTTGCCTGGCGTTGCCGCGGCCCTCGTCGAGAAGGGTGTCACACTGCGCTGCGATCCCGCTAGCAAGGCCGCCCTCTCCTCGATCCCTGCCGAGTCCATTCAGGATGCCACCCCCGAGGACTACGACACGGAGCACCTCGCCCTCGTCCTCACAGTCAAGACGGTTCCCAGCGTAGACGAGGCCATCTCGCACATCAACGCGCACGGCAGCCACCACACAGACGTCATCTACACCTCGGACAGCGCGCTCGCAGAGCGCTTCATGAACGAGGTCGACTCGGCCGGCGTATACTGGAACGCCTCCTCCCGTCTGGCCGACGGCATGCGCTATGGTTTCGGTACCGAGGTCGGCATCAGCACAAACAAGATCCATTCTCGCGGGCCCGTCGGTCTGGAGGGTCTCACCATCTACAAGTACAAGATCAGGGGCGACTATCAGCCCACCACTGGCTACGGTACCGGCGAGGGCCAAAAGCCGTGGAAGCACGAGCAGCTGCCTTTGTAAGGCAGGAGTGGTGGCCAAAAGTTTGGGCGTTTTTGTGTCTTGGGCATAGATTTAACGTAGCGACGTATCATAGTATACCATACTCAACCATGGTCTTCTTACATGCGAACAACCCCCCGAAAGGCGTGTGACCATGTCATTCCAGAATCATAGACCCCCAACACCGGCACCATCCGTCTTCATCCTCTACATGGCCTCAAGCTGTTGGATGAGTCCATTCAGCCTCTCGCCCTCGGCTTTGAAGTCGATGGGCGTCACACTCATAACCTGGTACCGCACCCTGCACAAGTTAGTACGGTCCAAGGGAAGCAGATCTGGTAACACATGTGCACGTACCTCGGGGTGTCGCCAAAATTATCGGTCTTGGCCCGACACCTGAAGTGGAACTTCTTGAGTGTGGCCGCATTAAAGACTTCTTGGAAGGCAACATCATCGTTTTCACGAATCTCGTTTAGTTCGTTCGCGTCCATGCCCATGACAATGCGGGCCGTTTCATCAAAACAGGTCAGCCATTGGTGGTTGGTAAAGTCCGCAACGTTCAAGCTGAGGATGTAGCGATGGTTGGGCTTCTCGTGTGCAATGTTGCACTTCTCGCACTGAAAGGTGCCGTCACCTAGCGGCGTCACCTTTTTGTTGTTGCAGTTCGCTCCCGGACAAGCAGGGTACGAGAAGCTTTCTTGCTTTGCAAAGACAATGGTTGCCTTGATGGAGAAGTACGCGGCCTCGTCGTGCCCAAGGTTGTCGTCCTTGACCTTGCGGATCGTCAAGATCTCGTCCTTGCGACCAGTGGCACCTCCCATACTCGCCATATTCTGATGGGATGCAAAAGTGTTGGTGCGGCCGGCCGAGTCGTACCAGCCCTTCAGCTTGTGCGCGTCAGGAATATCTGGGTCCAAGGACATGGTGCCCGACGACAATAGACTCAGACTCTTGCCACCAAAGTCGGATACCTTAGTACCCTTGAAGGCAACGACGGACTCGGGCTGGGCATCAAAATTGTTGGCGATCTTGCCCCAGACTGTGACACGAACGGAGTAGCCAGTATCATCCACGAGGGTGAGCTCTCGCTTCTGGAACGGTCGGCCATCCTTCTTCGAGATGATCTCTGACACTTCGCCCACCTCCTTCAGAACACCGATGACATCGACAGTATTGTCCTTCTCCACATCTTGCAGTGCTTGTATATTGCAAAAGTTGAACTTCATCTGTGGGACGCTTGACTGGTCATCGGCTTTCTCGATGACAGTCTCACGTTCAAATGTAATTTCGTAGTCGTTGGGCAGGTTGCTGAACTGCTTCTTTGCAAGCTGCACCCGGCAGGGAGTGGATATGTAGTAGACGGAGCCTTCCTGGAGGAGATCGTAGAAGGCGTCGCACTGATCGTTGAATCCGGTGGCCTTGATCTCGCCACTCTCATCCAGCAGGTTGACGCTGAAGAGCTTGCCCTCGCCTGTTGACTTGTGCCACGTTTTGATATCTGACTTGACTGTGACTCGGGCCTTGATAGTCCACTTGTGTGTGAATGGAGAAATGCCCTCGATCGGGTGTATCGTCGCCCCTCCATGGCTAGCGGCTGGTCGTGAGGCCATGGTCTGCTTGACCTGGGACTTGCTCTCTTCCTTCTTCGCGCCGTAGAAATCGTTGCCGGATATCGCATTGTCGGCGGCCGGAGCGGGCTGGGGCGCGGCGTCCATGGCTGTCGGCTCGCCAATCTTCTCGTGAACGCCAAGGTCCTCGCACACCTCGATGTCCAGGATGACGAGAATGCTTCGAGCTGTTAGACGAGGCACAAGGGTGGACGTGCCGTGAGGACTTACTTTTTGCCCTTCAAGTTATTGGGCTGGTACTGCTTGATGCGCGCCAAGCACCCTCGCTCAAGCTTGCCCTCGTGAATCACCTTGTTCGCGCCCGTGGCGAGCATGCTCTGCACATAGTGCTGGCCGTCCGAGACCACAAGCCTCCACCGCTCGCCAGCCGCTTGCGCCGAAGGGTTCATCTGCTTGACTTGTAGGACTTGCAGAACTGGAACTGGAAACAGCTTGCTAGCCTTGCTGGCATCGTTGAAGATGATTCTATGGTCAAACGTCAGTCACCGCGCTTGGGTCGCCCCAGCGGTGTAGGTTCATTGAGCTTACTCTAACGCGCCGCGCGATAGCGCCCCTGATGCAGCGTCGGCGCTCATTCTGATGTCTTCGGCTTGTTATGGATTGACAGTGGCGTTTGAGAGAGAAATGGCAACACAAGCTGGCTTTCAGAGTAAAGACTTTCGGCCAGTGGACAAAGTGAGATGGAGGGGCGATTCATGGTCGACGCTTGACGCGTCTGAACGCGTTCAGTGGAAGTGCGTGCAGAAATGGCGGGGTCCAAATAAGCTGACGTAATGAACGAACTGGACCACCCTACGTGAAGAGCAAGATCTTGTCGAACGCCCGGTTACGTCTATCTTTGCAAGAGAATGGCGGTCAGGTTAAGATCAATAATGATGATTTTAAATTTGGTCAGCTACTTGGCTCGTACTGAAGCGCTTCACTTGGGTGCGAGGCTAAATCGGGTCAGACAACCAAGTAGCAACACGTCTGGTGGTACAAACGACATTCACCTGCTTACATCCACTTATCTGCGCCTTCCAATAAAACAATCACATTTACCTGCAAGATCCGATTGAAGAACTGTGTCCGTGTTTCTGATAAAGTGTTTCCAGCACATCGTCATATACAAAGCGAACATTAGCATATCATGGCCGACAATGACGTAGCAGCCAGAGCTCCGGAAAGCGATGCTCAAGAGCAGCCCACAGCACAAGCACCGGCGGCGGGAGAGCACTGTGTCACGGACAGACCGACCCGTGAGTTCGATAGCCCTACGCTGTGGTAGTCGAGCTTATAACCTTCAGCTGCCGGCGTTTCTTCGACTGGCGAGATCATCAAGCTCGGCCAAACCGATATCGATGTAGGGACATTTTGCCCGCTCGAGCCAGCCAGCTAAACTTCCCAGGTCTACATCTCAAAGCCTTCCGACTACCCTCATGCGCCCGCCCGCCTTCTTCTCCTCCTGACGGGGGGTACTGGCATCAAGTCCGTCAACAATCAAATCCAGGCCGACCGCTTCGCCAGTGAAGGTTACCTCGTCCTCATGCCCGACATGTTTGGCGGCGACACCGCCCCTGCTGCCCCCATGGTCGACGATTCCGCTTCGCTCCTCGAAAAGTTCAAGATCCGAGCCGCTGAGATGGCAAAGAGCTTCGTGATTGACATGTGGCTGGCGAGAATCACACCCGACAAGGTCATGCCTCGGCTGCACAAGGTCATCGAGACGGCGAGGGAGCAGCATGCTGAAGCAACCCGGCACGGGGACGGCATCTATGCAGTCGGCTACTGCATTGGCGCACGATTCGTCATGCACCTAGCTCAGGAGCAAGAGGCTACATCTGATGGCGACGAAGAGGCGGCGAAGCAAAAGGAGCCGCCCCTGATTAAAGCTGGCGCGTTGGCGCACCCTGCCAGTGTCGCGCCTGACGACTTCAAGGGGCTTAAGGCGCCTCTGAGCTTCGTCTGTGTTGAGAATGATCCTTTGTTCCCAGACGAAGTTCGCTCCGCGGGCGAGGACCAAATGGCAGACGCAAACGTAGAGCACGAGGTGCAAGTGTACCCCGGTGTTCCTCACGGTTAGTTCTCACTTGGAGAGTATATAATTACATCGCTAACAATGACAGGCTTCGCGGTGGTTGGTGAATACCAGGACCAGTCCATTAAGGATGCGCAAGCGACAGCGTACGACCAGATGCTCAAGTGGCTGCAGAATCACTAGCCGAAGTCCCAGAAGCTGGGATACTTTTTTCTTGTAATTGCTGAATGATGAACACACTATCACGGAATGGTGCAGACTATCTTGCCCGAATTCTTTGCGTCCTCCATGTGCTTGTGAGCTTCTTGAATCTTCTCCCAGGTGAAGATTTCGTCCAGAATGATCTTCAGATCACCATTCACAAAGGACGGAACATATTGCTCCAGACGGTCCCGCAACTTGCCCTGGTAATCCTCGTCGCGGCTGCGGAGGGTGCTGCCTTCAATGCGGATTCGCTTGAACAGGATCTGGCTGATATCGGCATCAGAAACCTTGCCTCCACTCAGGGTACCAAGGAGAACGATACGCGCATCGCGCGCGCAAACATCCAGGTTCTTCTGGAAGTAGTTTCCGCCCACAAAGTCAACAATGTAGTCGACCCCCTTGCCGTCGGTAGCCTTTTTGATCTCTTCGGCCCAGTCATGTGTCTTGTAATTGAAAGCACCGGCGGCGGATAGCTTGTTCTTGATAAAGTCGCACTTCTCATCGGTTCCGGCGGTGGCGTAGACAGCCGATGCTCCTGCCAGGTGAGAAAGCTGGATACCCGCGATAGACACGCCCGATGCTCCCGCGTGCCAGAGGACACTCTTGCCCTTCTCCATGCCGAGGATGAGATGGAGCGCCTGTGTGGCCGTGATCCAAGTTTCGGGGACGGCAGCAGCCTGCTCCCAGCTGAGTTCCTCTGGCTTCTTGATGAGCATCTTGGTGCTCACGCTGATGTACTCAGCATAGGCGCCACCGTAGGCGAGACCAAAGACGGCCTCCCCATTCTCGAAGCCGTGGTCATTGTCACCGACGGACTCAATGGTACCGCTGAATTCGACACCAAGTGTGGACGGCGCCTGCGGAGGTAGAGGGTAGCGGCCCACACGTTGGATGATGTCCATGCGGTTGATGCCAAAGGCCTTGATCTTGACAATGGCATTGCCAGGCGTTAGCTTGGGCTTCTCAATGGAGTTGATGAACAGGTCCTCCGCCGCGCCCTTGCCACCCTTGATATCTAAGGCGTGTTAATGCCCGTCGTGCGTTGCCTTTTTCGAGTCGGTGATCTTACCAACAGCCTTCATCGTGTCTACCATCTTGGAGGAGTTATGTTTGAGACTGATCCGGTGTATATCTGTTGAAGTGACTGGTACAGATGTCGGTCAAAGACTGTCAATAAGATGCTCGAGGTTTGAACACGCCGACTCTACAGCGTTCACGTATTAGTAAAGCGTTGCAACCACCAACAATGACGTCAGTGGAGTTGCGGACAATCGACGTCGGAAGTACGGCTTCGACACTGCCGCAAGCCTTTGGTAGCAGAGAACATGTAATGGTGATGACGACTATTTCTATCGTCTTCAGGCCATCGGGAAATATTAATACTGTGTTTGTGCGGCCAAGGAGCCATCTCAAGTTGATCAGCATGTACTCGGGCAAGTAGTTGACGATGGATGCCATGGAAGTCTGCCATGGAAGATTGATGCAATGATCGTGGCATCCTTGAAACGAGAAATCTCGCGTGTCTACACAAGTATTCCCTGGCATGTTTGCTCATCAGTACTCAAGGGCGGACAGAAAGTGCCAGCACAGTAAGCGTGGTGTTGCGCACCCTACTGCTTCTCGCGTACGACATGGTCCTGAGGCCAACTCGACAGCATCCGCGAAGAAGCCTCAGGCAGGATGGTGACACCATGGTTCGAAAGAGCAGAAAAGGCGTTGAAGAGTCTCGTTGACGCTGTTGATGGACGCATCCAAAGTTGTCGAGAGACGCTCCTGTGGATGCTCGCGTAACTAGGTAGCATACCAAGAAGGCTAGGTAGGTACTCGGACTTCATGGCTTTACGGTGCGCGTGAGATTTCCTGGATATCTCAGTTAATAAACTCGAAAAGCAAGCACTGGGGCGTTCCGTCATTCGCATGATACATGTAACCACGCCGATAAGGCTTCACATGCGTTAAGATGAAGCCGTCATCTGTCTACAAGTATTTGGAACACCGTCTGGTATTGGTCCTGCTGTGATGAGAACGAGCCGCACCTCGTACAGGGAAATGAGGGAGTCCCACCTCCTGGCTGGAGCCAGCGAGGTCGGCTCGCATGCCGGATCAATCGACAGTGCGCACGCGAGGCAAGAGGATCGCAGGAGAAGTGGCCGCATGGTTGGCTGAATCCTAATACTATCGCAGCCTCACCGGAAGCAGGTGATAAGGCTGGCTCAACAGTGCGCGCTTATGGTGCTTGTTGCTGCACGACGCGTGCTGCTGCTCCTGAGAGACGACCGTCGACGCGTGGGAGCGAATCAGCGGATTGTCATTGATCACCTCCACACAATGCGCGGTGGGAAATTGCGCTTTGGCTTGCGTCCGGGGCGGCTCGCGCTAGCCTGTAGAAGTTCTGTACATAAGCCATTGGATAAGCTAGCAAGGCTAATTGGGAACGCTACGATCTAGAGTTCAGTAGCTATAGCCTATCAACACAAATCAAAGCGGCAAGCTCAGTCCATCATGTACGTAGGCATTTGGGCGTCGGTTAAAATGGCGAGAACACGAGGACACACACCTCAGCCAGCGCCAGCAAGTTGTCAATGCTGCAGTTGAAAGAGGCGTGGGATTGAAGAGCAGGGAGTCTTAATTTTCCGCAGTGTTCCAACAAAGGGGCGATCAACTAGCTGCCTAAACTACTCATTTGCTGACTCCAAAAACAGCACCCGGCCCAGGCGATCTCGGCACCAGCCAGATTTGCAATCGGCGGTTGGTGAGTGGTATTGCCGTTTACGGATAGAGAGTCTCGTTGAGTCGTTGATCTCCGGGGGCTAGTTAGGGGTAGTCTCAAACGAGTCAAACCGGACGATTCGAAATTGAGCTCGTATTGATACAAGACTTTAGGTCGATCAAGTAATTACGCACTGAAGTCTCGAACCAAACGGCAACTGTGCTTCCTTGACGATGTCGCGTGAGGTTAGGAAAGACCCCGGGTGACGACTGGACTCACTCGTTGGCTGCCATAAGCAGTAATTAGGGAGGGCATTCATTCTCCGAAACGTGATGACCTTGCCGTAATTATTAATGAGGTACGAATCATGTCTCTTGTTCACCAGATAGGTGTGATCGAGTGCTTGAACGGAAGCCTCAATCACCTCCTGCATTATGCACGAGAGATCTGGACAGGCAGCACTGTAATTTAACCTCATCTGCACTCGTGCCTTGGTCGCGAGCGAATGAGAAGCCCCGCTGCAAATTATTCGTCGAGGATCCCCCTGCCGCCCTTGTGGCTGCCTGTAAGCCTTTGATGCTTCGGCCAATAGCGCTTGTTCTGCCCGATTGCCGCCAGACCGAACGCTTCAACTGCAGAACTAATTCATTCAATTGAGAGCTGAGAAAAGGAGGCTGCAGACGGAGAGCAGCGGCACCACGCTGGCTCATAGAAGCTATTCTCGAGGTGCTCATGCCGTCCAGCTTTGACTGAGGCGCCCGTTCTAGTCTCCAGTGGGCGTGATGGTGCTGCCGCTGTGCACTAGAAGTAGAAGGACGCCGAGCGCCTCGTACCTGCATTAGCGGGTGATTCTGTGCAAGTGGTGCCTGAGCTCCGTCCCTCCATCCCAGGAATAGCATCCGTATCCCTTTACGGTTTGAGATGTGGTGGCAATCTGGCACCGGATTCATCAAAGTATGAACCAACGCAGCAGTTATCGACAGGGAGTGCTGCACTGCTGAGTCTAGAATCATCCGATAATTACAGACTTGTTGGTAGTGCGCATAAACGTCCCGATGGACAGTCAGCTGGGGCAAAAATTGAGGGCAATGCGGTGGTGCTAGGCAATTACCGGTAACGTTGTTCATTCCATGAGAATCGCGTGCGCACCGTCCACGTACGTAGTACAGGAACAAAGGCACGTATTACTACTTCCAGAGACGAAGGATGATATCCTCGCGAGGGGTTTGTTGATACACCACTGTACCAAGTATCCTCAGCAGCTCGCGAGACATTCCGCCGAGACACTGTCCATGCCAGGTTGGGTCACAGATACGGTGATGACAGGGCCACGACCAGGGCTGCAGTACATCCAGCCACGGTTCCGAATACAGCTTGGCGCAGTGATAAATAGCACGGACAGCAGCGACTGGCCCGGAATACAAGGAACGTTTGTTATGGAGATTGGAAGCTGGAACGATCCGACTCCAACAAGGCGAGCGCCGATGGATTGACTGCAAAGGTGCCAGCGGCGACAGGGACATGCGCCCTGGATGCCATGTTCCTGGCGGGTCACTCCCCCTAATATCAATCAAGCATCTTCTCCTATCAGCCGCTGCAGTGAGTGCCCTGTCGACTAAAGTGTCGACTCGGACGGTAGGCCTGTAATTGGCCCCCCTGAGCCTCAACGTCCATCCAGTGCTGGGCCCACACCCACGCCCACGGTCGTCCCGAATTGACTAACGCGTACTGCAGGAGACGCCCCTCCCACCCATGCCCTAACCCCTGACAGACGGACGGACAGAGTCCAGACAGACAGACAGACAGACACCGCCAACCAAGCGACAGACCGTATAAAGATGCAGCCGTCGAGGTGTTGTCCATCCTCCTCCTCCTTCTCTCCTCACCCACACATTCACTCAGTACATACTGCTACACTACGCCCTGACTTTTTAGTCAAGTACTTTCGTTAAAACAACCAACCAAACCACCCAATACCCAACTTTCGAGTTATCCTCCCAACACCGACAAGATGAAGTACTCCGTCGCTGCTATCGTCGCCGCCGCCGCCACTGGCGCCATGGCTGGTGCTCACCACAACGGCACTGTCGTCACCGAGGTCGTTGACGTCTTCGTCACCTACTGCCCTGAGCCCACCGAGATCACCCAGGGTACCAAGACCTACACGGTCACCGAGCCCACCACTCTGACCATCACCGACTGCCCTTGCACCATCACCAAGCCCGTGATCCCCACCAGCACTGTCGTCTGCCACGACTGGTGAGTCCTGCCAACTGCTCTCTGAGGAGACCAGCCAGCCTCGAGACCAATGCTAACTCCGTCGCAGCCCTCCCCACCAGAACACCACCGTTCCCCACGTTCCTGGTGTTCCCGAGCCCACCGTCTCCCTCCCTACCACCCCCGAGGAGCCCGAGACCCCTGAGGAGCCCGAGACTCCTGAGGAGCCTGAGGTCACCCCCGTCCCTGGCGCCGCTGCCAAGGTCGCTGGCCTCTCCGGCCTGGCCGGTCTCGCCGGTATTGCCGCCTTCTTCCTGTAAATCGACTACTTTCTTGACGACGCTTCGTCGCGCCACGTCTTGAAGTAGGCAGGCGACAGAATCTGCGACCTTTCACAGAAAGAAAAACACCAAAACCAACTATTCCCTTTGTTCGATTGATTTTGCGCAACGTTCCGGAGCAGCAAAGTGAACGACCAAAGATATTTTGTGGGGGTTGATTTCTTGTCACATTGATTTACACCGGGGGAGGTTACGAGCACATACTTTAATCGGCAGGGTATATATACTGGACACATGGCATAGACAATTGCTTCTTCCATGGGGAGGAGGCGTGGTTTACTTCGCAACAGGAGGGACTTGGGAGTACTTTGGAGGGAGACGATGAAAATCAACAATTCACACTCGAGAGGGACGAGACAACTACGTGTGTGTGGTCTTCTTTTTTCTCGGGTCTGGCTGCCTTGGGCGAGGGAACATGGCGAGCAGGGTTTGGTGACTAGCGATAGAAGCCAAGCTGGCTCTCATGTTGGCCACCTCGTCGGGCCGTCCACACCTGAGAATATCAAAGAATTCCCTCTCGATTGTCTGCTTCATCGGTCTCTGTACTCTTTATGAACTCTGGTCGGGTGTTTTTATGGTTCTCTGGTCAATTTATCATCAGTGTCGTCGTATCTGTAGCTACTTGTACAAATAGGATGGCACTGCCTGGAGGCTAGTTTTGGCCCGGCACATGAACACTATCGCTCCTTTCATCTGACAGTGAGGTTTTTGATCGAATAAAGAATGTGCACGAGGCGGCCCTGGTGGAATGCGACTCGTGTCTTTCGGTTGATGGCGACGGATCCAAGACAGGACAGATGACTTGCGAGGAATGCGGACGGGGAGACCCGTCCCAACTGGTCTCAGCTTGGGCGATCGTGACGCCTGAGGAACATCTGGCTTCTCGAGTACAGCCACACAATAATACGTCTTGATGAGCTTTATGAAGTGAGTCCGACTTCTTAGCAGTGGCGGCAATAGAGACTCCGGGGCAAAGGAACGGCAATGTGCGGTTATGCGGGGAGCCGCTTTCCCCACGACCAACCCCAGATTCCGTGTCGATGGATGGACTGAACCTCTCGCCATTGCAGAACTTTCCCAGCACATTATACTTGACAATCCTTGGGACACATGCCGACCTAAAAACGTCTGCAAGTGCTTTGTTGGAATCAAGCTCCAAGCATAAAATATCTACTCCCAGCGCAAGGAGCCTCGCCACTTCTCCTACCGTAACCTGGACAGTCCCCAATCTCAACGCTGCGTCATCACGCTGTAGCTCACACTCGATCCTGTTCATTGAACTTGTCGTGCGCAATGAGTGACAAAACCACTCACGTCCAGGATGAGGTCCTCCGACAAAGCCTAGCAGACCCTGAGGGCTTCTGGGCTCACCAGGCCGAGCACCTCCACTGGCACAGAAAGCCCAGCACGACGCTGACGCAGAGCACAAAGACCCTCAAAGACGGCACTCCCCACCCGGAATGGGCGTGGTTCCCAGATGGCGAGATATCGACATGCTACAACTGCGTGGATCGACACGTCCTGGCAGGACGTGGAGACGAGCCTGCGATTTACTGGGACAGCCCCGTGACAAAGTCGAAGCAGAAGATCACGTACCGGCAGCTGCTCGAAGACGTCGAGGCTCTAGCTGGGGCGCTCAGGGAAGAAGGCGTCAAGAGAGGCGACGTGGTCATGCTGTACAGTAAGCAGGCTTGCGCTCCTCATTTACGCCAATGTGCTCTGATATACTGACAGGGCAGTGCCCATGATCCCATCGGCTTTGGTTGGGATTCTAGCCATCAACCGCCTCGGCGCCGTCCACTCTGTCGTCTTTGGAGGGTTCGCGCCCAACGCACTCGCACAGAGAATCGATGCATGCCAGCCAGTTGCCCTGCTGACGGCGTCCTGCGGAATCGAGGGTAACAAACCCCCGACACCGTATCGGCCGCTCGTCGAGGAGGCTATCCAGCTCGCCACGCACAAGCCCAGCCGGACCATCATCTGGCAGAGAGACGCAACCAGATGGGCTCCCGTGGACCGTTCACAAGGCCAGAGGCCCTGGCAGAAGCTCGTCAGGGGTGCCAAGGCGAGGGGCGTCAAGGCGGAGTGTGTGCCCGTCAAGGGCACCGACCCCGTCTATATCATCCACACCTCTGGGACGACAGGCTCGCCAAAGGGTGTCGTCCGCGACGCAGGTGGCTACGCAGTGGGACTGCACCTGTCCATCGCGTACCTCTTCAACATCCACGGCCCTGGCGATGTCATCTTCACGGCTTCGGACATTGGGTGGGTCGTCGGCCACTCGTACATCATCTACGCACCACTGCTCGCGGGCGCTGCGACGGTGCTCTACGAGGGGAAACCCGTCGGGACGCCAGATGCTTCGGCGCTCTGGCGCATGGTCGAAGAGTACAAGGTCTCTGCGCTGTTCACGGCACCGACAGCGCTCCGAGCCATCAAGCGTGATGACCCTGACAACAAACACTTCCACCAGATCGGCGAGCGAGGCGGCCTCAAGTCGCTCAAGGCGCTCTTCCTCGCCGGAGAGCGGTCCGAGCCCACCATCATATCCATGTACCAGGAGCTTCTCGAGAAGCACGGCGCGCGCGATGCCCATGTCGTCGACAACTGGTGGTCCACCGAGTCCGGCTCGCCCATGACGGGACGCGCCCTCGTCCCGCACACAGGACACCACCGCCAGCACGCGACGCGCGACCACCCGCCCATCGCCCTCAAGCCTGGCAGTGCCGGCAAGCCCATGCCTGGCTTTGACATCCGAGCCGTCGACGACGAGGGGAACGAGGTTGGGCGCGGGTCCATGGGTAATATTGTGCTCGCCACGCCGCTCCCGCCCACGGCCTTCCGAACACTGTGGCGCGAGGAGGCGAGGTTCTACAATGGGTACCTGAAGCGCTTCAGGGGTCAGTGGCTGGACACGGGGGATAGCGGCTATGTCGACGAGGAGGGCTACGTGCATGTCATGAGTCGCAACGACGATGTGCTCAACGTCAGCGCGCATCGACTGTCAAGCGGTGAGTTCTTTATAACTAGCCTTTGCTTTTGGACAGTTTGCTTGCTAACGCGTCTCAGGAGGCATTGAGCAGGCAATTGCCTGCCACCCTTCCGTGGCCGAGTGCTGCGTTGTCGGTATCCCCGACTCCCTCAAGGGTCAGCTACCGTTTGCGTTTATCACACTCTCCTCGGAGCCACACCCAGCCTCTGTCATGCCGACAACGGAATTATTCGCCGAGATCCAGGATCTCATTAGAAAACAGGTCGGTCCAATTGCCACGCTTGGTGGCATCATCCAGGGCAAGGGCATGATCCCACGCACGCGCTCCGGCAAGACACTCAGACGGGTCCTGCGAGAGCTTCTCGAGAATGGATCGCAGGGCGAGTTCAAGAAGGAGGTGGGTGTGCCGAGCACAGTCGAGGATAGGGGCGTCGTGGAGGTGGCAAGGACCCGTGTGGAGGAATACTTCAAGGAAAAGGGGGCGACGCACAAGGCCAAGTTGTGAGGGCAGCCTTTTTCTTTCGTAGCAATTTCAGTAAGCTTGCACGTTTAGGATAATCGAATGCATTCCTCGATTTCAACTCTGGATGACCTCCAATACTGTCTTTCCCAGGCCACCCTTGCCATTGTACGTCTGTAGACATGCATCGCGCACCTTTTCAACATCGCGCAGATTCACCTTCAGCCCGACCACGGGCACAAGTTTACCGTCCTCCACGTAGCCTCGCAGCTTGTCCAAGTCTCCTCCATTGGGCTGCAGGAACCAGTACAAGTACGTGACGCCCCAGCGCCACGCTCTCAGTTTCCGCAGACTGTCCGTGGCGTCGAGGAAGAGGCGACCGACGAGGGGAATGCGTGGATTGTCGGGCCGTTGCATGACATTGGACGCCTGCAGCGTGGACGCAGACGGTGTTGTGGAAATGGAGACGATGAAGGCTGTCTTGGGGACCATGAGAGATAGAAACTCCATGGATTGCCCAGTCGTGTCGAAAAGAAAGTCGACGGAACGTGGCGTAATCACATTTCTTGGATCCTCCTTAGTATAGTCAATGACTGTTTCGCAGATAGAGGCACGTCGATCAGCAAGCTAGCTGTGAGAAGGGAAGAGGGCAGGTTCCGATGCTTACTCTGATCGGCCACGCCTTCACCCAAGAGTCGAGGGACTTTAGAGACCTTGGAGGCCGAGACGGTTGTGATCACCTTGCCGGCTCGAAAGACATTCTTAGCTAATTGACAGGCAAACAGCCCCGTGCCGCTCACTATGGTTCGCCTCGGTCAGCACGAGACTCTTGAGTCGTCTCCAAGGCTACTTGATACTTACAGCCTGCAGGCACAAATACCGTCTTGCCCTCCAGAGATCCCTCGTACTTTCTCAGAGCCTGGAGCGCCGTGACACTCGCCAGTGGCATCGACGCGGCGTCACTGAAGGATAAGCTCGCGGGCTTGAGAGCCACAAAGGACTCGGCGCACTTGGCGTACTCGCTCCAAGACCCCCGACTAGCTTCCGGCAGGCGCGTGTAGACCTCATCGCCGACTTTGACGCGGGTGACTGCTGACCCGACCTCTGCCACCACGCCTGCTGCGTCGTAGCCGATCTGATAAGGGAATCTACATTTGGGTCGTGAGCTCGAGACGTGCTGCCAACGGCGCGGAGCCGGCAGGTAGGTAGGTAGGTAGGTAGGTAGCTAGCTAGCTAGGACCTGGAGGCTCACTCACTGTTCCTGGACTGCGTGCTTGAAGACGCCAGCCGCCTTCTTTACGTCTACGGGATTGATGCTTGCGGCGTGGACGCGGAAGACGACATCAGTCTGCTCTGTAATTGTTGGTCGCGTCACCGTGGACAGTTCATACTGGCTCGGGTCTGCGAAGTTGGGGGCTGTGATGGCTAGCATGGTTGGAGCCATGGTTGCGATGGTGGGACGATGTTGTTGTTGGCAACGTTCAGGAAGTGAGTGGTGATGATGCCCGAGGTTTGTGGCCTAGTCTGTCATGCGCGGGTTTGGCCCCAACGCATTCCCAACTCCGTCTACGCCGCCAGATGGCCCAAATCTCATCATCTCACCCATTTCCATTGACAGCGCTTCACATTGCGCACCGCCCAAAGAAACTCAGTGTTGGCAAACCCCAAGCTTTGAAACGTTGGTGTTCCAACCTGGCTCTGTGGCGGCGAAACTCAAGTCATCCATCCACCTTGATCTCTCCAGTCCTCCCAACTCAGAGCCATTGCCACTACGTATCAGAGCGCCATTACCCCATGCCTCCGCCATGATGCGTACTCGTGTTCCCCAAGGGCTGCGTGTGCGCAGCATGACTCGCCATCCATGAGCTCCGTGCGTTGGCCTTGAGTGTAGTCGTACAATGCCACACTTCCAGTCGCACAATCCCGAGTCGTCGCACAAACATCTACCACAAGAGCCCGGTTCTCTTGCAATGTGACTGGGGAGGACCGAAGGGGAGCGTACACGAACGACGTGAGGCTGGCTAGACACGAGCTTTTGCGCAATGTCGGTGTGTCGCAATGATTCGTCAGGATGTCAACCCATGGTCGTGTGCGACCGCTGGATGCTGATGCGTATGTGTCTGTCCCCTATCCCAGGGCAAGTCATCATATTGCACGCTGATGGAGATGTGGCCACGGGGATGGGTCACGTTGCGCGAATGCCATCTGCCGGAGTGAACGCCCGTTTCGAAGGCCAGTCGTGCCACGTGACGATATCAATGAGAGGCACATCCTGACCGCTTGTTGTTGGTTCGTTGTCACCCACGATCGTGGTCATTGCGTCTTCTTCTTCACTGTCGTTCCATGTGTCTCGTCATCCATGCTAGGTTGCTTGGCATACAGTCCGTAGACACTCCGCTGTGACTTTGGGGCGACCTTCAAGTCGACAAATCTTGCTTCGGGTAAACGCTTGCAGGCCTTAAGGCTTTCCAGTACCCTGTATGCTGGTCAGTCAGGAGGTTTCGCACAGTACGCTGACTGATGGGGGATGAGATGAACGTACCACTCAACGCCAACAAACTTGACGCCCACGCCTCTCATTTTTCGTATCTCCTTGTCAAGTTTACCTCCTGCCAGCCCACCCCCAGCACCGTAGCCCGCACTATTTGGTCTTCCTATGATGACATGCGTGACTTTTCTGCGTCCCAGATGGATCGCCATTTGGCCCCCGTTCTCGCTCAATACTTGCTTGAGCTTGTGGTCGGATATATGAGGGAATGTGCTCCCGTTGACATACACCACCACGCCCTGGAAAATACCTTTCTTCGCGTCTTTCTCTTCGATTCCTTCGCGCGCAACCTCATCTTTGTCCACTTCCTTAGTAGGTTTGGGTGTGCTTTCCCTCGAGGCAGGCCTCATGAGCATGTCAATGACGCTCCTCCCTCTTGGTTCCTCTACAACTGCCCCAATCCGTTTGTCGAACCCCTCCGCTCCAGGACCCCATGTGTCGCCCAGCCGTTGCCCTCCAGTCCCGCCAGCGCGGAATTGAGAGGTAAGCTTCCTGCTACGCGACTCGCGCCACCCAGTACTGGCGCCAGGCGTGTTATCGGGGCGCTGGTGACCGGTTCCAGATGAGTTCCAAGGGTCAAAGTTCTTGCCGTGGCGAGGTTTCGCGGCAGGCGGGATGGTTGGTTTGGGTGGGTGCATCTCCGATCCCGGCTCTCAGTTATGGGTTCCGAAGTAGCAAGGAGGTATGCACTGTATGCTTGACAAACACCCGGCGCGTCTTTGCGAGGCAAAGCTCCTCGGTATGAAAGAGAAGAGAATGACATCGAAATAGCCCTTGGACAAGGGAGGGGCAGCCTAGGAGTGGGACGCGATGGAGTTTGCGCGTGTCATGAGCATTGACGCAATTGTTGCGCGAAATCACCTGACAGCGACACGTTGGCAATTGAGCTACCCTATCATGGGTACTGATCCTCTGTTCCACGACATCCACGACAAGTCGCAGGACACGGATAACCACAGCTGAGATGCTGAGATACAAAGATGCTTTTCCTATTGCAAAGAGTCTCAGTACTTGATTTTTAAACGGTCTGCATCCAATCTAAACGATATTTTTGCCCGGTAATACATCAGCAACCCACACGTATGCATACCATGTTCCAAGCCCATCAACCTGTGTGACAGCACACCATGCAATTGTTCTCTCATAATGTTGGATTCAATGTAAGCATTAACTTGCCCGAATGCTTTCGGTGGATGTTGTACCATGACAGGCCTGAACCACGGTGCGGTTTGCATGGGCACTACGCTTGCGGGCTATTACTCCCCCTCGCATATCGCCAAAGCACATCGGTAAATCTCGACCACTCAAGCCCCTTACACAACGATGAGAAAAACCTTTCTAGCCCGCGCCGATCATCCGCCGAGGAAGAAATGCAAATTTGCCGCAGCCCAGATCGGCGCTGAGGACCAGAGCATGGCCAGGGCTCATTGTTCCGTGATAAGGTAGGTGCAGATGCTACCCCTTTCTGCCACTGCCAGGGGCTAGGTCGCATTCATGTCCCTCCTGGTCGAGGCTGGGCCCGGCGGCCCCGTACGCCACCTCTTCCTTAATTACGTCAGGGAGTCGAAGAGAATAAGGCTTTTTCGTGGGCCGTGGATATCACCGATCCGTCCCAGTGCCTTGCCCATCACCGGGGCTGTAAATCCTCCTCCATGGAGATGGGAGTCTGCAGGGGGCGACGCTGCATAATCGCTGTGCTGCCTTGCTTCACAGCGGTCAAGACCTGCTATTCTGGCAGGCACATATGCGCAACATACCTACATGTGAGTGCCACTGCACACTTCAAAGTTCGCAGCTCCCATAAGAAGATCATATGCCCATTGCCGGATCGCCGTTCCATGGCATATGCGTACGTGCCATATCCAGAACGTCGGCAGGCGAGGGCTGCGCTACGACACGACCGATGTTGCTGGCGAAATATAGACAGCCTCCCGGCGCTGGTCTCGCAACCCCGCCGGCTATTCGTTCGACCCCTCTCCTACTGATGCATAGCACGGATACAAATAGGAGCTGACATGGATCGGGGCCCTGGCCTTGGCACAAACGCTGTGGTACGCCGCCGACACGGCTAACTGGAAGACCCGGGCACATGCCTCATCGGAGACGCACTGGTTGGTAGTCTGTTGGTTGTCTCTGTCACGTCTATGTGGACAGTCCTGTGCACCGTAAGGCCATGTCTTGACACACCTCGTCCAGGATCTTGTGCAGTCGCTGGCCATCCATTGCCACAAGATAAACCATACAGCCGCCCGATGTACCGCGAGAATGGGCACGACCACTCCTGAAAGAGAATTGCCACCCAAGACCTGTCGAGTGCCCAGTGGGTGTGCTGCCTGGCGGGAGGGCTAATGTACGGTGGAAAGATGTTGTCGCCAGATCTTCATGCACTGCAGCTGGTCCGTGTCCCCCGTTGCAGGCAGCCGCTGCATAGCCATGGCATGGTGCCTAGACTGTGGACGCTGGCCGGTCAGCGGACGATGCTAGCCGTAGCCAGGCGGTTTCGTGAGAATCGACAAGAGCAAGACCTGCTGAAGCCCGAGGGCTCTTGGCCACGGACGGCCATTGAGCCTGAGAGCCAGGAGTGTTTCAGACCAAGACCAGGTGTAACGTCGTGCAAAGCTCGCGGTCCAAGAGCTCGAAGGTGAACCCGATACACATGCCTTCATGCATATACGGTGCTGAAGGCCATGCTGTGGAACAGCCCTGCCCAGAACCCATCGACAGCCGCAAGCCGCAAGCCACCAGCGGCAAGCAGGCCTGACAGGTGGTCCATTCTGTGCCCCGCCAAAAAGCGCTGCTGTGCTTCAGTAGGTACGTATGTAGGGCTCGTTTTGGTGCTGCAACGAGGTAAGGGCTGCAAGATCTGTCATCCGAGGCGGTTCTTGACCTGCTTCTCCTGGCTGCCATTGCTGCCAATGATCGCCGTGCGTCTTCGGAAGCGCCATTGGTGGGTGCCAGGCTGGTCATGCACAATCATGTAAGGAAAGTGGTGGCTGCGGTGAGGTTGGCTGGCTACCCCCAAGTGAGTTGCAACTCGGAGAACGTGTACGCAAGAATCACCCACTTTGGAACAGGCGGTGTAGGATCGCACCAACTAAGCTAGCCAGCAATAGCAGCCCAAGCTTTGCGTGGATCGTCTCCGGATCGTGGAGCAGGCAAGACACGCCGGTGCCATCGAAATCATACTGACAGACACTGTTTGTCAAGCAACACAAGGACATTCTGCATCCCGTGCCGTGAAGCCTTGTTGGTCGGTGTTTCTGACGCGGGCTCAGGAGCTTTCTCCATGGCTTTCAGGACGCGGGAACCAGCTCACGCATGCGTACGCTGCGCCGGACAGCTGCGCGGCCCGCCACACCGCTGCATCAACACGCCTTCTGGGGTTTTCGTGCTCAGCGTGTTACCAAGATCTGCAAAGCGGTGCCCACGCAGGACGGGTTAGTGAACCAACCAGAATGACGGGCCGGCGATTATGATTATTGTACGGCACGTATACAGGTAGTGAGTGCCATGTGCAACCGTGGCTCCAGTATGACCTTCCTCTCATTACGGGACGAAGAGCTTTGCAGGCTTCGTCGTGCGGTATGGCAGTGTGCGTCGCCAAAGTCCACAACAACGGCGTCCGTGTTATTATTAGCCAACGTGGAGGGGTTTGTTCGCCAGCTGGTGGTGGGTGTGCTTGAGACGTGGTGGCAGTTCATTGGACTGTCCGAGACCCCCATAGACTTGTTGACAATATTACGCCACGAAGGCCGCCATAATGGGCCGCCTCTTCGGAGAATTGCGTCGATGCCTGGCACGGACTTCTACATACTCGTTGCGAACTTTCCCGCGTTGGCGGTGCCCAGAGAGCAGAGCACGGGACCAACAGCTCTCCAAAGCCTTGCTTGGCCTGT